CCATAGAACAGACAACAGCAGAAGGTCACCAACAGGTCTTCAATGCAGCGAGAAATTCCCGCACCCGGAGGCGTCCTTCAGCTGGCCCCTAAACAAATATATATATTAGTTCAGTGATAATGAACGCCATACTAAACTCCAAATTGTACACAAGAAACTAAAATTAAAAATAATACATGACTAACAAAGGCTAGAGGCTCCTGACTTGGGACAGGCGCAAAAATGCGGCGGGGTTAAACATGTTTATGAGATCTCAACCCTCCCCCTATACCTCTAGCCAATGTAGAAAAGTAAACGCATAACAATACGCACATTAAAATTCAGTTCAAGAGAAGTCCGAGTCTGTTGTCAGAAAATGTAACCACAGAAAATAAACAAAATGACAATAATACATAAATAACAACAGACTACTAGCAGTTAACTGACATGCCAGCTCCAGACTTCAATTAAACTGATTGAAAGATTATGTCTTCATCATATGAATATCAGGCACAATCCTTCCCGTTAGGGGTTTAGTATCATACCATCATAACATATATGAGAAGAACATAACCCGTGTCATGCCAACAACTGGTTTTTAAATAAATGTGTTTAGTGCCGATGCAAAGACCCTATAAGTGAATCAATATTAACGCCAAAATATGCAATCTTTAATGACCTGACAACAATATCGTAACTATATCCCTTCTTAATAAGTCTATTTAAAGGTTTTGTTAGCTTCAGAGGTGAATACTGACATTTTTGTGCTTTATAAAGAATATTTCCATAAAAAATTGGATGTGAAATACCTGAACGTATAAGAAGTGTGCATGTTGAGCTATATTTACGAATGATGTCCTTATACCGATGATAAAATTTAGTAAATGTTTTGACTAGTTTGTGATATCGAAAACCCTGGTGCAATAATTTTTCAGTAATACATAAATTTCTCTCGTTAAAATCTAAAACATTGTTACATACACGAGCGAATCGTACAAGTTGAGATATATAAACACCGTAAGATGGTGACAAGGGAACGTCACCATCTAAAAATGGATAATTAACGATAGGAAATGAAAAATCATCTCTTTTTTCATATATTTTAGTATTAAGCTTTCCATTAATGATATAGATATCAAGATCGAGGAAAGGGCAGTGGTCATTGTTAGTATTAGCTTTATTTAAAGTAAGTTCAACAGGATAAATTTCTTTAGTATACATACTGAAGTCGTCATTATTGAGAGCCAAAATATCATCCAAATATCTAAAAGTATTATTAAATTTGTGTATCAGATGTTGTTTCGATGTGTCTTTGCTGATTTTTGTCATAAATTGTAACTCATAGCAATACAAAAAAAGGTCCGCAATAAGTGGTGCACAGTTAGTCCCCATTGGAATTCCGATAACCTGACGATATACGGAATCTCCAAAGCGAACAAAAATGTTATCTAGTAAAAATTCAAGGGCATATATAGTATCAAAGCATTTCCAATTGACATAGTTTTTCTTTGTTTATTGCTACTAAAAAATGACCTAAAAGAGTTTGAACATATATTCACATTCTGACTTTTTAAATGCCCATTTAATTAGGTGTGTGAATTTTTTCTTAATGAGAATGTGAGGCAATGTGGTATATAGGGTAGAAAAATCAAAACTTTGAACAGATTCAAAATCACCAATATATGCATGTAATTTATCAAGTACTTCCAACGAGTTCTTGACACTCCAAAAGTAATTAATTCCACTATTTTCGAAGGCCTTATTTGAACAATTTATTATCAGGTTTTTGATTGTACCAAGTGTACTGGTAAGAAGAATAGACAATTTAGTAGTGGAACAATGGCTTGAAGACGAAATGAATCTATATTTGTAAGGTGTTTTGTGTAGCTTCGGAAGCCAATACATAGTTGGGACTTTCATTGTATTTGGTTAAGAATGTTTCTAGAGTTCAAATGTTCGAGGTTCACAAATTATTACACGGACACGTAATCGTATAGTGGTATAATTTCGATCCTAACTAAAATGACATCTGGTGGTGAATCAATTCCAGCCTACCCACGAGGGGGGAGACCTGTTGGAATCTAATGTTTATTTTTCTTTCCTAGTATTTATATACGGTCAATCTTCCTGGTCAGTCTTGTGTAAGGTTATTAATTTGCTGCACTGAGGATACATGTATCAGCGTAATTGAAGTCAAAACGGATTGTATAATAAAGTGTACCGTCTATTAATGAAATACACATGATTTGTCTGTATGTAAAGAAATACTGTTACAAATTGTCCAAATGTTATTTTATTATACGATTATCAAAATAATTGTAACACCACTTGTATAGTCTGTTAATGCATTACACATTTGTCGTTATGTAATTAAATAATGTTCTACTGACCCGCATTGTGTGACATATATGGTAATTATCAATCAGGGTTTGCTACCACAAATTTAGTAAAACCTTTCACATACACGTATATGATGAAGGTTTGGTTTGGAAGTTTGGCTGTACCTGTATTCTCATATTTTGGACGAGTGTTGCTTCTTACAAGGCAGGTTCTAAATCATGAATTCCTTGAGGTAAATAAACTCATCATAGATACAAATGAATTCTCCCCGTTGGATTTTAAGGATGTCAACATGATCTGGTTGAATGTTATCATGAGTATATCCATGTCATAGATGACTACGGAAGCCAAAATCGTCAGAAAATGTTGCATTTTGTCCGACACATTTGAATCAAAATACTGTGCAATTAGTTTCAATCCATTCAAGATTTGTATACTACTTTCCACCTATTTAAAAGGAACATTACGTGTTTTACAATTGTCTGTCTCTACAGGTTGTATATATATATATAGGTTTTGCTTGTTGTATACTTCCTTTTTTAATCAATATAAATAAATTACTAGAAAAGTCTGTTTAATCACCACAGAACCTGTCCTTTTACTAAACCAGGCATGGGGTAATCATAATCAGTAATCGTAATCATAGTAATCAATTACATTTTACAATGTTGTCACATGTAATCATACATTTTCTGATTACTATTAATCGATTAAACTGCAAAAAAAAACAGATGAAATAAGGATTACTTTTTTATCTAAAAAAATTTACCTCGGAAAAAAGATATCATAAATTTGTCAAAACCTCTACTTAATTTTATCACAAATATAGAGATTTATTATAAAATTATGATTCAAAGTGCAGACATTTTATAAGAAGTTGCAATGTGCATCCATTTGTCTACGTGAATATCATTAATACAGCTTACAAATTTAGGAATTGTCCTTCAAATAGATATATGCCCCTTTTGCTTAATAGACTTACTAATAAAGGACATTCTAAGTGGTTTGTGGGTTCGATCCCCGCCCGAGTCGAACCAAAGACTTTAAAATTTGTATTTTTTACTTCTCCAAAAAGTACGAGGAGTTGAGAAGTAAGAGCAAAGCCTGGTTGACTCGGAGTCGGAATAGTGTGTCCGAGTAAGGTGTCATTTCTACCTGCGGATAGTTAGCTTGTTAACTAGCACGTTAAAAATCCCGATCAGTGTGTCGATCTAATACAATGCAGGGCAACATCCATATCGCAATAACAAGTGATCGTCCTGAATATACATTTAATTTGCCACTGGACGTTAAACAGCCACCCATCGTCATGTATAATTATACTGTTGCTGTTCAATCGCTGCAATTTGTATAGGCATTCCAACAAAATGTTAAAAGATTAGAGAAGGAATAGCAAAATAGGCAGAGTATATTTTCACCATTAAATCTTTCACAAAAATCGCTTACATGTCCACTCCGTGATGTTGTTATGTTTTAAGAATAGATTAAACTAAATATCTGATACGCAGTCTGAAGATTCACGTTCAAATTCAATTGATTTCGAAAAGATAAAGGGCACCTCCACGGCTGTCATTCGGTATATCGAGAAAAATGATCGTGAAAGAATACGTAACGGTGGTCAAGTATTGCGATTGAATCGTGAAAGATCTGCTATAGGATCGTGAATGAAATCTTATCGAGAAGACACATGCAATGTCAGTAAATAATCTAATTTAATCAATTATAGTGACAAATACTGGAAAAATAAAACTGTCTGTCAAACTGGTTCAACATAATGATCAGGATCCGAGAAAAACTAAGGCTTAAAAGTACACCGTTTTTACAAAACTACAAAAGGCAGATTGCTCATCGAAATTTCAGAGAAATAAAAATGAAAACAAACAAGATTTTTTTTTTCAAATTTCTAATGCATAAACTACCTTTCTTTTAAATATATCGTTCTATTTTACTGTTTAAAATAGTTCTTTAAGTTATTTTGATTCAGTTTAATCAGAAACTTTGCAAAAATGGTACTATTTGTAAAAATTGATATTTCGGATCGTGAAAGATAGAGTACCGCATTTTGATGCCGATCGTAAAAAGGATCGTGAAAGATTTGTTGCCGCTTATTTGTTATTGGAAAAATCCACGAAAACGATCAAATCTTTGTTTAAACAAATGATAATTCATATTTGTAATTGGTATAAAAAAAAAGAATGGATTTGCATGACTTATTCCGCTTTACTTTGTTTGTGAATAGTGATGGTTCAATGCCATAGGATCTGATTATTTGATGATACCACACCGAATAGTTTCTTTTAATAATCTGTCAGTCCTGCATAAGTTTTATGTCGATTGAAAAGTTAAGATTCTCTCATCTGATTTCCATTAATTTTTATGCACAGTCATATCTATAAAACGAAGATCCTTGGTGATTTTTGTAAGAATTGGAAAAAAACATTGTTTAAAAAACCGCAGGAAGGAAACACTGGTAGACTCTTGTCGTATCAAGTGAGTAACTGCACTTTTATATTCTTTTGGGATTTGAACCAGGATCAACATATTATTAAGCTTATATGTGCATCCTCTCATCTATGGAACCAGACAACAAATTATTTTGAAAATAAAACCCAAGTCGCATCAAAAGAAAAGACCTTTAACATTTATAATAACAACAAAGAACGGATTGTATTTTTCCTGAATCTTGCAACATACTGTAACTAAACTTTTAGTCGCGATTTTGGCTTGGACTGATCACACAAAACAGAAACGCAGAGATAACTTTGATCAGCGGCGCTGGCAAATTTATATTATAGAGAAAAGCTGTGCGAAAAAAGTGATAATATACAGTTTTAAAATTTTTACATTCATCTATAGCACAAAAAATATGTTATACAGAAGTTATCAGATAGAATCACAAAGAATCAAATATCTTATTTCTAGATTTGTCAAAATCAAAATTAAACCAGGTGATCATATCTAAAATTTCTCTATCGTTTTACATTACAAATATACGTAGAAGTCATAGTTAACTTTTCATAAAAACGAAATTGGTTTAACTTTACATGATCCTCTTTGAGTAATGACTACTGCTTTGTTTTCCATTGTTCTATGCCAAAATCGACAATGTAGCCTATTTTGTGGATCACCTAAGTACCGGGAATTTGCTACATTGCAGGCCACAGCCAGTTCATCAAACACTACCATTGCACTGTTAGGACTTGTCATACGTAGATCTCTGATTTCTCCATGTCGGGAAAATATTTTATACAATGAAGACAAATCATAACCAGGTAATATTCTTTTCAGTTGCCATCGAACCGTTAGTGTTGCCAGGGGGCGCTGGTATCGTTCGTTTTCTTTGACAAGATTCTTGGTTTCCTTCATCCATCTGAAATCGGATACGGTACTTCTTCAGGTCAAGATAAAATATGCATATCTACGGAACTCCATAAATAGAAAAGTTTGAACAATTTAGGATATCAAATTTATATAAACGTGTAACATTAGTCTTATATTATGGCTTAGATATTTAGTTGTCATGGTGATATCGTGATAAATAACCTCTATAGGAGTCTTTGAATATTGCCTTTATCGGTATTAACATTGATTTTGTTTTTGATAAATTAGAATATAACAAACTGTGTATTGACATAAAGTTATGAAAAAATGTGGTGCTACATCCTGTTCATATAAATAAGAAAATACTTAGTTTTTGGCAATACAAGACGTCATGCATTCTGACGTCTTTACACTAAATCAGTAGTGTAAGTTGGTTGTGTAATGATTGATATTTCCGTTTATTTCGTAGTTGACATTGGAATTCATCTCTAGCTTTATGCTAAACAAATAGTAGACATTGGCCGCTTACTGGAAGGAGAAGTAACGTATCGGTATTGTTTTTTGTCTTTTGTAAACTTTTTTTTGCTGCGTGCCGATCTGATGAATTATGTTCCTTTCAATTGATTTTTACATTTCGTTCTTGGTTTGTCCAGGTTTTGACACCACAGATCCATGTTAGGGGACATTTAAGTTCACAAACATGTTTAACCCCGCCACATTCTTTATGTACCTATCCAAAGTCGGGAGCCCGTAAGTCAGTAGATAATTGTCGTTGTATAATATCTAATGAATTTTTTCGTTTTGCATGCATGCTCATAATGTTATTATTATATATACTTATATTGTAATATGGAGAAGTCGTCATAAATAAAAAAGAAGATGTGGTATGAGTGCCAATGAGACAACTATCCATCCAAGTCACAATGTGTAAAAAGTAAACAATTATAGTTCAAAGTACGGCCTTCAACACGGAGCCTTGGCTCACACCGAACAGCAAGCTATAAAGGACCCCAAAAAGACTAGTGTAAAACAATTCAATCAGGAAAACCAACGGTCTAATCTATATACAAAACGAGAAACGAGAAACACTTATGAACCATACCAACAAACGACAACCACTGAACAACAGGCTCCTGACTTAGGACAGGTGCATAAAAATGCAGCGGGTTTAAACGTTTTAACAGGCGCCAACCTTCACCCTAACCTGAAACAGTGGTATAACATCACACCATAAAAAGACACACAATAAAATATCATTTGAAATGGCTTAACTCGATCAAAAAGACAATACACATAAACAAGTAAATTTACATTGAACGAATAAGTTTGATCTTTGACACAATATAAATAAAAAAGATGTTTCAAAGTCAAAAAGACAACTTTAACCTAGGACAAAATGGCGTTAAATAAAGTAACGTACACAAGTAAATTAATATATAATAATTTTGTTGTTAGGAGTACAGAAACATTTTTTACAAAATAAATATGTTGTTCATAGTACGAGTACAGAAGTGAAAATGTTTTCGTCATATTAAATACTTATCAAAGGTGGCACATATTAAAAATAGTAAGACGAGATATAACACAAAATAAGTAAACATTGAAGAACAGAAATGCATTACAAATTGTGTCAACAGTTCAAATTAACAAGAAAGTACGATTTGAGAGTACTCGCAGTTACTGAAAGCTAGTTAAAAGCCAAAAACAATTAATAATAAAAAATCATGCATCAGAGACTAAAATCAATTAAACACATCCCAGGCAGGGATTTAATGGACAGTCAAAGAAGACATGACTTGTGCAATGCCAAATAAAAGTAACGACAGGCAGTAGGATAGTAGGATTTAACCTCATAATAAATATGTATGATGTTATGTATAGATAAAACAATTTCTAAATAGAAAATAAACGTGGATGTGTACATATACATCCCAAAAAAAAAAACATTCGAAAAGAATACAAATTTAGTTATGTTTTAATTTGTTGATGACAAAATCGATGTTAGTGCCAAAGAAAACAAAGTATGATTAACTTGTGTCTCATCCATTTTGCTGATATTTAGCAAATAAAATATGTTTAAACTAATTGTCGTTGGTTGCTGTTTGCCATAACTTTATTTTCGTTTATAGCTTTTAACATAAATCACGGGCCGTTGTTTTTTTTTTTTTTTTTTTTTATTTTTTCACATTTTGTCATGCTGAGGTCTTTTCTATCTTACTACACTTATGGGTTTTGCTCGTTATTGAAGGCTGTACGGTGACCTGTTTTAAGAGTTTTCTACCTATGGGTTTGTTGATTTTTCATCAGTCTATTCATCATTGGTGGGGTGTAGCGGCATACCTCACGTACAGCATGTACTACATTATCAAAACACGTACATTTGAATCCTTGTTTGCTCGGCACATCAACTGTTGGTATATCTACAAAAATGAATTAATATCTTATAATTCTAAATTTGACGAGAAATCGCATCGTATACGTATTTATACTAAAATGCAGTCTATTTTGTGCATGAGGAGAGGTAACAAGATATTGAAAACGGGAGTCGGAATATATTAAGTCGCAGTACACCTTTTCTCATTTGTCTAAAGAAAATAATATTATTTATACTATTGGCAACATGTTCAGCGTGGTATTCCTGTTTGTGTTAAAAGTTTTAAAATAAGATATAAATATTTCAAAATAAATGATCATAAATCTGTTAGATTTATTACAGATATGGGAAATAGAACTTCTGTGAATTTTAATGTACTAAATAGCATTGTTTTTTTTAATGCAGAAAATAGAGTCAAACAACTAAGACTCAACCATGTACGTAAAATGTTTTATAACAAAAGCCCTTACTACATGCAAGGCAATTTTACTAAGATCAAAGATTGTTATCATTATTCAACAAGATCTAGTAAATACATTTTTTTTATACCACCTATACAAGGGCAACAGACTTTAACATTTTATTATGCTATAAAGGATTGGAACTTGTTGCCAAATGAATTAAAGAGCAACACAAATTTTGAATCTTATAAATCTGGTGTTAAAGATTTTCTGTCAAAAAAGGAAAGCAACGATTTTAATAGGAAATTTTTATTTTATTGATTGGCTTCAACATTCTAGCCATTGTCATCGTAAATTTTAATTTTAACATAATTAGTATAAAACCTGCCAAAGGCATGATTTCTTATAACTATTTTTAATATTTTTAAGAATGTAACATAAAGGGACCCCATTGGAAATAAGCCGTATGGCTTTCATGGGCAATCCTGTTTAGGTATCAGCAAATTGTTTTAAGATTTTATGATTTTAGTATGTTTACATGTCTGCCATTGTTTTATACTACTTTTGTAATCAAATAAATCTTTCTATCTATCTAGTCTACTGTGTGCTAATGACCGAATACGTTATATACGGGGGAAGTAAATTCCATATGGGGCGAGAGCTAAAAGTGTATAAGAGGTAAGATAATGGCTCATATAAAGGGATGGGGTGGATAAGGGGATGAAAAAGTATACAACAACATCATCTTACTAAAACACTTTTATGTAATCATTCATTTAATTCTATAATAATTGTTTGTAATGATATATGAAAGAAAATAAAATTTTATATTTAACGTGTCACTGTATGTTGACTTACAATGTACTTTTTCACAGGTCTTTCATCCATGTACATAGCTTAGGTCACTAAACACACATAAATAACTGTATTTGTTTTATTCTTTTCTTATTCTATGTGCTAGATAATTGGACAGACTTACACTTTAATAGAAGAAACCCTTCATTGGAGTATTCTTCACTTCGTATTGGTGGACCGAGGAAAATGTATACTTGCCCAGACGACACTTTTCTATGGAGTATTCTTCACTTGGTATTGGTGGACCGAGGAAAATTTATACTTGCCCAGACGACACTTTTCTATGGAGTATTCTTCACTTGGTATTGGTGGACCGAGGAAAATTTATACTTGCCCAGACGACACTTTTCTATGGAGTATTCTTCACTTGGTATTGGTGGACCGAGGAAAATTTATACTTGCCCAGACGACACTTTTCTATGGAGTATTCTTCTTTTACTTGATGATATTGGTTGACTAAAGTAGACTTATACTTATAACGGATTAACCCTTCATTGGTGTATTCTTATCTTATTTGGTTGATTTTTTTGGTTGACCTAGGTAAACTTATACATTTATGTACTTGCCCAGAAGGCACCTTCCATTTGCGTATTCTCCTCTTGATTCGTTGCATGGTATTGGTTTACTTGGGTATACTTATACTTGCCAAGAAGACGCTCTCCATTGGAGTTTTCTTGTCGTATTTCGTTGGTAACGGTTGACCGAGGTATAATTATACTTACCAAGAAGACAACCTTTGTTGACGTATTTTTCTCGAAGTCTAGGCACTGGTTGGTTGGGGTTGACCAGCCGTTTGTATGTTTTCCATGTATCTGGAAACTACAATTCACAAATTGATAATTAGGTTAGTATGGAAGTGCAGAAGACAATACTAACTACGCCTTCTATCGATAAAACGTAAAACAAACTACGCAATTCTTTGCCTTCTTAGCGACATTATCTATCAATGAGGTTGATTTGTTCATATAGCACTCAAGTGTTTAATCTATGTACAGACCTGCCAACTATCCCGATTTATTGACCTGAATTTTGAAATTCTTTATTATATGAACTGAACACCTCAAAATAGGCATTCACATGAGTTAGAAAAGTTTTTAAACACATATATACTCATTAAAAAAGCATAGTAGTAGAAAAAACACTTATGACAAAATAAGAAGAGCATTTTGTCCTCTTGCGATTAAAATCCCCCATGGAGATTTTGAAAAGTTAGTAGGTATGTATGTAACAGGTGATTCATGACATTTTTGTCATTGTTGGAATCAATTAACACAAAAAAAAAGGAGAAAAAAAAACACGTACCATACGTTACAGACTTATCACCGGGTTTTTATTTACATGAGCAACACATGTGGAGCAGGATCCCCTTGCCCTTCAATAGCACATGAGATCACCCCCGATTTTTAATGGGGTTCGTGTTAATAAGTTTTTAGTTTTCTATGTTGTGTTTCGTATACTGTTGATTTTCTTCTGGTAGTTTTTCTTTTTTTGCCATGGCATTGTCAGTTCGTTTTCAACTTATGAGTATCCCTTTGGAATCATACGCCTCTCTTTTACAGCAGCCACCAACGGTTACTGGGGAATAGAAAGACCGACAATAAAACCCTTGCCAAAGTGGGGCGTCTCGCCGTCTGTTTGACTGTGCATGATAAACAAGTAGGCAGATACGTTCGGTCAGAATGGGGACAATAAATCCGATGCCCCATTTAGAGAGAGCTATAAGCTCTCTGCACGATGAGAACACTTGCAACAATGCTTTAAAGGGTCCGTAGATGACTTGGTGCAGGGCTAAATATCTGTCCCTAACCAATATACCCTCATTTTCCAGTGGCAGTCAAAGTTTGCCCGACCTTCATTCAGGACGAGCTCTATTACAGGACCTACCTATTGTATTAATTGTTAATTTTTTCTCGTCCTGAACATGCATTAAATATTTGCCAATGGAAGTTAAGCAACCAACAGAAGTGTGGCTGTCAAAATCGTTTGTTTAGTTTTCCCAAATACCAACACTGTACCAGCCAGGTTTTGAACCCGGGACCCTAAGACATATATGCCACCGCACTACCACAACGTACTAATTAAGAAGTTGGTATGCATGTGACATATTGTACAAGGCGTCCCGGATCGAGACTGGTAATTTGTAAAGATTTGCATTCTCTAATTTTATGCATGTCACACCTAACAAACAAAAACAATTTAAATTTTTGTAGAAAATACTCAGTCAAACAGTATAGTAAAGCTGTAATTTGAGAAAATGCACTAGCAAGGATATGTAACACTGCATAATAGTATAAACAACAGAAGCCGCTCTCCATTTCTAAACCTTTCTTCATTTGTACTGTTTATAGACCACCAAATTCCCTTCAGTCCTGGATAGATCTTTTTGTGGAGGAATTTAATGCAGCTCTTTCAGAAAACAAATAAATCATTTTAATGGGGGACTTTAATATTGACTTGATAAAAATTGAAAATAAAAAATGGATGAATTTCATAAACCATTTTAATCTTCAACAATAAATTTGTACTGCAACACGTATTTGTGACAAATCAGAAACTCTTATTGATCATATTTACACTACTAATCCTGAAAATATTGCTCATTGTCATGTTATATAAAAAATGTTACATATCGCTCAATCAGGTTTCAGGCAAGGTAATTCATGCCAAACAGCGCTGACTAAACTAATTGATGAATGGTTAAAATATTTAGACAATGGAGAAATAGTTGGTACTGTGTTTTTAGATTTCAGTAAGGCTTTTGACCTTATTAACCATGCCATACTTTTAGAAAAGTTAAAATTTTATCATATCGGAGAACATATGATAGATTGGATAAAATCATATTTGTCTGAGAGACAACAAGAAGTTCAATACGCTAACATTAAATCTGATAAATCGTTTGTAAAATATGGAGTGCCTCAAGGTTCTATTTTAGGTCCTCTGTTATTTTTAATTTATATAAATGATTTACCACTTCATGTTAAACAATCCGACATGGATTTATATGCTGATGATTCAACATTGCATTTTCATAATAAAAACATTGAAAAGATAAACAGCATATTGCAAAATGATTTAAATGCTATACAATCTTGGTGTAACAATAACAGTATGAAAATTAATGCACAAAAAACAAAGTGTATGAAAATGGGTTCAAAACAAAAACTTACACAACTATCAGAATTATGTATTACCGTCAATGAAACATGTATTGAAAATGTCCATTCTTTCAAATTACTTGGAATTGACATTGATGAAAATTTAAGCTGGGAGGATCATGTTGATCGTATATGCAAGATTATCTCATCTAAAATATCACTTTTGTTTAAAATTAAAGTATATTTGCCTAAACACACAAGACAACTATTTTATAATGCATATATTCTACCATATATAGACTGTTGTAGTTCAGTTTGGGGAAATTTATTACAAAAAGATTCAGATAGAATCATTAAACTTCAAAAAAGAGTAGCAAGAATTATACTTGAATGCGATTTTTCTGTTCCATCTAATTTTATGTTTTCATCTTTAAAATGGCTATCTTTTACAAAAAGAATAAAATACCAACAATCAATTCTAATGTATAAAATTGTAAATGGACTAACACCTGATTACTTAACAATGCTAAATATTAATGATTTGCAACACCACAACTTACGATCTGTCTCTAATAATGATCTATTTGTTCCAAGACCAAATACAAATTTTTATAAAAAATCTTTTCATTATTCTGCAACAAAGGTATGGAATAATTTACCACTCAAAATAAAAAAAATGTCGAAATGTGGAATTATTTAAGAAACATTGTTATAATCATTTTCTTGAAAATTCTATGCAAGTCGAATAATTTGTTTTCTTTCTTTTATTGTAAGAATAAGAAAATTTAATCAAACTTTACCAATTATTGCCATTTATTGCCATTTGTATGTTTGAATGATTGAATTGTGTATATATACTAGTAATATATATTGTATTTTAATGTATGAATGTATGAATGTTTACTGTATACATGTATTTTGTTTGAGGGCCTCAATGAAAATTAGACTACTTCTAATTGAGTTACCCTCTTTAAATAAAGAATTTATTATTATTATTATTATTATTATTACATGAGATGCTTACGATATTGAAGAGTTATAAGAAAAGCCCATATGAAACACCGAAAAATAATTATATCAAAATACACTGAAGTACTTTTTCATACAAACCTGACTTGATTTTGTATGTAATCTCTTTCCTATCTTTGGCACAACTTTTGGAATAACAACATCAAGTTTCTTTGTGTTACCCACCAGCATCCTGCCACATTTTTATCTGGAGTCGGAATTGTTTGTCGTTAGTAACATACTCTGTGGTATTTGTGACGTCCCATATAAAATATTATGACGTTTCTAGACCTGAGTTCTCGATGCACTGTCTTCGTAGAAAGTGGTGGTTCAAATGGGAAAAGAAGAAAGAGAAGAAAAATAATCTTCTCAAGAACACCAAAACTGAATTAATTTTGATATGACCTAAGGCCAAAAAGCTTTTTTTCTTTATTTTGCTTTCGTTTGCTGGTATGTTTTTGATGGTCCGAGGTTAAAAAAAAGACTCAAAATATATTTAAGAAAATACTCAATATATATTTAAGAAATCATTTGACCTCAGATAGGCATATACCATGCCAATGATACAACTATCCATCAAACGTACCAAATGACAAGAATGCGAACAATAACATGTAACCCTATGTTGTAGTCAAAACCCATACTAAACTACATGTTACCGTATAGTAGCCAAAACCAATATTGAACCACATGTAACCGTTTATAGTAGTCAAAACCCAAACTGAACTACATGTAAAAGAGGGACTAAAGATACCAGAGGGACAGTCAAACTCATAGATCGAAAAACAAACTGACAACGCCATGGCCAAAAATAAAAAGACAAACAGACAAATAATAGTACAGATGACACAACATAGAAAACCAAAGACTAAGCAACACAAACCCCACCAAAAACTGGGGGTGATCTCAGGTGCTCCGGAAGGGTAAGCAGATCCTGCTCCACATGTGGCACCCGTCGTGTTGCTTATGTTATTACAAATCCGGTAAATAGTCTAATTCGGTAAGTCACATTCGTGAAAAGGGAGGGTATTGTAGTTACGACATAACCGTATATAGTAGTCAAAACCCATACTGAACTACATGTAACCGTATATAGTAGTCAAAACCCAAACTGAACTACATATAACCGTATAGTAGTCAAGCCCCATACTGAACCACATGTAACCGTATATAGTAGTCAAAACCCATACTGAACTACATGTAACCGTATAGAAGTCAAAACCCAAACTGAACTACATGTAACCGAATAGTAGTCAAACCCCATATTGAACCACATGTAACCGTATATAGTAGTCAAAACCCAAACTGAACTACATGTAACGGTATATAGTAGTCAAAACCCATACTGAACTACATGTAACCGTATATAGAAGTCAAAACCCATACTGAACTACATGTAATCGTATATAGTAGTCAAAACCCAAACTGAACTACATGTAACCGTATAGTAGTTAAACTCCATATTGAACTACATGTAACCGTATATAGTAGTCAAAACCCATACTGAACTACATGTAACCGTATAGTAGTCAAACCCCATATTGAACCACATGTAACTGTATATAGTAGTCAAAACCCAAACTGAACTACATGTAACCGTATAGTAGTCAAAACCCATATTGAACCACATGTAACCGTATATAGTAGTCAAAACCCATACTGAACTACATGTAACCGTATAGTAGTCAAAACCCATATTGAACCACATGTAACCGTATATAGTAGTCAAAACCCATACTGAACTACATGTAACCGTATAGTAGTCAAAACCCACAATGAATAGTAAGCTATAAGACCACCGCCCTATACAGTCTGATTTATACTAGAGCAATAAACAAAAACAAAAAAAAACGTATGAAAGAAAGCAATTAACGACAACCACTAGCTGAGACAGGCATAATAGATATTGCGGATTTAATATAGAAATAAGGAGAAATATTTTAATTACCCCCCCTCCCCCCCCCCCAAAAAAAAAACAGTTGCTATTCACCAGAGTTTAAATGACGTAAATGTATGTATCTATATGACACCATACGTCCTTCAACAATGAACAAACTCATACCGTATAGTCAGCTAAAAAAAAGCCCAGACATGACAAAATGTGAAACAATAAAAAAAGAACCCCAGCAACAGCCTAATTTATGACAAACCAAAACTACAAAAACAAACAACTATGGCAAATAGAACCAAAAACAACAGCTGAATTACAGGCCCCTGACTTGGGACAGGCATATAAAGAACGTGGCAGGTTTACGTGATCCTAAATCTTAGTTTCTGTAGGACTCTTTTGAAAATTGTCATAGTAAATTCTTTTGACACATCATGAATATGTATACTAGGGGTTGATTCATGATTTTTCATAGGGGGCGTAATTCTTTAAACGTGACAGAATAAATACCGCCGAGCGTAGCGAGGCAAACATTTTGTTGGGCGATTTTGTGTTAAAAAATGGTATACATTTTCCAATCAAAGAGAGCGTACGCCATCTGCGCCTCCCCTGAATCCGTCTCTGTATACGACTAAATATATCACAGTTCACATGTTTGGGTTGTGATGCAAATACATCTGGAGGTAATCACCGATGGTAGCTAATCGTCATAAATAAAATGAACTGGAAAGCATTTTTTTCTGATTATCAGATACAATAAATGTCAAGCGGTAAAATCGAGCTCGTCCTGTAAAACCTGGTCATACTATGAAAAAGTATGTTCCAGTTACGTATAGGCAATTTAAAATAATTATATTTACTGACAAACAAAGGCCGATAATTCAGAATAACGAGTGTAAGTTCAGCCAAATCGATTTTATAGCTATAAATACGTTACCATCATAAATTCTGAGTGTAACCCCAATTGCGTCATAGGTCAGATGGAAAATCCCGACTAAAAATAAACGTACTCTCACTGGTCCTGTTTGCCCATATTCTCCCATTCAATTTCCATCTGCGACATCGGTCACACGTGCAAATTATTACAGATTCAACAGAGAAGTGTTTAGTTGTTTGTAAAGTTTTTTGAATAGCTTAACTGCTTTTCATATATTGTGTATATTATTGGAAATTTATTCCCTTGTTTAGTTTGAATTTCTAAACAAATTATTTGTGTTTTTTTTTACTAAAGTAAATTTTATTATGGACTTTAATTTGAATAGTCCTTACTTAAATATTCCCGGTTCAGACTATCTCCTGGATGGGTCACTACCGTTAAGTCCCCCCAAACTACCAGTACATTGACCGGAGTCTCGACAACGGTGTCTGGTAATGCGACCTATCCGACCCTTTCACAGTTTTTTGCAGTAGCTCCTTTTACCACCGTACCTGACTCTCGAGCTCAATCTTCTAGCTCTTCTCATGGTACTCAGGGTTCTGAACATGCATCATCTTTGGATGGTTCTCAGAAGTTACTTTTGGACATTGATGAGTCTTTCAAGGCTGAATTTAGTACTCTATCCAGTCGTATGTCTCTACTGGAGAATACAGTTTCTTCTCATCAACCTTCTCCAGCTAAGTCTGTAGAATATGATGAAAGGGAGGATGACGAGCTTTCTGTTTCCACTGGGAGTCATGAAAGGGCTTTCCTCACTGATGAGGATGTTGAAAGTTCTTCTTCTCCCAAGGTATCGAAGACGGCCCCTGAGCCTTCTTCTAAGTCAGCTCAACAACCTCCCACCAAGGAGACTGAGGATCCTCCATCCTTGAAGGATCCTAGGGATAAGGTGTTTACCTTGATGAGGGATGAAGCACATATCCCTTTTGCCTCTCCTTCCAAGCCCAAGAAACCTTCTTCAACTTTTGAAGCTTCCTGTGGTATTTCTCAGGATACTGTGACTTCTAACAATTCTTTTCCTGAATCTGGCCATATGGCATTTGCTTTACAATTTATTAATGAAGGTATCGCTAATTCTGCTAGTGAAAAGGTTGCTAATAACAAAATCTCTGGATTTGGAATGTCATCCTTTTCTGATCAGGTTAAGTACAAGGATTTTGATATCTTTGATCCTTCACTGGGTAGACTTGTTCCCAGTTGTGACAAATCTCTTTCATCTTTATTGGGAAAAAAACCAGTAGATGGTCTTCGTCTCACTCAACTCAACCTGTTTGGTCAAAGACTAAGAATCTCCTTCGTAGTGCTTCTCAAGTTCTTGGCACAGCCGAACATTTTCTAGCTGCAACCGGACATTTGCTTAACAGCGTTTCTTGAAAACATTTCTGTTGCTGAGTCTTTGAAAGATTCTTTACTGAAATCTCCAGTTACTGACAAGATGTTTGGTTTACCCGTACAGCGGGTTCAAGAGGAACTCAGCAAAAACCCTCCTCCCGTCAAAGTTAATGTACAAGTTAACAATGACAAGAGGTCGGTTAATGCTACATCTAGTTCTACTAGTACTTCTGCTTCAGGTGGTCCTCCTTCTTCTGCGAAGAAAAGGAAGAATAACTACGGCAAACCGCAGAACAAATCCCATAACTCCGGTAAAAGGTCAGGTAAGCCTTCTGGTGGTTTTAAAGGTCCCAAGAAACCTGGGTCTAGTACCTAGGTTCTTGCCCCCTCGTACGTTATTGACAGCTTCACCAGGGGAAAATTTACAACAAGTTCCTCAAAAATCAATACCAGTAGGGGGGAGGTTAAGTTTTTTCCTAAATCAGTGGAAGAAAATTACCCCAGACTGTTATGTGCTGTCAATAATTCGAGACAATGTTACAAAAATCTACAATAGAGGAGGTGTCGCTCTTAACTCTGTCTCCGGGATTTTATTCCCGTCTTTTTCTTGTTCCAAAGAAGACGGGAAGAATGAGGCCGGTCATAGACCTATTTGTTCTGAACAACTTTCTTATTGTTCCCCATTTCAAAATGGAAACCAACAGATCAATCAGGACTTCAATCCTTCCAGGAATGTGGACCACTTCTTTGGATCTTTCAGATGATTATTTCCACATTCCCATTTCCCATACTTACAGGAAATACCTTCGCTTTGTTTGGAACAACAAAGTTTTCCAGTTCAAGGCTCTTCCTTTTGGCCTGTCTACAGCCCCTTTGGCTTTTACCAAAATCATGCAGGCAGCTATAGCTCACCTACATTCCCTGTCTATTCAGAATCAATCCTACCTGGACGATTCCCTTCTCAAGGAATTTTGCCCAATCAAATTGAGGGTTCAGACAGATGTGGTCATCAATTGTTTTCTGTCTCTAGGCTTCCTCATCTCCTGGAAAAAGTCAGAGATGGTTCCTTCTCAAGGCTTTGTTTTCCTGGGAGAAGAACATTTCCTAACCAATCTAGGCCTAGTTCTCCCACCGGAGGAAAAATTTACAAAACTATGTCAGAAAATACATTTATTCCTGACGGTTCAATCAGTTACAGCACGTCAATTCTTGCAACTTCTGGGTCTATTGAAGTCTCTGGCAGATGTAATTCCATTGGGACGCCTTCACATTCGTCCGCTTCAGTTTTATCTGCACAAGTTATGGATTCCAGCTTCACAAGAATGGGAAGCATTGATTCCAATCACTCAGCCTTTATTTCCACATCTTCAATGGTGGTTAGTACGGAAAAATGTAATGAGGGGCATATGTCTGTCCCCTCAAGTTCCCAGTCTAACATTATTCACAGATTCCTCCACCCTCGGTTGGGGAGCATATCTGGAGGAGCTTACAATCTCGGGAGTCTGGAATCCAAATATTTTGGAAGAGCATATCAATGTATTGGAAATGAAAGCAGTTCTGCTTGCACTGAATCATTTCCAACTGTCTCTAAAGAATCAGTCAGTCATTCTGGCCACGGACAACACAACAGTTGTAGCTTATCTAAAGAATCAGGGAGGAACTCATTCACCTTCTCTTTATCAGATAGCCAGAGACATTCTCCTTCTGTGTTTTCAACTCCAGGTTCATCTAGTGGTGAGACATATTGCGGGCACCTCAATATTCTAGCCGACACTCTATCCAGATCCCTTGCTCCAGTAAACACGGAGTGGGAACTACTTCAAGTAGTTTTCAAAGCTGTGACTCTTCATTGGGGGTCACCTCAGATAGATCTGTTTGCGACCAGTCTCAATCACAAACTTCCAACATTTGTGTCTCCAGTTCCTGATCCAAAATCTTTTGCGGTAGACGCAATGAACATATCTTGGAAAGGAATGTTCGGGTACGCCTTCCCTCCTTTCAAGTTTCTCTCCCCAGTACTTCAGAAAATAGCAGGAGAAAATTGCAAGATCATAGTTATTGCTCCAGCATGGCCGAAACAGTCTTGGTTTCCAGACCTTCTGTGCCTATCATGTGCTTGTCCTCTAGTTCTACTTCTGAGACCAGACCTTCTGTCTCAAATCAAGGGCAAGGTTCTTTGTCAAAATCCAGAAAAACTTCATCTACACGCCTGGCTTCTCTCAGGGTAAGCCTCAGAAAGAGAGGTTTTTCTGAAGGAGCAACCAAGCATCTCACAAAGTCTGCCAGAGACTCCACTAGCATTGTCTATGATGCAAAATGGTCAATCTTCTCAGATTGGTGTAGTGAGCGGGAAATTGATCCTTTCCAAGTCACTGTACAACAATTAGCAGACTTTCTAGTTTTTCTTTTTGAATCCAAAGGATTATGTCCCTCTACTATTAAGGGATATAGATCAGCTATTTCAAGAACTATTCATATTTCTGGTGGCCCAGATTTTGGAAACAATGAGCATATTTCTCTTTTTGGTTCGTAGTTTTAGTCTTGAAAGACCAAGACAAAAAACTTTAGTTCCTAAGTGGGACCTTGGACTAGTTTTATCCTTTTTAAAACTTCCTCCTTTTGAACCAGCAGAAACAATAGATTTAAAGTTTCTTTCCTATAAATGCTGTTTTCTTTTAGCTTTGGCTTCTGGACGGAGAAGGAGTGAAATTCATGCCTTCTCTATTTTTGATGCTTGCCTTCGATTTAACAGGGATAAATCTTCTGTTACTCTTTTAACTGATCCTGCTTTTTTGGCAAAGAATCAGATTCCGGATAAGGGTGCAGAACCAGTCGTGATTCCTGCAATCCCTAGCGATTCTATTTCTGTAATTTTATGTCCAGTAAGAACCCTTTCTATTTATCTGGATAGAACGAGTAGTTTACGTTCTGTTTCTAGCTCAAGACTCTTTATTCCTATTAAAAAAGGAATCTCAGATCTTTCTGTTAAAACTATTTCTACTTGGATATGCAAATGCATATCTTTAGCTTATGGTTCTTCTAAGGCAGAACTTTTGAATGGTTTTAATGTTAAAGCTCATGATGTTAGGGGTATCTCTACAGCCTGGGCTCTGTTTAACAGTGCATCTTTAGAAGAGGTACTGTCTGCAGGTTTCTGGAGAAATGAGAACTCTTTTATCTCTCATTACCTCCAATCGATGGCTACTTTTGCCGAGAGTTTATACTCTCTTGGACCTGTAGTTTCAGCACAAAGATTGAACTTTCCTCCTGTTTTTTTCTGTTACAGGGGATTCAGCTTTACGTTAGATTCTGTTACTCAGAATTTATAGCTATAAAATATTCAAATTTTAAAGTAAATTTTGATTTTATTAGATAAATACTTACCATCATAAATTATAGGTCTCACCCGCCTCCCCTTCATCCCCTTTCCTTACGTTTCTGTCTTGAGGAAATTGAATGGGAGAATATGGGCAAACAGGGGTATACAGTATGTCCGGACCAGTGAGAGTACGTTTATTTTTAGTCGGGATTTTCCATCTGACCTATGACGCAATTGGGGTTACACTCAGAATTTATGATGGTAAGTATTTATCTAATAAAATCCAAATTTACTTTAAAATTTGAATAACTCATCATTTAGTTAAAGACCCATACTATATACCATGATTTTCAGCGTGGAAGTGTCGGGAGAAAGTAAGCTAACCGTGACGAGAGAGTGCTTCAATTGGAATAAATAAAATATGAAATGATTTGAGATTCTTCAATGAGGCGGCAATCCAGATAGACAGGATATTTGAAAATGAGCTTCTGCATGGAGTTCAACATATGACAATCAACAATGATCTAAATAACACCTATCAAGGTTGGGCAAGTTGTAATTTATTTCAACTAAGAAGACAGAAGATATGACACTATAACAATGAATTTCGTAAATGCCAAAATAAGTGACTTTCGGTATATCCTGACTGCTTTTGAATCTTATAATCATGAAGGGATTTATAGGTGATATGTAGGGGAACCGAGTGCTAGATGGTACCAGTTCCACCCTGCTGATGTTGAACAATGGTCTGTTCCAGAGATTTAAAATACTTGTTCTAATTAATGACAACTTCACACTAGCACTCTACAGGTGTACTAGTTCGAGACCAAAAAAATATAGCAATGTTACTGTAATTCGAAGCATCCAGTCACATCTATGTTTAATGATTATTCTAGTGACTTCACTTTAGACCTTTGACATCGAATAGGGTTATATGATTCATTTTGTACAGAACTATTCATAGTATGATGTCTAAGACAGATTGGAAACAGAAGTCAATATTTCTGTGAACTTTTCCCCCTGATTTGAATTAGGTATGGTTAATGCCTTAGATTACTATGAACAAGGATTCTATTCAGTTTTGATATAACTCTGACAAACGCTCTTTAACCTTGCTGTAATAGAACATTTTACTTTACACAGTTTAGTGCCTATCTGTAGTAAGATATCAGATTGCATTATTTTGTTTTGCTTCAGGTTTTTACCCTTTATGTCTGCTAATTTTTTGCTTCAGGTTTTTATCCTTTTAGGCCTGCTATTTTTTTGCTTCAAGTTTGTACCCTTTTAGGTCTGCTATTGGTAGGCTATTTTATGCTTCATGTTTTTACCCTTTAAGGTTTGCTATTGGTATGCTATTTTTTTGCTTCAGGTTTTTACCCTTTTAGGTCTGCTATTGGTAGGCTATTTTTTTGCATCAGGTTTTTACCCTTTTAGGTCTGCTATTGGTAGGCTATTTTTATGCTTCAGGTTTTTACCCTTTTAGGTCTGCTATTGTTATGCTGGGCAATTAATGTTTAACTTTTAGGTGTCAAAGTAATATTATGGTAAGAGTTTTACAAGCAGCAAAGCAAAATTTATTTTCTTAGTCATGACATTGCTTGATATTTTGTATGATCTTGTTTAATAATTTTTTCCACATTCTTTCTTTTCCAATTGTGTGTTTTGTTTGTATCTAGTTTTTTTTTACCTCTTACATGTGACTGTATAATGAATATAAAAAGATATTCTTTTCTGCTAGTTAGTTTTTGCGAAAACAAGATGTAGTGTGAGCCACATCTCACTAATTCATACCCCTCTCTTGATTTTGAGTGAAAGAAAATACATATAGCAAGGAATGGTAGAGGTAACCTAGTATACCCCACTCCGTTGTTGAAGCTGGGATTTATTGGCTTCCAATCTTACATGCATTGTGATTGAGGACAAAACTTGAGATTCCAATAATAAGAATATAACACAATCAGACATTTTTATCTTTTTATTATTACATATCAACATTAATAGCACAAATTTATCACAGAATTCTAAGTGTTGAAACACTCATACATTGGCAATGCTTGAAATAAAGGAGCACATAGTAAAAAATCACAATTAGGCACTTTCAAAAATGCTCAAAGGACGGAACAGTGTAAAAATTATTGATTGTTTTAAAAATTATAAATTAGACATTTGGTTCATTATGAAATGGTTGATAGCTATCAACTTTATAACCAATCAGAGATAAAAAGTCAATCATCACTTTTGTACAGGAATCAATAATCCACAGTTAAATCATGTATAAATATAAATTGCTTTGTTTATTTGTAAATATTCTGAAATTCAAATAACACCATCTTTTCTATTAAAGTGATAATAAATATTAAATTAATACAAATAAGTTTTAAAAAAACTAATGTTCTAACTTAATCTGGTTGTTTCATAAAATACTACAAACTGTTTCAAAGAACTAGAATTTCATAGGGAAATATGTGCACTTTTATCAAAGAACACCATTATTATCAGAACAAAAATATAAAATTAGCAGTTGTTTGAAGAAAGATTATTCATATATCTCACAACACTCTAAATGAACCCAGTTTCATGTAAGCTTGAGGTATATAATCCTGTGACAGCAGTTGCAAGATTTTTTTATTCCTTCACAAAATATATTTCATATAGTATATATATTATAATTGCACAAACATTGTTTCTGAGAACCCTGATAGTACCAAAAAAGTCTTAAGAAAATACATACCAACAACTATAATTAATAATTCTCAGAATAAAAAGTTCTTATGAATACAAATACATGTCCCTCGGGAGCAACATTACAAAGGACAGATAACCATGCATGCATAAGAAACCCAGGATATCTTTAAAATGCTCCTTTCAATTTTTTTTATAATTTTTCTTTATCCTAACCAACTTTCTCAACTATTCCATTTAATATGTTTCTATAAGATATCAACAGCAAATATTCTTAAATATATACTGTACATACATTGTCGAAAAGAAATTTATTTATGTGAGCTTCTAAAACAGGAAGAAAAGCAAGGCTTGCAAGGCTTTTTTCTGTTTTGAACAGAGTACAGTTTTCGGACATTGTCTGCATATTGTGTTATCCTCGGATAAATGATATGTGTTACAATTCCCTGTTATCTATTTTTTTTTTTCTAAGAAGTCAACATAGCCTTTGCAGACACAATAAAGAGGTCACAAAACATGCTTCATAATTTGAATATGATCGTTCCCTGACAATAGAAGCAGGATACATGAAGACAATATTTCTATACTATACAAATTTTGTACTCCTGCTTTGAATAGTAAAAATGGCCTTTGCAGGATAGATTCCATTTATTTTGTTTCATATAAGATTTTTTAGAAAATATATGTATAGTTCAATACTACTAATATTTGAAATTTGGACAAAGCAGACTGTCAACAACATATTTCTAAAAGTATTTCTGAAAAAAATAATGGCTTTTAAAGCCTCAGTTTCACACAAAATGTTTGATCACATTTCAGTATAATATTTAAATGCTATAACTTATGCTTCAACAACAGTTGGTTGTCTACTAGGAGGCTGTGAAAGTCCAACTCCTCTTGAAGTTTTCCCTACAGACCCCCATGCCACACGTTTAGCTGCAGCACCACCTTGCACTTGAGTCTGGAGGAACTCTGTGATTTGTTTTATAGCCTCGTCCATCTTGACCTGTAGATGTTGTACTTGTTCACTGTTTTGGTCTGTCTCTGTCTCCATTCTGTCCAGTTCAGATCTGTTGTAGAGCCCTCTATACTTCAAGTAAGCTAACATGGCTACATGCATCCTCCTCTGTAATGCTTGTAACTATAATAACATTTAAAATTATGTAGAGGTTTCTTATCTATTAAACAAATAAAAATGATGAGAGTATATGTTCATGAGACAGCAACCCAACAGCAAAATAACACCAGATGTTTTTAGTGACATTGGGTTTGTGTCTCATTGACGTATACACACCTCTTTTTATTCATAACTAGGTTAAATTACTATATATTTGGTATTTATATAAATTGTATATAATGAAGAGACTAACTATCAATTTTATAGGCAATATTGATGTTACAACACAATAATCAATACATTATTGCTGTTTGGTTTTGTATTATAATAAGTTTCCATAGGTATCATAGTATGCATATGAAAATTTACATTCCAATGAAAACTGAAATACCTGTTTCTGTTCTACAAAAAATTAATCTAACAAAAATAAGTTCCCTATAATCTATTTGATTCAAAGATCATTTTAACAGAAAATTAAAACACAATTCAGGAATTTTTTAATTGGCATAATAATTAAATTCCCTGTTTTCAGAAAAAAAGCAATTAATTAACTTTTTATGTGTTTGATTAAAGCCCCTTTTGTTTCCCTGTCTGGATGTTTTGTTTAGTTTAGTAAATTAGTAGATAGTAGGTGTCTAGAATATATGATTAAATCAAATACCAAAATATGTATTTCTCTAGATGCCTTTTTTAATTATATAGGTTTATTATTTGCTTTCTCATTTACACATGTTAACCGTCCATCAATTAATCAATCATTTACATGTACCTGACTCCTATGTAATACTTAGGTAGGTAAAAAAGAATGTGTGGTAGATGAACATGAGACCATATCTATATATCAAAGGAACAACACTTTTATTGGGAGTTCTTCATTTCGATTGTTATTTGATGGTCTTCAAACATGACAGATGCTAGCAGTGACTGGTGGATCTCTTTAAGAATAGCTGCTATTAATTTATGTTTTGTTTAATACTAAAATCAATGTTATGCTTATCATAGTATCGTTGAAATATAGTCCACAATATATTTCTTTTTTGTCAGAATTATTAAGCATACCTGTGTTGTGTCTTTAATTTGTACTTCAATCTTAACCCTGTCATCAAAATTATTCATCATTTTATCTTTGACAATCATGTGTTCATTCTGTAACCGTCTATATTTAGATGCCAGTTCTTTATTAATCTCTAGTTTGTGAGATTTCTGCACCTACAATAGTATTTTATAATATGAAAAGAGGGGGAAAAATAATGAGGATAAGGCCAAGGCCAGTTGAACCTTGTCAAATCATGGAAAGATACAACTTACAATAGTTCTATAGACACATTATAGTTTAGCTATAACTTATAGTTACTGTTAAATTGACCTGATAGCAAAATCTTAAAATAGTTCAATAAACCATGAAAATAAAGTCTATATCACATGAATCCAGTCAAACAGACATATTCAGCTAACAATTGTTCTATTACTTTACAGTCCTTTACCATAACAGTTTTGGATATTTACAAAAAAGTTAAGGTAATATTTATTGAATTCCTTTCTACAAACAGACAATTTTGGTAGTCAGTATATAGAGAAAATGTAAGGTGCGCTTGACCAATGATACATTCGTTACAAGAAAGTAGCGACATAGAAGTTAGTTTTGTACACCATGTCTACCTTTTGTTTTTTTTCTACATTATATAGGTAAGAAAAAAATTATTTTGGGATGAGTGAAACGAGGCATATAGATGGCCTATTACTCCTAGCATTTGAAATTATCCCCAAATAAGGAAACTGAATGTTGATCAATAAAACTTGAAAATTGTGACTAATGTCAGTTGAAGTGTTGTCAGATGAACACATACACCTTTTAATCAGTATACAGAAAAATACAGTTGATATTTTTTTAACAAGAACTGAGAACCAGACCGTACCATAAAAAACTTGCTGAGTATTGAACCAATAAAATAAAAGCATGATCATGTTTCCCATATGATATCAGACAGACATCTACACCTTAAAAAGATTCTTTTGATCAAATATGGTTAAGCTTTTAATTGTAGTACCTGAATGAAGCACAAAATTTGGAAACTTGTATATTCTTGTTATTCAGTTATTGAACCTTCAAAATGAGGTCAAGGACATGAAACATATTTTGGACAACAACACCAAACTATAAGGTATCTGTATACAAGATATGAATTACCAAGCTGTTCACAGTTTGAATGTAAAGTTTTATAAAATTGGTTTATAGCAATGAGCAAACTTCCTCCCAAAAAAGAAAAAAAAATCTTCCTAAAATGAATACACTTGTGTGCATATTTACCTCTGAATCCCCTAAGAATTTCTTTCTTTCCTCTATCAATTTTCTGTGGGAAGCTTCATTGTCTCTGATTCTTCCTAAAATTAACATAATTAATTATCAAGTTTTATATTATTTGTAATACATGTTATATAATGGACATAAAAATACGTAATAAACTGTTGAGACAGAGATATGTCTCCCTTTTTGATATTTTGATAGTATAAATGCATGCAAATGTTGAAATTAAAATGGCAATATTTGAACACATAAACTGCAAATCATTCAAAGTCAATGAACCATGACTGAAGGTTCAAATAATCTCCATAGAAATGTGAAATGCCAATGCTTATAAAACTGCTTATCAAATACCATTGACTCATCGTATGTGGTTCCCTTTTAACTAACCTAAACACAAACTTTAACTTGTAAACTATGTAAAAGTTTCAAAGTCAATGAACCATGATGAGGGGGTGGGGCCATTTAATCTCCATGGAAATGAGATTTGCAAATGCCAATATAACTACATACCAAATATCATTGACTTAACAGGTAAATAATGCAAAACATTCAAAGTTAATGAACCATGAATGAGGGGGAGCCAAACAATCTCCATGAAAATGAGATGTGCCAATGCTAATACATCTGCATACTAAATATCATTGACCTACCACTAATAGTTCCCCTTAAACTGACCTAGTCACAAACTAATACATTGTTGATGCTGCCTCCATCGGAAACAGCACGCCTTTGTCTCACTTTTTTTCGACTTCATAGACATGAGATAAAAACAAAGAACATATGAAATGAAAAGATATACACTACAAAGACCGATTTAATTTAATTTACCTAGGACTTCTTCATAGCTTTTCTTCAGGTCATCTTCAATCTTTTTTAAAGCTTCCATTTGTAAATCTAGTTCTTGTCTTCTTTCTCTGAAAATTGAATCAAAGGAGCAGTTGAAAATAACATTAGCTAATCCCCTAACCTAAATAATAACATAACATGTATCAAAATAAAATAGATTAGTTTTTTTTAAGGTTTTCATGACCATGGAGGATATCATTCATTTACATATTTGCTGCTTAAATATGCAAGTCGTTAGAATTACTTGTTTATAAAATATAGTATCAACTAAAAGTTTTGAATGCAGTACTTCACTGCTTTCCATTTTAGCAGATAGTTTCCCTATGAGCTTATATGTACATTGTACCTTCAAAACTTTTAAAGATGTTGCTATTGACAAAATGATTACCAGAACTCTATAATTTTTGTTGCTTATATTTGAACTGTAATAAAAAAAACCATTCAGAATGTAAAATATACTAGTAGTCATGATAACCAAGTTTAAACATGGACACCATCATTCCCCAATAAATTGTAATTACTTGAGCGTAAGCCAAAGAAAACAGGTGAACACATGAACAAAGAAATCAACAAATTCAAGCAAGACAAAAATGCTATTCATCCCTCCCTCAACCCTTAAAGAACATGGGACAATACAAAATATTGCTGTTGCACATAAATAATGCTTTAATATATATCTTAAAACACATATATCATTATAGCTTGTTTCTAGAAGTTGATGAACCATTATGAGGCAAGTAAGACATAAATAACAAATAAACCTACTCTAAGTCAACTATGGCTTTTTGTGCATTGTCCACCAGTTTTTTAAAGGTAACCTCTTCCCTGTCCATATCATGTATTTGTTTGTTCATCTGTTCTGTCTTCCATTCCATATAGTCTAATCTCTTTTCTAACTTTGTCACATCATCCTATTCAGAATTAAAACGGATTTAATTTAAAGATCAAAATGAACATATAAAACACATCTGAAATTATACATTCAATGTATTCAAATTATAGTGTTAGGGAACTACTTTGAAAATTAATTCTGTACTAGAGTATCAAATAATTTCCAAATTTTGTTAAACAGTAAACACATATTATTTTACATTTTTCATTTAACTTTGTGACTTAAAATAGCAATATCAATAAGTTTTTATATAATCAATGAATTCCTTTAATGTATATATTTTGAAAAATTAGAATTCATGCACTCAAAAAATAATTCAACGGTAACTTGATATATGTAATAAATGTAAGCATTAACAAATAACTCAAATAGTTTAAACCAGGAACAAAATTTAAACTGTAATCCTCAATAAAAATCAAATCAAGCAGGAAAACAGATTTGATAGATTTTTACTCAAATCTCAATTAAATACTTTACCGTGAATGTGGGCTGTATTATAAAAAAGTATATTTTTTCATATATATTTTTTTTTCAATATTCTGAGTATAACTCCTGCATCTTACTTCTACACATCAACACGCCACTCTTATAACTTGGAATACATGACTTTGCAGAACTCAAATGAAATGTTGTAACATCTATTGACTAGTTAATATTAACAACCTTTTTCAAATATTATACTTCATTAGAATAAAGTTAACAATCCATTGCAGTTAGAACACTGTTTCTAAAATGGTCATATAATTGCCATACTTGTTCTGAAAATTTCATAAATATTTGTTTGAAATTGAGGCCAAACATACCCAAAAAAGATGGTTTTAATTTTTTTAATTGAATCAGTCATTAAAAACAAGATTTGACAAATTTGGACAGAAAGTACTGTTTAGACATAAAAAAACATCATTGTAGGCTGTTTTCTTTAAATTTTTCAGTTACAGTTTAGTTAAAAACAGATACTACAAAAATCAGTACATGTACAATCCTTGAATGGTCATTCTTGGTTTTTTTCAGTCTACAGAAATCAATATGTGTACTTCAGTTATATTTGGTGTGAAGATATATGATATAATAAAAAATAACTTTGAATAAGACATTTCTATGTTTCAGACTCTCTTTATTTACCCACTAACTTTACAACATATATAATGGGGCAAGCAATTGGGGAAAACATAGATAAGTGTAATTGCATGGTTAAGTAAATTCTTTAACATGTAATAGATCTCTTGGATGTCACATATTCTGTTTCTGTTATTTCTGTTATCTCTGACATTTCTGTACTGACATAAAATATCATTCAGGCTGTCATTTTCTGTCAGTTTACAGTTCATGAAATGTTAAAATCATTCGAAACACTAAGGTTTTTCTACCACCAGGCAAAGATTGATTGATTGATTGGTGTTTTAACGCCACTTTCAACACTATTTCGTGGCGGTCAGTTTTTATTGGTGGATGAAGCCGAAGTGCCCAGAGAGAACCACCAACCTTCTGTAGGAAAACTGACAATTCTAGTCAATTAAGATTGGAGTCAAGTGCACCTGCCCTGTGCAGGATTCGAACTCACAACCTAAGTGTTGACAGGCTAGTAATACAGAAGTTCGACTACTAAGACCACTCACCTACCAGACAAAGATGACCATAGACTTTAGAGATAATTGTATTGTATTTGAAGCTTTGCAGACGTCCATCGGCAAGTCATTCAAGTTTAGTCATTATTTCAGTGTAAAATATTCATTAAAAGAAAATTCCGCGAAATGATGTTATCTTCTTTGGCGCCTAAACTAGGTGACGTCAAAAGTATGCTTCCGGCATCAAACGTAAACAACGGACGTTTTCTGGCTTCTTGTCCGCTTCAGAATATAATAAAACTTGATAAAAAGAAGATTTCTAGGTGCAAAATGTGAGTTTTTTGGCTTATTATTGAAGAAATCACCTGTCAATACATTCGGGTATTCAAAATGTCGGCTTCCTTAGTTACAGACAGGGAGATAGAAAATTTTACGTTTATTGTCATCAAATCAGAACCATTGATACAAAATAATTGCATTAGAATAAGTTTTATCTACCTACCAGATCAGGGATAAGCACCCATTTTTTCTAGTGCTTTATTGAATTCAATATACGAAAAGCACACACTGAACAAGTCTACTAATGTTCTACACTGCATGTGCTGTCAGTTAAGAGAACCCTTATCTAAACAAGTTAGTCATTTCCATGTGTGACCAAATTCTTCGATGTTCCCATGGTTACATTGGTTGACTTGATGTTTGTTGTGGCAAATGCAAAAGATAGAAAAACATGATAGAAAAAAAAAACTTGAATAAAGAGCACCAATATTTAATTTGATGATATACAATCCAAAACCACTATACTGCAACTAAATATACCTTAAGATGAGTATGGTGAGGTTCCAAGTTATTAATTTGCTCCATAAATTTATTCCTTGATTCTTCTTTTTGTTTTTCTGTCTCTTCCATCTGTTGCCTTATTTTGTCCTTGGCCTGAAGAAAAAACATATAAAGTTCTGATAATCAAAGAAACAATTTGTCACATTGCACATTTGTAGGCAAATGAAATGAATGGAATGTAAAGTTCAAAGGCTAGTATAATATATAAAATTTCATCATTGAATTTCCAGTAAATGTTACTTTTACATTTTTAATGCCGTATAATCTACAAAATATTATTCTTTCAATAAATGCAAATACATAAAAATACTAATTTATTTTATTATTATGTCATATATTGAATGACAAACTTATAAATGCAAGTAAATATTGTCTATATACATAAACTTTAAAGCATTCATGGTTCTAAAAAGTCCAAACATATTTCAACTCTACATTTAAAACAATCTATTTTTATTCAAAAAGTTTTTGGTCACAACTAAAATGAAACAGAAATAAAAATATAAAAAAAAAAAATTCAGATTACTGACAAGCATCATATGTATATGAAAATGTTTGCGAAATACAGAAGTATAATAAAGAAAGTATTCATAATATAAATTATGTTTAGTCCCTTGAAATTTTTGGTTGTCTTTATAAAGGTCATTTTGAAACTGTCCATAACATCAAAAATTGTAACGAAACAAACAAATCTGTTTGAGTTTTTACCTCTGTTTTTTCCTTCTTTGTTGATCTGAGTTTTTCTACTTTAGTTAAAACAGTATGAACAGCTGTCTGCACTTCATTGGCTACTTTCTGTGCCTGTAAATATATATATCATATGTCTTTACTTCATTGAGACACTAATTACTGCTAAATTTCTTGGACTGACAATAGAGGTGAAATAGCCAAGTTGGAACCAAGGTATTTGAAAAACAAATGTTTAGTATTTTATTTGCACCAATAACAGCTCCAAAAGTAAGACAAATACCTTTCTCCAATCACATTTTGAAACCAAAATGATAAAATATTTCAGTTATTTGTAGCAACTTTGGCCATGATCTTTGAACTAGTTAGCTCAAACTCCGCAAAAGTTTTCATCTTCTCATCAACATTATCCATTAAAATTTGCTAAAGATTTGTTGCATGATTCAAAATGTACTATCTATTTTTAGCTAGTGTGCCCTTATCCTTAACCTGGTAACCTTGAAAAAGGGAGAGGTCTGCCTCTCTTTGTAGAAAAAAAGATTAAGGGTAAAAAATAATGACCCATGCCCTCCATGTTGACACCTGGACTGACATCATTTATCATATTACAAGGGAGATAATCCATGCAATTTTTGAAATGATTCTGAATTCTTTCTTAATAACTTTAATAATCCTCAATCTTTAAGTACATTGTTCAGAAATTAATATGAGGTTTTTATTAATGCGAATAATGCAACTCCTTGAGTATCGCAATACATTGTAATAAGAACTCGCATTCTGATCTTTGATACATATTTATGTATGAAGCTTTTCCTAAAATCCCAATAATTAAACTTACGTTTTTGTCAATTCTTCAAAAATCACAATAATAAATGCACGCAATAATTTCTGAATTTACAGTAATTCATTCAATGTCAATACCAAAACAAAACAATATTTCAATTTTCTGTAATATTGAATGATTGGAATAGAAACAAAAAAATGAATGATCAATATAAAAAAAAAAACATGTGATAAGTATTTTCTATGAACAGTAAGAAATTTTGAAAGCATAAGACAATAATTTTTATCAGCACATTTAATAAAAATTGCAGCCTTTGAACAAAAGTATGCACACATAGTTAATACTTCATAAAGAAAGTGTTAGTCATAAATAGTTAATCCATGTACTGCCTTCAATGTATTAAAACCACTAAATCAAACCTGAATCTTATCAAACATAACAACAATTCACACATACACATGTATAACAAGTAAAAAGCTGGCAATGCCAACTAATGCTTCACAAACTGCACATTTATTGAGAAAAAACAATTCTATTTTATAGTTTAAAATATTAGTATGCTCAGAGGGACAAATAAACATGTTCTATTATTGCTTATTTTTCGCCTGTATAAATGTGCTACAATTCATGGTGGGATACAATCACGAAACTAACTTTAAATATATTTCTTTTAATAACAGTGACCTTGACCTTTGACCCCAATATCAATAGGCTTCGTTCCATTCCCTATACCTTCCATCTGTACAAGTTTCAGTGCAATCAAGTAAGGGAAACTCAAATTACCATCTGGAACCCAATAGTTTTTTCTTCTATTTTTAGAAACAGTGACCTTAACCTTTGACCCCAAAATCATAAGGAATCTTCTCTTCTCAAACAAAGGAAACTTAAGTTACCATCCAGAAACCGTTATTCTTAAAATTTTATTTTTGGTAACAATGACCTTGACCTTTGACCCTCAAAATCAATAGGCTTTTCCCCCTCCTTTTATATTCTATCATTATACATTTTCTCCAGATGAAGCAAGAGATACTCAGTTATCATCTGGAAACCGTTTGTTTCAGACAGAGCAATTACTTAATGCTCCCAAATTTTTTATGGGAAGCATAATAATATTCTAAACAATCAATCAATCTCAAGTCTTTCTATAAAACTGCTACTGTTTTCACACTTGACAAAACATACAATTGTTAAAACACAGACAAGGACATCTTATAAAATTTCCTAACAGCAGATAAATCTAAATACTGGTTATACAGCTAGGCATTGTTAGAACACATCTACCCACAACTTGCCCATCCCAATAATACAGACAGACATAGTTATAACACAATTACTGAAAACTGCCCAATAATACAGCCAATGTTATAACACAAACGCCTGATCACAGTAATACAGTTTGTCATAATTAAAACACAGATCAGCATTTTTTCCTACTTTAGCTGCCTCATTATTCATTGAATCAATTTGTTTTTGAATTTCATCAACCTCCTCTTCCTCCTCATCACTTTCCTCAGAGCTAGATGCTATCTCCTCTAAAACTTTTCTTCTCCTGAACTAAAAGTGTCATGCTAACACTGTCAGTTTTAAGTTCAATAATACAGGTATAAGACTATCGTAACAATTATGTTCCTAGGAAAGAAGTAGTATTCAGACTTATTGATGAAATTTTACATGTGCAAGGTCAGGTTTAAAACATAATGTAAATTATCACTAATGCTGACTGAGCAATGTAACTATCAAGTCTGGTTAAATGCTGATTCTCAAGATTATTTCATCACTTGTTCACTGTCTGAGGGGATGTGCGAAATTTTTGTCTTTTTGAAATCTAATTCTGCATTTTGTAATGGAATTATTATCCATAATAAAAAATATCATTTTAGAAATGGGAAAAGAAGAAAATATTTTAAAAACAAGTTTTTCCAGTATTTCCTGACATTCAAATACTGCATACAAAGAAAGCAATATTTTACCTTATCTCTCTTTTGTGTTGTGTCTTTCTTATACTTGACTAGATCAGTGGAATCAGAATTAATCCTGGCTACAAGGACAGATTTAGTGTGTAGTTCATCCTTCACTTGTCTCCTTAGTGTTTCAGCAGTAGCCTAAAATACACAGTGTACACACAATTTATATAGTTTTTATACACAAGATCTTTTTTTAGTTGAATGATTAATAATGTGTAAAGCAGTGCATGATATTGTTAATACCATGTAAGGGAATAGTGCAAATTATAATGGCAAAGTTATAATTAACTAACTTTAATGATACTAAGAATCATTTACAATTGGAAAAGGTCTATCTATAGCAGTAATGATTTAATGTATTTGGCATATAATGTTCTTTGTAAAAAAACAGCAAAACTAAAAGCAGTTTCTCAATTAAAAGTGTTTTGAATAAAAATGGTTTCCTGAAATAGTAAGTTTAATTGTATAAACTGTTCTAGATCATTTTTTTTCCTGAAAACTATTTACCTTCCATTATTTCTGAAACATCATAACATATGGAACATAGACATTAAATCGCTAATCCTTTACATGGAGTAATTTTTAAAATATTCACATGAAATCACATATAAAATTACACTGAATTGTAAAATTTAAAATAATATAAGATATTTCAAAACCTTTAATCTGCTATTTTTGTGTATCTAATTACATGTATTATTATTCAGTAACAAAAAAAATGGTACTACCCTAGAGTATAACAAGTTATACATGGTTGTTGGCCAAGATATAGAACTTAATAACTGATACCATATATATGTAGAGAGATCTTTATCAAAAAGATTGTAAAACTGAACCCGTCTTATTACATGAGACAAACTGTCACTAGCAAAGATGATCACACAAATGTCAACTGTTTATAATATATGTGTAAAACTGCACAGAAAAAGGGTGTGTAGTAATAAACTGAAATGGAAGAAAGTCAGCAAAACAATGACAACTGATGTCAGGTTCTTAGAAGAGTATAGCTTAGGAATAAATCTGTCAAATTCAAGATCTAGAAGAACAAACAACTGGTGTCAGGTTCTTAGAATAGTAAAGCTGAAGCATAAATCTGTCAAATTCAAGAAGAACGGGAAACAGTCAAAATCAGACTAAGAGTAATTTTTAGCATTTATACACTTTTTCGTGTCATTTCTAATGTCTAAAATTCAACCCCTGGTGATGACTAGGAAAATCTTTGCTGCCATTTAATATAAAATTAATGGTCATTTCTGAGAATTCTTAGTTGAACATTTTTGGACAGAAGGACATAAACAATAGAGAGAGGCCATGTGGAGATCAAGACTTTCAATAAGAATTGTCAACAACTGGGATTAGTTGTAAAACTTGAGTCTGATCCATTTGTCATTTTAAAACAATAAAATATGTTTAAACTAACTGGGATAAACAAATCATCCTCCTGATAAACACCTATCATAATAATACCTTATATTTTGTAAAATATCTCTGTTTAAATAGACTTCTCTTGTTATCCACATGTATACATATATATTTGAAGTCATATACTTATTTGCTTTTGGTAACTGAAGAAACAATAAATAAGTGGTATTTTTTCACATTATTTGACTCTAAAACTCTTTGTGAAATTTTAGGAAAAACAGGAGTTTCAAAAGAAACAAGACCAACAAGAACATCATGACCAGTACATCATCACTTTTAATCTTTATACCTTAGGAAACGATCCCTCTCAAACTGACAAGACTGGATGTTAAAACTAAAATTTTAAAATTTCAATGATGTACAGATTGAAACTTTCAACTTACTTTCATATTAAAAAACTTTTACAGAAAATTGCTTTGTTAAAATATTATTCTATAAATTTTGTTGAGTTATCTAAAGATTACAGGTAACAGTTTTCTTTCTGTTAACCAGATATTTAATATGAAGAATATGCAGATAAGTATAAGGATTCAGCAACATTCTTTGGTTGGGATTATAGATTTACAATACAGAAAGGCATAAAGAAAAAGAGAGTTGTATATTTAGATACATATCAATATCATCATTTAAATAAATCTATTTGCCAATGCTAGACCAACCTTTTTCTTACTCAAAAGAAAACTCAGAAAGCAAAAATAACTATTGAATAAAGACAGTTATTACAAACTATCAGTGGTCAAGATGAGGCAAACAAACATCATTTTATTCTTTGACTAAAAGCAGATTTTATCATGCATAGATGAAAGAAAATCAGTATTAAACTTAAACTTTACACTTCTATTGTAAAATGAATAAATCTAATATATCTGTAGTTACTAAGATGTCTAACTTTAAACATATCACATAATAAATAAAAGCAGTGGATATAAAATCTAAATTAATTCACTTCTATTAAATTATATTCGTCATTTCTAAAAAAAAAATTTACAAATATGTGTTTTTTTAAAAAAAGTTCTGAAATAAAAGAGTGTTAAAAATTTGAAAGGCTATATTTGAAGCAGATCTGGTCATACATACCCTTCTATGCTGTTGTATATATGTATTAAAATATAAAATTAAAAATGTGTGCCTTTGTGCTGTTTGACTTTTCCAGAAATATTTCTACAGGGAATATAGAAGGCATTTAGTATCATGAATTGGATAGTAATAAATCCCTTTTTTAAACCAATTATCTTTAAAAATGTTGTAAATTGCCTTCAACTCCTGTAAAAACCTTTTCCCTGGAAAAAATCATATCTTTTCAACATGAAATATAATAGCAAGCTTTTAAAATACTGAAAATGATATCTAAACATATATTGATTGTAAAAAATTTCTATATGACTGGTAGGTTTTCCTTCATGGGCTAGTCAACCCCATAGGTTAAAGAAGACGTTTTTAAGTTGAGAAACTTGTGTCTGAACAGTTTGTTCTTTAGAACAATATAATATTTCTAAACTAACCCTATAAGTTCCAGAAAATAAAATTAATAATAATAACATTATAAATTGATTTTTATAGAATATTGCCAAAAAAACCTGATGAAGCTAATGAGTATAGTGAAAAGAACATACAGGGATGATAAATATATATACCGTAGGTAAACTTTCATCTAACTGATTATATCATAAGTAGGGAGAATATTATGGTAACATAATTTTTTTATGATATATTTCTGCTAAAACAGTTATGTATCATATGAATAATGTATAATTCCTGTGACCTCCATGTTACTCAATTTTTTTCAGTATGACCTTATCTTTCAATGCATGTTTAGTGTGGTTATTTACTTCTCATGGGATTTACTTAAAAAAAATATGTATTTGTAATGTATTGTTAGAAGGCTGAAGTTATTGAAATATTGAATACAGTTAATGCTTATTTTCTTAGTTCACATTCTTTAAATAGAAACATCTTCAGAAGCTATGTATCATGCATTCATGTGCTTTGTACCATGTCCTTTAAGCTGGCAAGAGAAAAAAATCTAGGTACAAACAAAATGGTAAGTGTATTATATAATACAAATAATTTTTTAGAAAACTGAACTCAAGAAAAGATCTTAATTTTTTTTTATGCTGATCAGCTATAATGCTTGTAACTATGAACAAAGCAATAATTCATGTGCAACTGACACTATATAGCTTTGTTGTAAAGGCTAGTTGTAAATGGAATAAATTTGCTTCTAAAAATAGCTACAGTAAAAAATTATAGGATATCATATTCTCTTTCTGCTGTGCTTGCTAAATAGGCAAAATGATGTACAATTCAGTACTTTATAAGTAAATTTCTATTCTACTAGTAAAATATTAAGGTCAAAATAAGGCCTAACTTTAGAAACCAAATTTAGTAGAAGATAAAAAAAATATACTTAAAATAAACAAAAATAGTTACTAATGCATTAACAATAGTGTCAATACCTCATTAATTTTTTTTGAAAGTTGCCAAATATTTTCGGTATTCCTGTACTTTTCCGAAAATTGCAAAGTTGGGAAATTGCTTCTGTATATGGGACAAGATCAAACATTACAACATTTTATTCTTCAAAATAAGATGTATCCACCTAAACAAAGCATAATCTTTAATACCAAATATACAGTTGTTTCTCAAATGTGGAAGTAACTTTACAACCCAATAGGTGTAAAAATAGACAAAAAATGTACTTTTGTACTTACTTCTATTTCTATGTCATTTTGTTGTAATGACAGTTAAAAGAATGTGAATATTCTTTTCTTTTTTTTAAATAAGTTGTTTTAATCTTATGATAACAGCTGTTTCATTACCTCTTTCATTTGGAAAAAAAGTCATGTTTTGGACCAAATAAGACCCTTACTGTCTCTTATCATTTTACAGTTTAATTTAAAAGTTATCAAATCGGTTTAAAATAAATAATAGAATTCTACAGAGAAATTGTCAGAGCTTATTACAAGAACTGTAGTCATACATATATATGTTGAAAAACTATTTAGAACTTTTATAAAAAGTTATCATGCATATATATAAAAAGATTTCACGACAAACTAATACTGCACAAAAAATATACATTGTATGTATTGAATTACAATTTTAACAACAGTCTTGTCCAGAGGAAAATATCTATAGAAGGATAAATAGTATGATTTGTATACCTTGAGCGATTCCTCCATTTTAAATGCTTTTTCCTGTTCCCCTAACAACTGATCTCTAACAGCAGAGTTAATGATTGATATTTTTTTATATTCATCCTCTGTCACAGCCATTTGTTGTTGTAACCTTGCTTGTTCTTTGTGGATACGAGAGATGTTCTTCTCATCAGCCACCTTCTGTCTTTGGCTGTCAGAAAAAAAAAGGTGATTATGAATATTTCAGGTTTATCAATTTTGTTTAAAAAAAAATTAATTGGGACTTTTTTTCTTAAGGAATGAAATAAAATGCAACAAAACAATGCACAAGAATAATCATTAAAATGGGAAAAATTGTTTTCCTTTGACCATGGAAGTAATATTTAAAAGGAATAACACCGACTAATTAGCATGTATTAACAGCCTGCAGAGCTCTATACTAAAGTCACATGATTTTATCCAATTATAGTCTCAGCGGCAAGACCCCTTTGGTTACTATCTGTGATACTGCGGTTGTAAAATGGTATCTGGAATTTCTTATCAGTCACGTGATTTTATCGAGTACGGTAATTATAAAGCACCTGTATGAAATCCGAGGTTTATTAATAAGAAGGTTGCACTGTATCATATAAAACCTCTACCTTCAGAAAGAAGTCGTATGATGTAAAAAACTTGAAAAACGGACGAGAATTGTTCAACCTACAACAGTTTAGCAAGGAAAATTGTATTTAATTTAGCATATTTTTGCTTTTTACCGTTTGTTTTAAACTGTTCTAAAAGTATTTTCCGATTAAAAGCGGATCCCGAGTAAAACAGTTAAATATCGATGAATCGATCAGGTTTCACATGATTTTTAACAAAATAATGTAGACAAATCTAGACATAGATTTTTTTACTGTTGAAATGTGCAAAGTTTATCGAGAAGTATTCTAAATTTATGTATATGTCATAAATGTCATTGATTACATTATTGAAACTGGACAGCTAAAATAGGGATAATATGTTCGTAAACATATATTTTTTTAAAAAGTGTTTATTGTGGAATACTTGTATTAATATAACAAGCTAAAGCAAAAATTAAAACAAACCGACAAAATGAGCTTGACGCTATCTGTCTTACGGCAAATTTATTTTTACACGAATTAGTTTATGTATCAAGGACTATAAATTAAAGGATAGAACCGTTTAGAATTGTGAATATTTGAATTGACTAATACACGAAAGACTTAGATTATTCGTATTTAATAAAAGGGGGTCCAAACGTATTTTTGTACAATCATCTTCTTAACTTACGGTAATGGCTTTTTAACTGTCGGTAAATGTTAAAATTGAAAATGACCCAGCCTTGTTCTCCAATTTCATATGTGATAGCTGTCGGTACTATAAAGATCGAACTAACCAGAAATAGGAAAATCGGACTAAAATAAAAATTGACCGAATGACTATATTCGGCAGCGTACATCAACGGAATGTAACGAATGGACTATTGGGGTTACTTCGCACGTATATACGACAAAAACTTGTCTGTTCGTAGTTTTCCGTGAACACGAAAATGACCGAAAAGTGTCAGTGATTTGATCGATCACATGCGGAGAATCAACTTCCATGCCAGATATTAAACCAATTAACAGGTTATTGAAAGATGGGCGGTAACGCAGATGAAACCTTAGAAGTGACGACGTTGTTATTCCTTTTAAATATTACTTCCATGCTTTGACCAACCGTCATTATGTCTAAAATGTTGACACATGTTTCAGTGACTAAAGTCATTATGACTTTTGATTACTGTATATATTATGTTCTACAATTGTTAAAAGACCAAAAATATTTGAGATATTTTTATTTTTCATTTTTGCAATGAAAGTCAGATGGGGTCATTGCATTAAAGAATCATCCATACTAAATTACCTCTAAGGAAAAAAAATGTATTCTACAGCATTTGATTTCTTATGGCAACCGAAAATAAAAATCAGACGGCTAGCAAATAAAATTTAAGTTTTTCAGAAAGATTGTAATAAATTCTAAAAATATAATAGAAAATGCTACAACTGAAATGGTCATCAGTTTTAAACTTACATTAAAAAATAAACCATTCTACAGCTATTTGACATCCTACATACATTAATTTGTTTTTTTATCAGTACTTTGGCATTCACATTATTTGATGAATCTATTTTGATCAATTGTTGGTTAACAGAGGATAACGTATAATAAGAATCATTATTTGGCCCCTGTAGTTGATTGATTGATTGATGGTTGCTTTATGCAGCATCAGCACAAAAAGGCTATATTGCGTCTAGCCCTGTATCAAAAAATGGATCATCTAGTTCAATCTCTTTAGTGCAGTGCTGCCATTTTTTTACATCACTGTGACCTTATAAACATGACTTGATGGTCATATCTAAAGAAAGCTGGTTGTTTTACACAGTGTTGGTCTACTTTCAATATGAGCAGTTTTACAAAGATCAACATTGCTGTATTGAACATATCTTATACGGTAAGATTGATGCCTTAATCAAACTATCATTGAGACGGTGTCATTTAAGGAAATTACATTAGTATTTGTAGATTTAAATTGTGACGTTTTGAAGACTAAAGTAATATCAAGACAAAATTTACATATTACTACTGATAGCAGATGTCTTGTGAACATCTGATGATATTTTGTTTTGCAATATTTTTTAATTTTCTAATTTTAAGAACAAATGCACCACTTATATGAACTTTGGCTTTTCTTATTTTGAAAGATGTGTACATATTCTAAATTCGTTCATTACTAAATATAAACTATTTAACTATAACTCTTGTTGAAATTATCCTAGTAAGGAAGCTGTACCATAATTGACCCAATGACCCCTAAAAAGACCAGGATGTAAGTAAAAAGTTCATGATTTCTGTAAACTTGGGATTTCCTGAAAAAAATTGAAACATTTTCTACAGAATGTTAATACATGTGAATCTATTTTGTTATGGTAAAGTGAAATCTGCCAATGCTCATAATCTCTTATGTTCCAATCTTTTTCATTATGGTACAGAACCCTTAAGAATCTAAATAAACAAGTAAGAGATCTTACTTAAGTCACACATCTACTTACGCTTCTATCCTTTGATTGGAAAATTTTTCAATTTATGATATTTCAGTTCATTAATTTCATCAATATTTTTAATAAAAAAATCCCTGAATATTTTTAAAACATTTGTGGAATTGTTTTTCTTAATTTTTTTCTTTTTTGTTAGCATCATTAAATCAGATATTAAAAATTTGAAAATATTGAAAACATTGAAAACATTCAGACAATCTTCAAAGGCCAAGATAAAAATCTGTTCTGTTTCCAATCAGATGAAATGTGGATCAAACAAAGTTGAGAAAAAAATGTCCTTTGTTAGAGATTATAATCGTTATGTATTTTATCATGTAAAGTACTATGCACAGCTGAAGTCCAGTTGAAAGTTTTTGTCATCAAAATCTTATATCATTTTATTTAATATTGGCAGTTGTAACAGATAAAAAAAATTATCTTGCTTTAGCAAGACTGATATAACTGGCATTTTTTTCATTTTCATAATCTTCATAAAAAAAAAGTTTTAGTAATAAATTGATATCCCATCAAACAAATAAAAAAAAAGAGTTGGTTGGGCAACTATAAACACCAAACATTGTGACACTGTTATTACCCTTTGCAGGGCTTAGCAACTTAAAATAATTCTGTACCACACTGACTGATGGATATGCTTGGTTTTCAAACAAATCAGTCTTCAATTTAAAAGAAGCTGATGGATAAACTTGGATTTCAAACAAATCATTTTTCAATTTGAAAGACATTACTTAAGCCTACCAGTCACTGATTTTATCCATATAATCCTGGACTTCCATTTCAGCCTCTTTATTCTTTAATGTGATGTTTCTTAGCCTAGCATCTCTAACATTGGCTCCTCTTTCTAACTCTGATATTCGTTTGTTCATTTTATGTTTCTACAATGTCAACATATAAAAAATATAAAAAAGTCTGTCTTATTCACATTTGAAGGAAGCAAACAAGAATAACAGAAACAAATTTGAACATTGCAACTATTGATGGTAACATTTTCTAATATATGAAGTCTCTAGGCAATACTGGGACTTTGATTGGTTTTTAATTCCTTGACATGATAAGAAATGTTAAAGTGTTTTTATCTTAATACCATATTTTTTAAAAATAAAACAGTGCATTATAGTATAAGTTAAAAAAATGTGCCTTAGTCCATATATGATACATGTAAATCTGTCAACAAACTTTGTAACAATAAATTGATGATACATAATTGCTTGTTGCACGAATCACTAATCAAAGCTTTCTTTTCATTTTCAGAGCATTTAGAGAATATTCCCCCACATCCTCTTTTACTCATATTCAAGTCTTTTAATATTGATATCTAATTACAGATCATTGTGACTTATTTTTAATACATCAGAAGATTCATGTCCTGAACACTAGTTCATATACAAAAAAATGTAGAATGTGTCCATGGGACACAGATGATGCCCCCGCTTGCATATAAAGTTTTATAGGGACATAACTCAAGAACGGTAAAAGTGACACCACCACAATTCGAACTTAATCTGAGTTTTGTGGTAAAAAGCATTGTGTATAAGTTTCATAACATTTGGTTGAGGCAAACTTAAGTTAGAGAACTGAAACGAAAATTCATCAATTTTTCCATTTGTAAAGAGGCATAACTTTAGAACAGTAAAAGTGACACCATCCACACCTTCATAGCATTTGGTTGAGGCATACTAAAGTAAGGGAACATAAACCACTTTAGATGTACGTATGGACATACAAACTGTCAAGGGTAACACTTAATGCCCCCTCCGGTGACTGCTCCATCACAGCAGGGGCATACATATATTTTGTACTGTATTTCTTTTCTCTGCGTTAAAAAATCATATAGTGCAGAATTGTTTTTGTAGTTTTATTTCTAGAATAGTGCAAATGTTCATGATGATCTATTTTTAGTGGAGTGACTGATTTCCCTGACATTTCTTCTTGGGATATAAATGATAAACTTGAAGTAGACTTATTTCATTAACCTATCTTTACCATTGAGAGCTATACAACTACTTACTCTAGTATCCAGTTCACTCTGTAACTGTAAATTTTCATTATCAAGTCGATCATGTTCAAATTCAGCTTCCGTGATCTGTGTTTGTAGTTCCCTAACCTGTAAATCATTAATTTGCTGACTTTTAACCTTTTATACATATTACAAACAGATTGTACCTTTGCAAACAGGCCTTAACACTATACAAGAAAATTTAAATTAGACTTAACTCAAAATATATTTAGTGATCTATGTCATTGATAGAGCATGAGGATTAAAAAATAACTTCAACTCTCCTTCTTTTACATATAAATATATGAAATCACGCCTGTTATCCTTTTTAAAAAATGATTGGACCAGAATTCCAAAATCTAAACAAGCATTCGTATCATGAAAGGAAACAAAATGTTTTGAAATCTCACAAGGACTGGTTTAACAGAACAAAAGTTTTTCCATGAAAAACCAGTATCCATATACGAATGACAATGTTGTTGTCAACAAACCAATACCATATTGTCATTGCATATAAGATCATATAAACATTATTCATTTTTTTATCAAATTGAAAATTAAAACACATTCAAAATACACTGAAATATTTCCATTATTTTTACCTGTTTGGCCTTCATTTCCTCAGCAACTTTAGCATTTTCATTTTTGACATGAAGGACTTTAATTTCCATATCATTTGCGATAAGTTTGGCTTTGATGTCATTGATCTGTTTGATGTATGTATCATATGTCAATCTGGACTGAGCATAATCATCACTGAAAAAAAAAGGTCTTTGTATTGATTGCTGTTGATAATAGTTGTCTCCCTTGTTCGTTTTGGGAGCAAAATCTTGTTTGTTCAAACAAATTGTCTTTGTTTCTAACCAGATGTCTGATAGCCTCCAAGAAAAATTTACAATCATCGGATTATCAGAATTATTTATCTTTTCAAAAAATCTTTATGCAGTATTCCATATTTTTATAACCTTTCCCCTCTCAAAGGTTATTTTTTATGACTTTCATCCATGTGCCAATGTAGTAATGGCTTGAAAAAAAATAGTGAAGCAGAGTGAAATGCAGGTTATATAAAATAAAATTATAATATTATAGAAATGCTTTGTACTAATGTTGTTTTGTTTTATCAACTTGAACTATTATGCAAGAAGATATGTTGTGAATTGCTTTTGAGAAGAAAAAAAAAAATAGCACAAAATCTGGTTGGACATGTTGTTATAAAAACTCGTAAGGGTTCCACAGAACCCAGTGTCTCGCCTACTTTTTCTGTTAATCGCAGGCTCAACAAAAATGAGGAAGTAAATCAATAAAAATATTCCTCTTGATACTATCTTTTGATTGAAAGAAGCTTCTGTCCAAGTTTGGTAAAAATCCAGGATAGTTTATGAATCTAATAAATGTTTAAAAACTTTAACTGCAGACTGAATGTAATGTTAACTGGAAGAAAACAAAATTTCCTTCTAGATACTAGCATTTGATCATAAACAAGCTTCTGCCCAAGTTTGGTAGAAATCCAGGATAGTATAAGAAAGTTATTAAAATTTTAAAAACTTTAACCACAGAGTAAATATGTTGTTTCCTGGCAAAAAATCGAAGTCCATTTAAAAGTAAAATACGGAAAAAATGGATTTATTTTTTTACAAAATTTCCTTCTAGATACTAGCTTTTGATCATAAACAAGCTTCTGTCCAAGTTTGGTACAAATCCAAAATAGTATAAGAAAGTTATTAAAATTTTAAGAACTTTAACCACAGAGTGAATGTGTTGTTTCCTGGCAGAAAATCTAAGTCCATTTAAAAGTAAAATAAGGAAAAAATGGATTTATTTTTTTACAAAATTTACTTCTAGATACTATCTTATGATCATAAACAATCTTCTGTCCAAGTTTGGTACAAACCCAGGATAGTTTAAGAAAGTTATTAAAATTTTAAAAACTTTAACCACAGAGTGAATGTAATATTTCCCAGTAGAAAAACTAAGTCCATTTATAAGTAAAATACGGAAAAAATGGAATTTTATTTTTACAAAATTTACTTCTGGATACTATCTTATGATCATAAACAAGCTTCTGTCCAAGTTTGGTAGAAATCAAGGATAGTTTAAGAAAGTTATTAAAATTTCAAAATCTTTAACCACAGAGTGAATATTTGTGGACGCCGCCGCCGACGGAATGTAGGATCACTATGTCTCGCTTTTTCGACTAAAGTCGAAGGCTCGACAAAAATACAATGGTAAACTTTGGAGTCAAAGTTTAAATGGTTAAAATCATTTTATGGGAAAATCACTATCAAAGAAGTACCAAAATCTGTCTATAAACAAGGATGTGTCCATAGTACACGGATGCCCCACTCGCACTATTATTTTCTATGTTCAGTGGACCGTGAAATTGGGGTCAAAACTCTAATTTGGCATTAAAATTAGAAAGATCATATCATAGGGAACATGTGTACTAAGTTTCAAGTTGATTAGACTTCAACTTCATCAAAAAGTACCTTGACCAAAAACTTTAACCTGAAGCCGGACAGACAGACGGATGGACGGACGAACGAACAGACACACAGACCGAAAAACATAATGCCCCTAAGTGGGGTATAAAAATCCAAACTCTTTAATATTGAACTTTTTGAGAAAAAAAGGAATACTATCACAGTGTAAAGTCCTGATGATATCCAATTTCTTTAGATGATTCCCTTTCAAAGCTAACAAACTAGCAAATGACAAGCTTTATTCTTATATACTCCTTGCTTTAAATATGTAGAATGAGATTATACAGCAGTACAAACCTTATTTTATCCAATGATTCTTTAACTACATCAAGTTCTCGTTTTATATGATTTCTTTCTGTAGTAGCTTTTTCCACAGCATCATTGGACTTTGCTTCTGTTTTATGCCTTCTCTTTTGAGTATTATCTAATTCTACATAAGTCTAGAAGATAAAAAGAGAAACTATAATCAAAATTATTTTGAGCCTCTATATCCAATATAGTATAATTTACATTGCAGACTTGATTTCTGTTAGTAACCACCATTTCTTTATATAGTTTTCTTAACTAAGACTATCATTTATCAAATGGAGTAGGTTCATGAAGGGTCAATATTGGCCCTATAATTCAGTTGAAGTTAACTTCAGTAATAACAAAAAACATCTGATGACATAATATTTAAAAATATCTGACAAATACAAAATCAATAAGTTTTGAGGCACTAGAACACTAATGGTGTCATTATTGTGCACACTTATGAAGAAATCATAATTTAGACTTGTTTATGGATAAATTTTCATAGTTTTTTATTCAAACAACTATGGCCACATGCAAGGACCACCATGATTTATTGTTAGGATGTGTATGTGATCCATACAGATCTTTGTAAATCTAATTTTTTTTTGAATGAAGTGGCCAATGTTTTTTAGAAGGAAATAGAACTTGCAAATGCATAAAAACAGTCAATCTGGCTAAAATCCTGCAAAATATCATACTTTTGAAGCAAGCTGTCAATATATTTAAAACAAACAGAAAATGTAATATCATAATTATAGGTTTTTTACATATGATATTACAAAGTTCAATTTTAGGGCCAAATTAAGGCCTTTGTGGCCCTACTCCTTTTTAAAATGCAGTTTTATGTACTAACTACTTCAAACAGACTAAAGTATGTTTTGCTAACTTACCTTTGACTGTGCATTCTTGATACTTTCCATTGCCTGTATCTCTAACTGTAACTTTTCTTTTACTAGAGGTCTATAAATAGATAAAATCTTTTATGTATACTAGTTCAACACTGTATTTTTTTCAAATATGTGTGTATGTTCGAATGACTCGGGAATTGACATTAATAATTGAGATGAATTCCGATAGTCCTGTATGAATTGTTAAAAACCTGTTAGCCAATCCCGTAGATGCAGTTGAAATTCCACGAAATATAATGACCCTTGCATCAAATAGTTTCATCGAGAGCAAATAGTTGGAAACTATTGACCGTTTAAATAGTTCGTTTGCAGTTTGAAAAATAGTGAAAATATTGTGTACTTATTTTATATAGAAAATGATAACTGAGGTGTAATAAAATGTAAACAATTTATGCAAACAGTGTAGGTCATTGGTTACTATCCAAAATGTGCTGCCTGGCAAAATATCATTCCTCTATGACTTATTCTTTATAAAATGAACTAAATGTAAAACTTCATTTATTTTCTTTGTTAAATAAGTTAGGAAATCTTTTTTTTCAAAGACCTGTGTCACTATCAAAGATGTGTGTAAACAAAGTTAATATATTCCATATTCCTCTATGACTAGAAGTTGCTTAGATCTTACCATTTACACAAAATTTAACTCACATTATATCTATTTACAGATTCTAAAAATAATTGCAATTTTGACTAAACCAGAGAAAATCATGTCAAGATTACCCAGTTTTTGCATGGATATTAGGTACTAATAAAGATGAGGGAACTGAAATAGTAACACTTTCTTTGACTTTCAATTACTTAAATCTGGACCTTATTACATAACTTAGCACATATATATAATTGCAACCTTATTCCCTCTCCACCACAATATGGAGAGGAAGGGGTCGATTGCATAATTTTTTGTTGTTGATTACATTACAAATGCATAGTTTTGAATATTGTACAGTTTTATTCAGTCATTCGTATATTCAAAGTATGCTCACAAATTTTAAAGGGGTCTATACGGTATTATAAAGGGCCAGTATACGTGATATGCATATGTGTCCTACTAGTTATGTGATATCTAGAGTTTATCTATGTTTGTCAAGACATAATTTTCTGTAAAAAAAATGCAGTTTATTATACAAATATATTGATATGTGTTTTATAATAAATTATTTCTGGGCCAATACTTTGTATACTTTTGACGGCACCAGAAAAATCATATTCACTGAAAAAGACCACTACTTTTGCATTATCTTACTTGCATGTACTTACATGTGTCTCTGTACAAAAGATATTTCTTCATTTAATCTTTGGTTATTAACTTCAGCAGTATGAGTTCTCTGATGTATTCTTTTCTCTGTTCTACTACTGTAGGAAACATGCCATGTTAGTTCATTCAAGTCCATGATGCATGCTTCGTGCTCTGAAATAATTCACAAAATGTCTAATGTGTAAAAGGTTGTCCTTTTCTAAAGAACATATACTAAGAAAAATATGTATTTTTGCTTTGTGTTGTTAGGTTGCTATTTCATTGATGTTTACCACAACTCCATCTATTAATATATCAGGATCTATATTTGAACTTCTGTTCTTCCGTTTATTAACACTGATCTTTTTTTTTTATTGAAAAAAATATATTTGTAAATAATTTAAAAAATATATCATGAAACTTATTTTAAGTTTACCATGTATGCCATAACAGTGAATAATCTAAAGTATAACATGAATCAATAACACCTAAAAAATCTATTTACTTGTAAATCTGCCTCATTTTTATATATAAAAAAATGTTACTTTAGTCAAAAAAATTTAAATCTGTGTTTTTTAATCCATTAATATATGCAAATTCCATCCAATATCCTTTCTTCAATTATTATTGTACATTAAAATTAAACTAATTCATCATTAGGGTCAACAAATAAGTCTACTGTAATTGAGGGTGTTGTTGTCTTCAATTAGTTTATTACCCCGTGAAAGACAACTATGAATACCTTAAATTTGCACCCAGAATATACCCTACCACACCAGGTGTTGGTTCACCACATGAAATTACAATTCAAGGTAGATCAGGTGTCTTCCGCCATCTTGGATTGTAACATAAAGGAAACAATCAGTCTAGATCTTTAATGAAATGGGAAAATTCGAGAGATGAATGTAATTCATTTATAAAATTTTCAAATAAATGAAGAAAACAATTTGTTTTATAATATTTTTACCATTGTTACAACTACAGAATATTTTTTGTTTGATTCAATTTTTTCCAACTTTTCCATTTAATGTGCTATGAATTTACCTGTTTTGTTTTGTAGCCAGCAAACAATTCCGGTGACCCCAATTCTAATTTTTATTTTCTAAAAGCACATTATTAGAGTTGTCTTCTCATATTTTATCTTTAAATTCTATGGTTTAGTTTTCTTTTCATCACACAAAATAGGAGTTTCCATGCATAATCTATACAAAGTATGACAATTTTGCACAACCTGTAGCTTGAAAAGAAGCCCTATGACCAAGGCTTCCAAAACAGTCATATATTCCGGACATTTGTATAATGTCCGATAAAAGTCCGGCTGGGCAAAGCATGAAACGGACATCTACTTTTTAGTTTTCAGGGCTTAAGAGACGGTCATTTTAACATAATTTGCGATCTTTTTGACCCAACCTTTTGCCTTTAACAGCCACACATTTCCGGTCATAAAAGTGACATGATCATTAAGTACTATCAAAACAACCCCTACTTTAATACCTTCTCATTTTAATCAAGGCTAATTAGTTGTCGAACAGCTGAAATTTACCTGTTCAGGTGACAGGTAAACTATTTTGAACCGGACATTGATTGGTCTATTCAAAGTTATTTTCTTACATTTCAACGGTTTGCATCTAATTAATTTAGTTAAAAAGATTTAAATTATCAGAAATACGTTTACAAATATGATTTGATGAAAAAATTAAAAAGGTGAAAATGAAAAATCGTCATAACCACGTTGTTTGAACCAGAGACAAGTCTCTGTTTGAACTAGTACACGTGTGCGCAGGTGTGAAATTTAATTATGCATCCTAATTTCTTCAAAAAATGCTTAAATTGTCATTGATACCTTTATCTCACGTTTATTTCGAATATTTTCTTGAAGAAATAACGTAGAAAGAGCTACTTACACTCATTCATGCTTTGCAAACGTACAAGGAATTTACGTATCCGTCTCTGGTCCGTGTTTTACCATTGTCAAGATAACATCCGGTTTAGATTTAAAAATGAAAGTAAAGTTTTTGACAACGTTATTTTGCACAAATAAAGAGTCTAAGCAGATATAAGTACGCTGATGTTGCACACTTCGAATGATGCACTGCCAATTTAACAGTTTACGTCAGAACTTCGAATTTGAATCAAAGAAAGTTTAATATCGTTTTTTTTTTAATGTCAATCATTGGGATGGCCAACTCAGCAACTGATTGCCATAATTGCCTTTAATTTATTTAGTCTTAAGGGATTAAAATCGGGATAATATATTAAATGTCCGGCTGGCTAAAAATAATTTTGGAAGCCCTGCCTATGACCCATACATTTTATTATATTTTTGAAAAAAGCATGATATAAACTACATTTTGACCACTAATAAAAAAAATCTATGGATTTAAATTTAGACACCCATTTCTACCTTAATATTAAATTTAATCAATATAAAATCGTGAAAGTAAACTCAAAAGATTTATGCTTTGACAACAGTGGGAATCTGAACATCTTTGTTATAACCAAAAAACATTGCTACCTCTTTGTACAGCTATTGGTAATTCCCTCATCCTGACTAAACATAGGTGGTCTATCTTGTCATTCAATCTAACAACTTTTTCTTTCTCATTTTCAAGTGATTTTAAAATTTCTACTCTATCATTTTCTAATCTGGCAAGTAGGGTAACGACTTCATCCAACACATCTTCAGCTCCTAAATATGGTAATAAGGCACCATCCTCTTCTGAAAATACACACATACATATATAAACATGAAACTTACATGCCACTGTTATCTGATAAATCGTGTTATAATAGATCAATTATAATGAATATAAATTTTCATGCTTTTTGTGATGACCAAAAAACAAACTGAGAGAGACACCACTGAAATGTCTCGAGACAAAAACTGATGCTTTCAATTAATTCAAATTTAATGCTTTATAAGTTATTGCATGCTTCACCTTTAATGGCCCCAATGCCTGTGATTGAAAGTTGATTGGCTGATGAAAGTGATATTGTTGTCCGACCTGATGCTGCACTTTGTCTCCCTTTAGCACTTCCTATTGATTTGATGACATTATGATTTCCACTAGCACCAGAAAATCTCAATTGCTTCTTACTTGCAACTGTGAAAAAATATCAATATTTTCAATAATTATACAGTTTACTGATATAAAGGAAAGGGTATGAATGATGGCATGTGAGAAACAAATTGTTATAGTTCTATCAAATATCCAATTGCCATAATATTTCCAGAAAACAGCATATAATTGGATTAATTTGGTCAGAATCTTTCAATTCTACAGATAACGAAATATTAAATAAGAGAAAAAAAAGAGAATTTTTATTTTGCACTAAGTGTCAATAGTCTAGCAACTTGAAGTGCTTTTTAAACTAAAATTTTCCAGAATGATGTGTAAGATATCAGTTAAAAATAAGACAAGATAACCTGGATAATCAGACATTACCTGGTCTTACAGAAGATGGTCTACTCTTCTGTTCCTCGTCTCTTTCTCTGAACCACTCTTCTATTATGTTTTGTATAAGTTCTAGATGAGAAACTGCCTTCTTTACACATGGTGAGGTGGCTTTTGTTAGTTCACAACTCTTACGACGGAAAATTTGAGGTATCTTTGGCCAGTTTTCAGGCAGTGGATAAACTTTATCTATGAAGTGCAATATCATAAATTATTATGTCATTATATAGAGTAAAGAAGTTAAGATCACATTGTTGTATAAAATGCACGGTGTAAAGCCATAATGTGACCTTTTGATCTGTGTTTTTTAATGCCTTTTGTTGCTGTATTATGTCCCACCGACATAAAATGTACCTGCTGTAAAGCTTATTTAAAGAACAAAATGAATCACATCCCTTTACTTATCCAGTTCCAATTTGGAGGGATGTATAAATATGTAAAGACGTAAATGTGCTATTTTTGGCTAACATCTTAAATAAATGAATAATACATGTAATTCTAATTTCCTTATAAATATATCAAAGTGGTATTCCTGTTGAACTTAAAAAGAATATTTTTTCAATCACTTAGCAAATCTGTTAATTTCAAATAAGATTTCCTGCACTAATTTTTGAGTTTAAAGCAACTGACTAAATTTCTAGATTGATAAATTTACCTGCAGTTTCTGAAAGCTCCTCCTCATTTAGACCATCACCACTTGAACCAATAAATGTTGCTTTAAATATAAGGACAAGGAGTTACAGAAAATCTAGGTCCTCCTATATCATAGACCAGGAGTAAAAAAAATATGCCTTAGATCAAGGATCTTTTACCTCTCTAGATGAAAGGATCTTTCGTAATAATTTGTAAATAGAAGTCCTGAAGATGTTTGTTAGAATTCAAAAATTCTTTTATGCCACATCAAAATATTTCACTGACTTTTCATCAAAAGAGGACTTATTAGAATTAAATGTGAACTTTGAGGCCAAACTTCTAAACCCTGATCAATATAGAATGTCTCACAAATTGTGCAGATGCAAATTTCAGGGACTTAGTTTCAGTTTACTTCAAATGTTCCAGACTGTAATGTCTAGAGTTAAACAAATAATTACATTGTATCATAAGGAAAAAGTAAAATAACAAAAATATCGAACTCCAAGGAAAATTCAAAACCGAAAGTCCCTTATCAAATGGCAAAATCAAAAGCTCAAACACATTAAATGAATGGAAAACAACTGTCATATTCCTGGTTTGGTACAGACATTTCCTTATCAGCGGTCGGGTTAACGCAAAATTATACGTTTCTCATGCAGAATTTAGAAAAAATACGCAAAATAAATCAAGTCCTGCGTTATTTCCAGCCAAAAAAAATAAAACTATAAAGGCATCATTGACTTTGTTTTTCTTACATTCTCTGTTTCTTAAGCATGTCCTTTCTGTTGAAACGTCAAATTTACGTCAATTTAAGATCTTTTACATCCATTTTATTCCAGCCATTATAGCTTCAAAATTATTTTGACACATTCCCTTTCTTATTCAGTGTGTTTGATTGGACAGCATAAATGAGGTCATCCAATCAAAAGCACCTGATTTGAATACACAACTTTTAGTTTGTTTACCAATGGAATACACATCTACAGGTTATAAACACAGTGACTGTCTTCTTAACCGCGGATAACAAGGATGATAATTTGCATCAGAAGTTGACTGACAAGAATTTTTAAAAGTTCTTAACAAGGTTAACCTACAAAATGGTTCTTTTTGTGTCCATTACGCATTTTTTTTTGGTGGACTGCGTTTTTTTTTCAAGCAATAAAAAATATTCTACCGCGACCGCAGCTTATGTAGAAAATGGTGGATTAAACCTGGTTTTATAGCTAGCTAAAAGGAAGTCATTTCTTCCTAACAATAGCAATACATGTACGTGCGTGATGTTATTTTATGGAATGAATTAAATTAGCGTTACCCTCAATTTCTTGAACTGCATTATTAAATTTTTCTTGACTTGAAAACCTTTCTCCCAGTGAATATGAATCTGGTCGTATCTCAACTTCCTCAACTTTTACTACTTTAGTCTGTGACATAGTCTGAAAAGTTCAACAAGTAATACATCAATATCTAAATATCTGTGTAAAGCCAATCCACAGTCTTTACTTAAAAAATTTAAAACCCTGTTTTGGATTTAATGGAAGTCCATCGAGTTTCACATTGTATTGTCAATTTTGTTAATTTCATTTTTCTGAAACATAAAATGCACATAACTGATATGTATTTAGGCCCTGCAAAACTTTTTCAGCGGTATAGATTTGTCTTCACTCAGAATAAATTTTGAAGTGAAAACAGCCATATTTGCAAAAAAGTTATCAACAATAAACAAGGAAATAAGTAAATTTCTTGCTCCACAACTTTGTAAAGAACCATAAACTAAAGCACACAGTTAAATCAAAGTGCTTGTGAACACTGAAGGGTAAAGATTGCTTTCATTTTGCAATTTCGTGAATTTCTAAATCAAACATTGAATGTATGCAAATTAAAAATTTTGAGGTTGAACCTATTTTTATAACAGATTCATGCATCATGCATTACTTGTAATTTTTAATTAAAAAATGTTTTCTTGTCAAGTATGGTAATTCAAAGACACATCATATTTTAACATAAATATCAAAGTATAACATATTATCAATAAATTGCCTGACATTGACTGGATAGGATCAAAATAATGATCACTTCACTGCATTATTTTGTTCAAACTATCAAAGTTATTGGTAAACCTTGGAAGATATAGTTATCGTCAGGGTTTTGATTGCATTTCATGCAATCTTTACCCAAAAAATGAAGGCTATTTGACACCTTATAATATTTTCACATACAAATGCTGTCCAGTAAATTTGCCCATCTAAGGTTCTCTTTTAGCTATTTGCCTTGACATTGTCAAAATGTTTTGTATAAAATATTGTACTATGTGCTTTATTGAAATTACAATTCTATCAAAATCATAATATAAAATAATGACAAAGTTTTTTAAAACATCCAGAACACAAATGAGCTAACCATGTTTCTATTGGCATGGGAAGTACCTTGTTTGGTGAATCAACCCATACATAGACCTGATTCAATAAAAGTTACGATCACTTTATTATTCTCTACACGGATCGTAACTTTTGGCTACAGATCACCCCCAGTTTTTGGTGGGGTTCGTGTTGCTTAGTCTTTAGTTTTCTATGTTGTGTCTTCTGTACTATTATTTGTCTGTTTGTTTTTTATTTTTAGCCATGGCGTTGTCAGTTTATTTTCAATCTATGAGTTTGACTGTCCCTCTGGTATCTTTCGTCCCTCTTTTGGCTAGAGTAGATGTTTTTAAAATTTTAAATGATGAACCCATGACTGTCTCTGCCTTGATGAAAAAAATAGACACACTGGGTTTCTCAGGAACTGGATTGAACGTAAAAGTTAACTTTACAAAATCGTTGGTCACACGTAAGCTCAAATAAGCAAACAAAAAAAAAAAGGAGAGAAAGAAATTTGAACCAAAAAAAAAAAAGCAAAAACACACACACACATTCTTCTTAACAATGAACAGGGACTATATATATATTGCTAGCTACATGTGTACATAAATTGAGTCCAGCGTACGTTAAAACAATCGCAGTGAGTACGGCGTACGTTTTAATTGTTTTATTGAGTCCCGCAAAACTTTGTATCTGCGTACGTTTTAACATAGAACATATATTTTTTTCTGCGTATGGTAGTACATGTACCGCGTACGCTCTAAAAACAACCCCGAATCCTGCGTACGAAAAGTGGGGTTATACCCAAATACATGTACTGTACATGTTTCATGAATAAACCAGCGATGAGAACGTTCAACAGATTTGATCAAATGAGGCATGCATGTTTAAAAATTCAAAAATATAACATCGAAATAACAAACATGCAAGTATTATATTTAATAAAAACTGGCATTGTCAAGACTGTCATCCTTATTGCTGTCCTGTAAAGATCCGAGTTAATTGCTCACAAGTGTGGTAAAATGAGGTGCTCCAAAAGGTAGGAACATGCAGACTGTGTGATCGAAATTGCCCCAAAGTGTGACCGAAATTGACCGATCATTGATCAAATTTAGTCGAAATTAGATCTCGGCATCTATTGCTCTTTTACCGTTACTACTTGGTAAATAAGGTAAAACGCAGAGAAGTATGCATGTAAAGTAAAGCGTCTTTCCGACGCAATTTGGTCATTATAATTCGAACATGTCAACTCTACAGAAGCCATCTCTAAAAACACACAATTGATTATTGATCGAAATAACCCGAATTTCCCCTATATATTTTTTTTTTATAAAGTACACAGTTAACAAAGTTTTTAACACCTACCAAGATTTTCACATAATTATTTTATCAGAAAGAACTGTTAAGCATTAAAAGTCTTGTATGTTATGTTGATTGCGCTAATTTTTTTTGGTCATGAGAAAAATTCTATCGAGAGAAATATTTTGTTTGTGATAGTTCCACCATTTTGACGCCATTGCAGTTTCTATGGACAAATTTGTAACGTGACTTTTCATTGGATTTTGGAGGAATGTCACGTGACCAAAGCAAAATGGCGAAAAGTATTTTCTTTTTGTTGATGAGTTGAATTTTCGGCTGTTTATTCCCATATGTCTGATTATGACAAATCAAACATAATGCAGACGGACCCAAATAAAGATAAACAATTTAAAAAGAAGAAAAGTAGAACATGGATTGAGGCTGCGAAAATCGTAAGATCAACTTATAGACAGAATTTAGATTTTATTTGATCGATTTTCATCATTTTACTTTCTTTTATAATTGTAAGTTGTACATATCCATAATAATTATAATATACTGAAATTCATATAAGATAAGTATTTATTTGATGAGATATTTCAAATCTGTTAGTCTAAGATGGTGTAACAATAAATAAAGGTGGACTCTTTAATACAAGAAATTCAATTTCAAATTCTGAAAATTTATCTAACAAAATGCATACCCTGCATGTGTATGTTAAGGTTGGATTACAGCCAAGTATATTGATCTGATGCATCTTCTTTTGTTACTCATTGGAATTATTTCGTTAAGAATCAATGACATATTCAAATGAAACTTTGAAATTGTATGGAATGTGAGGTGGGAAACCTCTGTCGTTGCCGTTAATACTATATTTTCTCTCTCCCCTTGTATAAGTCCCATGTGCCCAACCACAGGAGATCAGGTTACACCTTTATATTAGCATCATCATCATCATCATCATTGTGACAAATAATTAAAATAATTTCCGATATCTTGGGAGTTATCTTGCAGTACAAGCATCTTTCTTGATGATGCATGATTGTTTTTTCCAAGACCTAGGAGGCAATCAGAATCAAAAGATTATTTACTTGATGCTTTACCAAATAACAAGAAAATTGTTAATCCTCAATAATATTTGAGAAATAGTTGGTTTTTACTTTGGCAATAAAACTTCACCCCCCATATGACTGGGCTGAGAGTCGGGACATGCTAGACTGCATTTTGGGATTTGTTTACATTGTACTCCTTCATGAGAATGCACAAATTCTTCATTGAGAGGGTCATAATTTGACATATAAATACGAAAAAGATTTTATTCCTCAGCTGACAAAATTATTTAAATGCAGTGACATTAAATTATGACTTTTAACGTCTAAAGATTGAAAGTACAAGAAAGCAATGTTGTATTTGAAAGGTATTACAACAGAAACTGTATTTGATGAATAGAATTGTACCTGTTTGTAAATCACTGTTTTTACATCTGTTTAATTACGGCCTCCCCCCCCCCCTGAATGGCAGACGCCCTATAGTGATCAGTCTGTCCGTCTGTCTGTCTGTCCGTAACAAATTGTGTCCACTCTATATCTAGAGAACCGTTATGATTTCAAAGTTTATACTTGACATGTATATTAACCAACACCAGAGGGTGTGTCATAATTTATGTACAACTTCCTAGGTCAAAGGTCAAGGTCAAAAACTTTGGTTTTAGTTTACAACCCCATGTCCTATGGTAAAGATCGTGTCCGCTCTATATCTTGAGAACCGTTATGATTTCAAAATTTATACTTGACATGTATATAAACCAACACCAGAGGGTGTGTCATAATTTATGTACAATCTTCCTAGGTCAAAGGTAAAGGTCAAAAACTTTGGTTTCAGTTGACAACCCCATGTCCAATGATAAAGATACAAATTTTTTACCACACATTATTCACAGCGGGGCCCACAGAGATGGCTCCCATCTCAATGATTTCTAGTTTTTTTTCCTTAGGATCTCAAAGATGTATACTTACATAACTAAGCATTATTGATAATGTTTGTCATTAATATGATAATGTTTTGAAATGTTTATTTCTGAAATCATTTAACAGAAAGTGTTATACATTTTATGTAGATGGAATAGACTCACTAGTAGACACTCAGGCCATAATCTTGCCGGCGAAATGACGATTTAAGTCGCCAAAGAATTTTATCTGAGGATGTTGCGTAATCACTCAGCTGATTTGTTTTATTTTTATTTATTACGAGTCGATGTACTATTCGGTAGGTTAAGGGTGGGAATTAAAGGTAGATTTATTATATTCATTGAATAAAAATTGAAATATAATAGGTAGAAAGACAGCTGATGGATAATGTGATTGCAAACGTACAACACTCAACCAGCTGTGATCAGCAGTGGATTTTTTTTTCACGACCATTTCGTTGATAGGGAAGATATCTTTAAAAAATGAAAGAAATTAGCTCTTTATCGGTTAATTAATATGTGATTGACAGATATTTTCATTTATAGGCTTACAATCTTTAACAAGAATCTCAATTTACAACTACATGTAACATGATGTCCTGGACATTCAATAATGTTTAACAAAATAATGACAAGTGGTGATATAAATTAAATTCCCAGTCATGTGAAATTCATCAGGTAAACTGGGAGTCATATTTTTCTGGACATTTAAAAATAAATTGAGGCAGATGCACATGAATTTAATGCATCATAATATTACTAGGCTACTCCCTCATGTCCCAAGCAACACATTTTATTTAAACTTAAATTCAAGTTGACAGTACAAATGGTATCAATGAATAAATAACAACTATATTGTCTAAACCTTTTTATTAAGAACTTTCTATATATACATTTTGTACAATAACATGAAAAAACTGCAAGTATATTTTTTATTGCATATAAAACAATTTCCTTAGTGATAAGCACGAGAACACTATGCAACCGAAACGGTAATGGAATCTCACTTCTCCAAGAAATTGATCACTTCTCCCTTCTCTCTCATGGAAGGAGAAGTCACTTCTCCCTCTCCAAAATCCTAGATTAGGCCCTGGACACTAATTCAATAAAAATAGTTCTTTCTACTGATGGTCTTACTATTTAGAATCCTTTAGCTGGCCTCTTACCATGCTGACAAAATACTCTTGATTTCAATTTATTTTGTGATGAGACATCATGAAACCTGCTAGGAGTGTTGTTTCTGATTTTTATACGACCGCAATTGCGGTCGTATATTGGTATGACGTTGGCGTCGTCCAAAGACACATTGGTTTTCGCACTCTAACTTTAGTTTAAGTAAATGGATCTCTATGAAATTTTACCATAAGGTTCAATACCACAAAAGGAAGGTTGGGATTGATTTTTGGGGTTATGGTACCGACAGTTATGGAATTAGGGGCCAAAAATAAGCATTTTTGTAACTTCAAGACATAACTTGTGTGTTAGTGTATGGATCTCTCTGACATTATACCAAAAGGTTCCATATCACAAAGGGCATGCTGGAATTGATTTTGGGGGTAATTGCCGCAAAATTTTAGGAATTAGGGGCCAATAAAGGGGCAAAAAACAAGCATTTTTCTAGTATCATGACAAAAACTTGTGTGTTAGTGTATGAATCTTTCTAAAATTGTACTACAAGGTTCCATATCACAAACGGAAAGCTGGAATTGAGTTTGGGGGTAATTGCCCAAAACATTTAGGAAAAAGGGGCCAAAAATAAGCATTTTTCTAGTTTCCAGACAATAACGTGTTCAAGTGTATGGATCTCTCTGAAATTGTACTGCAAGGTACCATACCTCAAAGGGAAGGCTGGGATTGATTTTTGGGGTAATTGCCTCAAAATTTTAGGAATTAGGGGCCAAAAAGGGTAAAAAAACAAGCATTTTTCTAGTTTCATGACAATAACTTGTGTGTAAGTGTATGGATCTTTATGAAATTGTACTACAAGGTTCCATATCACAAAGGGAAAGCATGGTTTGAGTTTTGGGGTAATTGCCTTAAATATTTAGGAATTTGAGGCCAAAAAGGGGCCAAAAAACAAGCATTTTTCTAGTTTCCAGACAATAACTTGTGTTCAAGTGTATGGATCTCTCTGAAATTGTACTGCAAGGTACCATACGACAAAGGGAAGGCTATGATTGAGTTGGGGGTGATGAATCATAAGTGGGTTCAAAAAATTGGGGGGGGGGGGGGGATTTTTTTTACCCTTTTTTTTCTTTAAAATTTTCCATTTTAAATTGATTATTTCTGATTTATATATAAAAGCAAATAATAATGATATGGTTTGAATAGGTAAATTAAAAAAATTTAAGTTCTTAGACCACATTAATTCTGTGTCAGAAACCTATGCTGTGTCAAATATTTAATCACAATCTAAATTCAGTGCTGTATCAAGCTTGAATGTTGTGTCCATACTTGCCCCAACTGTTCAGGGTTCGACCTCTGCGGTCGTATCAAGCTGCGCCCAGCGAAGCATTTTATTTGTTTTCTTGAGAGGCTGTCGCTGGCAGTATCCAACCAACAGCCGTAACTTCCTGTAGTGATGTCATCCTGTTGGTAGCTGCAATGTTATTTTATCACAATTAAAGAAAGACATATGCATATTACCGTAATCACATGACATGAAAGGGAATATGATGTCAAGACTGCCATAAATGTGTCAAACATCATTTAAGGATAATTTTAATCATAGCTTAATGAAGTAACAAATTTAATTTGTTGAAAATTACATTTGTTCATGTACACTTGTTTCCTTTGAAATAATATTACTTGGTTAATGTCATAAACTATATTTTTTCTATTTCAGGTTTTAGAAGGTAATCCACAGACTCCTATGAATTGTAAAACAATCCTGCAAAGAATAAAAGATGATAATCTAAAGGATATAAGGTAATGTCTATGTATGGATTGACATACAAAAACAAATATTTAGTAAATAATAAATCAAATTGAATAATGTAGATTTGAATATAAAAATATACAGATCAATTTCAATCTCTGTAGACTTTACAATTTCTTATGTAATTTAAGCACAGTAGGTGCTAATGCCAATGAAATATTGTTTCTTAACACTTCATTATAATTTTGATGGGTATTTTTATTTATTTGCTTATTAAGGAGTCTGTTGTTGGGGATTTGTGTGGACTGTTGTACTGTCCAATATTTTTGGTAATTCCTGCTACCCCTTTATATGTATAATACATGGTGTCTAAATTCATTTTCATGATTTTGGCAAATTACGATAACCTTTTGAACATAGTAATGTTTCCCTATTAGGTCAGTATGAAGATAATCATCTGAATCAATCTATTTGAAATTTACCACCAGAACTAGCTTGAAGACTCAACATATTGAAATGGGATATATTTGATAAATATCCAATTTCAGTATGTTGGGTCTTCAATATCAAAAGAAAAGTACACATAGATATGATCAAAATCATTCGACAGGATAAACAGTCTGCCACATACCATGGAGTTAACCAAAACTGCTGAGCGGAACACTGTTTATTTTTCCATTCTAGACTACATAATAGAAGTTGAATGACATCTTGAAGGGGAGATAATTGACATGACATATTCATTTAATTTGATTTATGTAAGCTCATCTTCTCTGTAACTGTCCTCAGGATTTAAATGAAACATTACAAAAGGTCCTTCGTTGATTGAAGGTGTACATAAAAATGAACCTTTTCAATATCTTGGAGAGAATACAGTTGAACTTGAGCATTAATTAGTTATTTGATTGAAAATGAGATCACAAATCATAAACCAAAGAACAAGGATGTGAACAACTAAGTCATGATATGTTTTTGACCTCTTTTAAAAATGCAAGATGGTTTTCTATCAAAATTTAATACAAAGGTAGTAATTCCCGTCACATCTTGGGAGGAAAAATTGAACTTGCTGACCAACATCTTTAAGGGGAGATAATATGATCCAGGATATCATTTAATGAGATTGCTCACAGAAGTTTTATGCCATTATTATTATTAAAGCAGTAAGTATTCCTGAAGACATCAACTTGAAACATGTATTTATGTTTTCTTATTTCAGTGGTTCAGTACCATTAGCATGTTTAAACTCCTGTCTGGATACTAACTCAAGAGGCAAAGACAGTGTATTTTATAAAGTATATGGAAGGTCAGACGTTTATGGATTACGAGTAAGTAAAAATTGATTTAGATTCTTTTTTACAGAATATATAATAAGTGTAGTAAAATGAAGCATCACATATTTCTGAATACCGTCAAAAGTTGTGTATAGTCCATATGCATAATCTGCACTCCTTATATAATTTGCCATGAGAATTTATGAAAAAAAACATTCAGCACTTGCAGAAAAGACTGATGAAACTTCAGTAAATTTAATGTTGTATATGTTCACTTACTTTTAATTTATCTAATTATACTTTATTTACATTTTCTTACAAGTTTTTGAACTTATAGTACAAGAAAATTTCATTTGTTTAATTATGATTATAGTACAAGAAAATTTCATTTGTTTAATTATTATTCACCCTTTCTGTGTATTCTTTTTCAGAGTGATTTACCAGAAGGTTCTGAAATAATCAGTGTAAAAGAAGAAGATGAAGATATACAGATTACAGACAGTACATTTCCAGATCAGAAAAAAGAAAATTGTAAGATTATGCTTTTACCACCAATGGTGTGGAAATGGTCATATTTGCCAGTCTTGACCAATTTAAAATACAAATGACTGAAATGAAACAGATTTTAAATTTATCATGACCAGACATTTTCAATACTTTTTGTCAGAAAGTGCTATTTTTGGTTATCAATAACTAAATTCTGCAATGAAACTGCCACTTGGTATATTGTAATCAACAGTACCAGCTGAGTTACTGTTTTAATGTCCAAACATTGTAATAGTTGTCTATGTAAAAATAAGGAGACGTGGTATGATTGCCAATGAGACAACTATCCACCAAAGTTCAAATGAAGTGGATGTAAGCAATTATAGGCAACCATACGGCCTTCAACAATGAGAAAAACCCATACCATATAGTCGGCTATAAAAGGCCCTGACATGAAAAATAGGAAACAATTCAATTGAGAAAACTAGCGGCCTAATTTATAACAATACAATTTATGAAAAACAAATATGACAGACATGGAACAAATGACAACCACTGAACTGCAGGCTCCGGACTTGAGACAGGCACATATAGAATGTGGCTTGGTTAGACTAGTTTGCTGGTGCCAAACTCTCTCCCTAACCTGGGACAGTGGTGTAACAGTACAAAATAAGAACAAACTATAAAAATCAGTTGAAAAGGGCTGAACTCATCAGATCGATACAAAGCAGAAAACATCTAACGAAAACACAGACCGGACGTGACAGCATATCTATACATCCCACAACAAAAAAGACACTAAGTAAAGATCTGAGAGTACTCACAGTTACTGACAGCTAGTTCAAAGCCAATAACAACTAACAAAAAAATCATGTATCTAAGAATAGAATATCAATCAGTACACATCCAACATCCAATGAAGTTAGTTTAAAGACCTCATTAACAGTCAGAGAAAAACATGACCTTGTGTAACGCCAAAATATAGGTATTGACATATTGCAGTACCATAAATGTGCATATGTGTATAACAATCATTTTACTGATAACAAAATTAATATTTATACCAATAAAAACAATATTCAAAGATATAATAACAGTGTTGAATTGGTAACCTTTTAGAATAAGTTTCTTTAGTGAAGATTTAAAAAAAAAAATGCTTTAGTAATGTGTAAATATGAACATTGTTAACTTTATATTTTTATTCAGTGGTATATGTCAAATTACCCATTGGTATAACAACTATACCACTGAAAGATGAAGAAGAAAATGAAGAGGATGATGATGTTGGTGAAATGGATCTACCCCCTCAAATTAATGGAGAGAACAAAAATAACACAGAAACCACAAATTTGCGACGTAGCATAAGACAATCATTAAGACAGAAGAAGAAGAAACTAGAATATCCAAGGATTATCATCAAACCCATTCAACCTCCTCCTAAAGAAGGTAAGTTTTATATTTCACATCTTATTTATTGTAGGGAGTTTCCTAACATGTATATAGTGAATGCAATTGGTGGGAAGATAATTAATTTGACCCCATCAGGGATCTCCATGACCTTTTTTATTATGGCGCACCGTCATCGTTAAATTATCTTCCGCCATCGTCAAAGGATCCCTGCCATTGTTAAAATTTGTTTTCATTTTGCTAGCTGCATCCATTTTTATAAGCCCGTCAAAATTTTGACGGGACGTATTGTGGTATACAAATGTCCGGCGTCCGTCTGTCTGTCCGTCTGTCCGGCGTCCACAAGTGGCACCGTAACTTGAGAATGACTTATCCAAATTTTATGAAACTTAACATAGTTGTTTCTTATGATGGTCAAATGATCTGTATACATTTTGGTGAAAATAAGATGAAAGCTTTTTGAGTTACAGGACTTTGTAACTAAAACAGGGGGGTGTTTTTTTTCACGTCGCTCTGTATCTCAAAAACGATTTATGATTATTGCTTAAAACTTTACACACTTCTTAGTTATATTAATCTAAAGATCTGTATACTTTTTGGTGATGATTCAAAATTTTATTTTAGAGTTATTGAGTTTTTTGTAAAAAAAAGGGGGGGGGGGGGGTTTCACTTGTCACGCCATATCTCAAAAACAATTTATGATTATTGCTTAAAACTTTACCAACTTCTTAATTATATTAATCTAAAGATCTGTATACTTTTTGGTGATGATTCAAAATTTTATTTTAGAGTTATATCACTTGTTGCGCCGTATCTCAGAAACGATTTATGATATTATTGCATAAAACCTCACACACAAAACAACGGGTGTATCATGCGCTTGTGGCGCAGCTGTTTATTCTTAGCTATTATAAACAATTGTATGTAATTGCATAATCCTTATTGTATTATAATCTAAAGGATCCTCTTGATTACAGTTGTAAAACCCTGAGGGATATCCGCCTTAAGATCGCTAATCACTTGTACAGGTAGATCAACACATCTGACAGGAGAACACTTTATCAAGATAGACAAGTCAATTGTATTTGGTTTGCAGTTGTTTTAGCATTGGCACATCTCATTTCCATGGAGATTGTTTAGCCCTGTACCTTCAGTCATGACACATTGACTTTGAATATTTGCACAACTGTTAAAGTATTGCTATTTTAATTTCAACATTTGCATTATCAAAATAACAAATAGGCGAGACATATCTCTGTATTAACAGTTTATATATTGACTCATGCAATCAGCATCCCCCTTTTTAAATGAGTACAAAATAAGATGTAAAACAGAACATAATTTCATACCAAATAACACAAGTACAGCAATTATCAATATTACTGAATCACTTTACAATTTTACAAGTAAATAGAATACATGAATATTAACTGCAACTTGATAATATGAAGAAATTGCGTATCTTAATTCCGAATTCATTTCGTAGCTTACAATCAAATGAATACATCCAGTTACATTCAGAATCTAAAGATGTATGTTGCATAGTCTATTACTATGAAAGTCATTAAAACCATTTTAAGTTGTAAAAGTTTGCCCTCGAAATCTTTATTCAATGTTTTACAAAACAGGTATGAAACTTCTTCAGGGTTCTCGTTAAAACGCATATACGCATCCTGGACGCATGAAAATCGAGCTGGACTCGTCATTTTTGAAACCCCTGAGTCCCTGGGACGCGTCCGCATTGTATCGCCTGAGTCCCAAACACATCCTTTTGCCTTAGAGATTCATGATCTCCGACTTTGTTGACAAGAAACTGAACCGGGAGTCGACGTTGAAAAATTAACGTGATGCGTAGATCAATATTTTTGCATAAAATAGATTGTAGAACAGTGAAGATATAAAAAATTTACGGTTAAAAATAATTTTACTCTTAACATTTTCTCGTATTGTGCATGTTAAACATCGCGATCGTAAACAAAGGTGAAAAATGTTTTGAAATTGAAACAGATCGGATTAAAAAATGATTAAGCAAAATCAGTATCATGAACAGTGTTCACATTAGATTTGCTTGTTTTTATTAAAGACTATAATAATTATAATGATAAAAACATCAAAGTGATTATTAACTCAGTTATAAGATAACAAGTCCCTTATTTAATATAATTAAAATTAATTAATAATAATGAACTGGGTACTAGCTTGTCTAACAAAATGACATCAGTATCACAATGAGTCAGTCAAAGTTAAAGTCCTTCTTCAAAAGGAAACCTGATGACATTGAATCATCAGTTCCAAGTAAAAGACCAAGAGTCAATGATCCACTACACCAAGAATTGATAGACATAGGAAGAAGTCTGTTATATATGTTGTAATGAAAAAAAACTATTAAGAGATCATAAATTTTATTGATATAATAAAAACTACCAATCCAACACGCGTCGTTTTAGTTTTAATTCGTCATATTTCATTAAGACATCCTGGACTCATCAAAATTTAGTGGGACTCACCATTTCTAAAAGTGATGAGTCCCAGGACTCACCATGAAAAATTCCTAGTGAGAACCCTGTTCTTGTTGTTGATGCTGCAAATCGTCAATACCAGTTCATGAGATTGACTTCTGAATTTGACAGTGAAAAAAAGATCCGCCCGATTTTTAAGTCCTAAACAATTACCAAAATAGCAAGAAAAAGACTTGGGACCTTAAGTATAGTTTGTGGCCATTCTTGACTAAACAGGAGCCATGCAGGCTTGACATTGAAATAGTTACAAATGACAATTAATGAAAATATTGGTTATTCTATAATGAAATAAATATAGTAAGCAATATATCAGTCTGTTCACCATTCCTTACATAAAAATTGAGGATTGAAATACTTTCGATCACGACACGGGGTAGACACAGGGTTTTGTCATGGTGAAAGTTCCTCCATAGTTAAATTTTCATCCGTGGAGATCCCTGCCTATATTATTATTAAAACTTGTTACTTTTCATGATCATTTTCAACAAAAGATACATAGTTTATGGAATCATTTCTTTAGTTATCAACCAATATCATTCACACTGATGTGTACAGGAAGTTGTTTGAAACTCCTTATATATATATGAGTTATTTGACCTGATACAATAGATTTGTTCAACAGGATTGTATTTGAAAATTTCCTGTTCACTATGATTCTATTGGTACAGTGGATATAAGTGACTAAAAATCGTACAAGAATGATATATTGTCTGTGAATGTATATGTTAGAGTGAAATCAAATGTAATATAGAGAATTAGCTGTCTCCAATGCATTCCTAAATTTCAATTTATAGAGAAAAAAGAAGAACCAAAGGAAGAAATTATAATTGATGTTACTGATGATATACCACAACAGAATGGTAATCAAAACTCAGAAGACTCGGAAACAGATAGCTCACAATCTCAGAGACCACAGACAATGAGGGAAATTTTAGCTGGTATTCCTGGTTTTAGTATGAGGGTAGCGTATTATTTGTATTACTTTTGTAGCTCATTTAGCTTGCATGACCATTGCGAATTATTTCCAGTACAAAGACATTCTTTGTTTATGCGTATTTGTCCATTTATTCCGTTGTAAACTTAGGTGATGACATCTTCTCTTTCAAGGATTTAGTTCCTCCTCTAGCCTATATATTATTAATGTGTTTGCTGTGTGGTATTGTACGAATAAAAAAATTTAGTAATAAAAACTGCTGTATAAACTAAATACTTTGATGTCATTTTTTTAATTATTTTACACTAAAAATTGTAAATGAAGAAAACATATTATTAAACTAATTCCAATGTACATGACACAAATTTTCAGTAAAAGACAATTATTTCAGTTACTACCAATGTTTTAAAAATAAGAATAGGTACGAAGCTTATTTATGATTAATATATTATCTAAATTTTCTTCCAGCCAAGGAAAAGAACAAAGAAATTAAGCCATGCTGCTCAAATTGCCCAAACAAAAGAAGGTTGTATAGACTTAGAAACTCCTGATTCGATCCTTGTAACAACAAATCTTAGGGTAGGTTACTCAGCTTAGCTGAAGAAAGGAAGAATATAGTCTCAATACTAGGCTGGAGAAAACTGCTTGACACATTACATGTCATTCCTTGCTTTTATACGACCGCAAAATTTTCGGTCGTATATTGGTATGATGTTGGCGTCGTCATCGTCGTCCGAAGACACATTGGTTTTCGCACTCTAACTTTAGTTTAAGTGAATGGATCTCTATGAAATTTTACCATAAGGTTCAATACCACAAAAGGAAGGTTGGGATTGATTTTGGGGGTTATTGTACCAACAGTTAAGGAAAAAGGGGCCAAAAATAAGCATTTTTGTAACTTCCAGACATAACTTGTGTGTTAGTGTATGGATCTCTCTGACATTGTACCACAAGGTTCCATATCACAAAGGGAATGCTGGGATTGATTTTGGGGGATAATTGCCTCAAAATTTTAGGAATTAGGGGCAAAAAACAAGCATTTTTCTAGTTTCATGATAAATAACTTGTGTGCAAGTGTATGGATCTTTCTGAAATTGTACTACAAGGTTCCATATCACAAAGGGAAAGCTGGAATTGAGTTTGGGGGTAATTGCACTAAAACGTTTAGGAATAAGGGGCCAAAAATAAGCATTTTTCTAGTTTCCAGACAATAACTTGTGTTCAAGTGTATGGATCTCTCTGAAATTGTACTGCAAGGTACAAAACCACAAAGAGAAGGCTGGGATTGATTTTGGGGGTAATTGCCTCAAAATTTAAGGAATAAGGGGCCAAAAAGGGGCAAAACAAGCATTTTTATACGACCGCAAAAATTGAAAATTTTTTGGTCGTATATTGGTATGACGTTGGCGTCGTCGTCGTCGTCCGGCGTCGTCCGAAGACACATTGGTTTTCGCACTCTAACTTTAGTTTAAGTGAATGGATCTCCATGAAATTTTACCATAAGGTTCAATACCACGAAAGGAAGGTTGGGATTGATTTTGGGGGTTATGGTACCAACAGTTATGGAATTAGGGGCCAAAAAGGGGCCAAAAATAAGCATTTTTGTAACTTCCAGACAATAACTTGTGTGTAAGTGTATGGATCTCTCTGACATTGTACCACAAGGTTCCATACCACAAAGGGAAGGATGTAATTGATTTTGGGGGTAATTGCCTCAAAATTTTAGGAATTAGGGGCCAAAAAAGGGGCAAAAACAAGCATTTTTCTAGTTTCATGACAATAACTTGTGTGTAAGTGTTTGGATATTTCTGAAATTGTACTACATGGTTCCATATCACAAAGGGAAAGCTGATATTGAGTTTGGGGGTAATTGCCCTAAACGTTTAGGAATTGGGGGCCAAAAAGGGGCCAAAAATAAGCATTTTTTTAGTTTCCAGACAATAACTTGTGTTCAAGTGTATGGATCTCTCTGAAATTGTACTGCAAGGTACCATACCTCAAAGGGAAGGCTGGGATTGAGTTTGGGGGTGATGAATCATAAGGGGATTCAAAAAATTTGGGGGGGGGGGGATTTTTTTTTTCTTATTTTTTTCCTTTTTTTTTTCTTTTAAAATTTTCCATTTTAAGTTGGTTATTTCTGATTTATATTTAAAAGCAAATAATAATGATATGGTAGGAGATACACACCAAACAGGATGTGTAAATTATTATATAATAAGTATTGTGCAATAGCAAGAAATTTTCAATTGCACAGTATTGCACAATAGCAAGAAATCTTCAATTGCACAGTATTGCGCAATAGCAAGAAATCTTCAATTGCACAGTATTTCGCAATAGCAAGAAATATCCAATAGCACAATATTGCGCAATAGCAAGAAATTGTCAATTGTACAGTATTGCGCAATAGCAAGAAATATTCAATTGCACAGTATTGTGCAAAAGAAGATACTTCGTATAAATTGCTTATTTCTTGATCAATTTCAATGGGGTTTTATTCTTGAATTCTTGGGGTTCTCTAATATGCTGAATCTAACCGTGTATTAAGTTTTTGGATTTTGGGCCCCGTTTTTAAATTGGTCCACATTGAGGTCCAAAGGGTCCAAAATTTAACTTTGTTTGATTTCATCAAAAATTGAATTATTGGGGTTCTTTGATATGCCGAATCTAACCGTGTATTTAGATTCTTAATTTTTGGTTCCGTTTTCAAATTGGTCTACATTAAGGTCAAAAGGGTCCAAAATTAAACTTAGTTTGATTTTAACAAAAATTGAATTTTTAGGGTTCTTTGATATGCTGAATCTAAACATGTATTTAGATTTTTGATTATGGGCCCAGTTTTCAAGTTGGTCCAAATCGGGGTCCAAAATTAAACTTTGTTTGATTTCAACAAAAATTGAATATATGGGGTTCTTTGATATGCTGAATCTAACCATGTATTTAGATTTTTGATTTTTGGGCCCCGTTATCAACTTTGTCCACATTGAGGTCAAAAGGGTCTAAAATAAAACTTTGTTTGATTTCATCAAAAATTGAATTCTTGGGGTTCTTTGATATGCTGAATCTAACCATGTATTTAGATTTTGGATATTGGACCATAATAGGTGAATGTCCAATTTAAATTTTTTAAGTTCTTAGACCACATTCATTCTGTGTCAGAAACCTATGCTGTGTCAAATATTTAATCACAATCGAAATTCAGAGCTGTATCAAGCTTGAATGTTGTGTCCATACTTGCCCCAACTGTTCAGGGTTCGACCTCTGCGGTCGTATCAAGCTGCGCCCTGCGGAGCATTTTATTCTAGTTTCCGGACAATAACTTGTGTGTAAGTGTATGTATCTTAATGAAATTGTACTACAAGGTTCCATATCACAAAGGGAAAGCTGGGTTTGAGTTTGGGGGTAATTGCCCTAAATGTTTAGGAATTTGGGGCCAAAAAGGGGCCTAAAAACAAGCATTTTTCTAGTTTCCAGACTATAACTTGTGTTCAAGTGTATGGATCTCTCTGAAATTGTACTGCAAGGTACCTGCCACAAAGGGAAGGCTGGGATTGAGTTTGGGGGTGATGAATTATAAGGGGGTTCAAAAAATTTGGGGGAGGGATTTTTTTTCCCTTTTTTTCCCTTGTATGCCTTTTTGAAATTTTAGGATTTTGTTGAAATTTTTGGCAGAATGCTAGATTTTTATGTGAAGCTGCACTCAGTGGTGACCAAATTGTAAGACAATTTCAGGGGTAAAAAGAAATGCTTCTGTCTCTTAGTCATTTTGTTACAATAGGCAAAAATGATAAAAGTCACAAAATTACCTCAAAAATTGCCAATCAAAAAGATGACAAAGTACTATCAACAAAACAATAATAACAAACAATCTTACTAAGAATGAAAGTTTTCAGACCTTTGGTTTAAAATGAGTTGTTTTCACAAGGAGTCAACCAGCTGCAATAGACCCTTAATGGTTAAAGTCCAATAACTCATTCAAAAATTGTCAAATAAGAAGATGGTACATTTTGTAAAGTAATCATAATGGCAAACAATCCTACCAAGTATGAAAACTTTCAGGCTTATGGCTTGAGACTCTAACCCTGTGTTGTACCACATATAATGATAAACAAAGCATTTTAATTTTAGGTTTCATAATTAGTTATCACTATTTCTCCTATGGTAAACTTCTCTTTGCGTGACTTATTTTGTTGTCATTACATGAGTGCACACTGGCTCCTTTGTAGACCACATCTCAAATAGCTGAAAGTAGATAAGGTAGTCGTCCTTTGCTTGTATTTTTTTACCCTACAAATAGCATGTTATCTCAAGTTTCTTTAAAATTGCAACGTAGCCCAACCAAATTAACAAATGTGGTATCACATATTCCTATCATATTCCTTTCAGTGTGACACGTTAAATATTTCTTATGTGTGAAATATGCCACAACCATAAGATAATTCATTTCCACAGCAACTCCAAATCACAATTTCTTGGTATTTTGCACAACACTTTTTCAAATTGGGCTATACAATGTGACCATTTACTCATGCATTTTCCTTTTGTCTAATTTATAAATAAATCATCTTAGATTAATAATATTCCTGACCCACTTCAAACCATAGCTACTTAACCTTGTTGTTTATCTTTTTTGTATTTTTATTATCTTATAAGCTTACTTTAAATATGAAATGTATTTTAAATCTTTTTTATGTTTCAGACTTTGATTGATCGACATACCTTTGATTTGTTACCACCAAATTACCAGTACAAATTACTTCAACTGTTACCTGAATGTGATAGATGTATAGGCAAAGACAGTGGAATGAGGTAGATACCAGTTAAAGTAATTTCATCCCTTACAATGTAACTTTACACTGAATAGCCAGTGATTTTGTTACTTCAATCATATTCCTTTTCCTAGATACAGATTGATAAAAATTATAAGTATTTAATTAGCTGAAAGAACTTATGCAAGAAAAATACACCATAACCATAAAAATGCATGTAGAGAATAACCATAGTGCATGGAAAACTTTTTACGATCTCTAAAGAACAAGAGAGACAAACTTTTAAAATGATAGAAAACTTATATGGGAGTAAGATATAACCAGCCTAATTAAGCTTATTCAACTACTTTATGGCCCCACTGTGGCGGAGGGGGCATTAAGGTTTACCATTGTCCGCCTGTACGTACATACAGAAATTGGTTTCCGTTCTCCAACATACTTTCCCTTGACCTTAAATGTTATGAAACACAAAGCTTATTACCACCAAACACACAACAAGTTCAAATTTGAGTGGTGTCACTTTTATCATTCTGGAGTTATGTCCCTCTATAAAGGAAAAAAATGCTGAAGTTGTCATTTTCACACACTAACTTTACTTTGCTTGAACCAAATGTTCTGAAACTTAAATACAATGCTTAATACCACCAAACACAGATCAAGTTCAAATTTGGGTGGCGTCATTTTCATGGTTCTGGAGTTAAGTCCCTTTATACAGGAACAAAATGCTGAATTTATTGTTTTCCCACTCTTTTTATTTACTTTGCCTCATCCAAATGTTATTAAACTTATAAACAATGCTTAATACCACCAAACACAGGTCAAGTTCGATTTTGTGTGGCATCATTTTCACCGTTCTCAAGTTATGTCCCTTTATTAATGGGAAAATTGCTGAATTTGCCGTATATTTACAAGCAGGTGCATCTGTGTCCAATGGACACATTCTTCTTTTATTGAAATAGACATAAGTCTAATAGTTTAATTTAATTGAATTACCATTTTGAAGAAAACTGTTTGAGAAGTGTATGATTTATGTGATAAACAACAGTTTTTGTTGCATTTTAAAAAAAATGATAATTATAGGTTTCATAACGAGTGAGAATTGGATACTGCTTTATATCAACTTGATTTATTTAATTTCAACATAATAATAAACAAGCCTTTGAGGAGTTTATCATTACTATTTATATGGAATAATGAGAGTTTATATCAAGCAATATCAAATTCTCAGGAGTTGTTAAACACATTCCTCTTATAGTCAACACTCTCATTGTGTTGAATAAAAAATTCCGCGAATCCTTGATCTAGCCTTTTGCACATACTAGTATGACGTCATATGAACTGTTCCAGTGTCAAACTTTAACATCAGACATTTAAAACTTTTTGTACGCTTTGGAATGTAATGAAATATGACAAAAAGGAGATGTGAGAGTGTTTTGTGTATCATTGAAGAAATCATAATTGAAGAAATCACATATGTCGGTTGCATTGGACGAAATGTACATCATCATGAAAAACAATGACCTAACGAATAGCCAATGGTATTACATAGCTACTTTATTTAGATTATAGCAGTTTCATGAAAATACTAATTTTATATTTATATTTCTTTTGTAGGTTAAGTTGTACAGCTTTTAATAATGAATTTTTTGCCAAAGCATGTCAAGAATGGACGCAAAGATTAGCAGATGGTTAGTAAATTTTAAACACTGGTTTTCATTTATTTCACATTTTGAACTGAATATAAGTCAGTGCTAAAGATTCATTAGTAATGAGATAGACATTTTGCCAACATAGTATTTTTTTCAGCTATAATTGGATTATTGACAGATGTCTTGAAATAAAGAGAATAGCAGTTTTACCTGTTTCGCTACCAAAATTCTAAATTAACCTATTCTGAAAAGTTCAAGTATTTGCTTTTAAAAATCTTCAATTCATGAATTTCATTTCAAGAGTTTTAAGATATCAATTATATGGATTTTAATGAGATAACTAATAACATGGAAGGCTTTATTTATACGTGTCCACTCATATAGTGGTTATATAATGCATTGATTTGATTTTCAAATCTGATATATGTGCATCTACTGTCTTAATATAAAATATTCATCAAACATTCTTAACTTGTATGAAAGAGAAAGATAACATAATTGAGCATGAATTTTATAATATTATGATGTACACCACATGATATTTTTCATATCAAGTGCACTGTCACTTTCATGTTGTTGATACTTATTAACAATAATGTACCTACTAAAATTAGCTTATATGACTTTCTTGTTCCTCTGTCTACTCTCTAAGATCAATGATGCATTTCAGGCCATTATGAAGAACAAGTGGGATATATACTTAACACAAATTTGCATGGAATTTTATGATTTGTTTTCTGAAAAACGAAATTCAGAAAATGTTTTAGATTTTTATCATCTGTCCACCATGCACTTGTATGACTTGTATACTGTAAACAATGATGAATTCACTTGATACGTAGATTTTTTATGCCCCCGCAGTAGCATTGTTTTACCCTTGTCCGTCTGTACGTCTGTATGTCCGTACGTCCCAAAATTGGTTTCCGTTCTCATACTTTAGTTTGCCTCAACCAAATGTTATGAAACTTATACACAATGCTTATTACTACAAAACACAGATCAAGTTTTAAATTGTGTGCCGTCACGATAACGGTTCTTGAGTTATGCCCCTTTATAAACATAAAAATTGCTGAGTTTATCGTTTCCGTTCTCTAACTTTAGTTTGCCTCAAATAAATGTTATGAAACTTATTCACAATGCTTATTACCACATAATACAGATCAAGTTCGAAATTGGGTGGCGTCACTTTTACCGTTCTTGAGTTATGCCCCTTAATAAACATAAAAATTGCTGAATTTTTCGTTTCCGTTCTCTAACTTTAGTTTGCCTCAACCAAATGTTATGAAACTTATACACAATGCTTATTACCACATAATACAGATCAAGTTCAAAATTGGGTGGTGTCACTTTTACCGTTCTAGAGTTATGCCCTTTACAAATGGAAAAATTGGTTAATTATTATATCAAAAAGTTATTTAATGATGAGTTTTTATACGACCGCAAAAAAATTTTGTGGTCGTATATTGGTATGACGTTGGCGTCGTCGTCGTCGTCGTCCGGCGTCGTCGTCCGAATACACACTGGTTTTCGCACTCTAACTTTAGTTTAAATGAATTGATCTTTTTGAAATTTGACCATAAGGTTAAATACCACAAAAGGAAGGTTGGGATTGATTTTGGGGGTTATTGTACCAACCATTAAGGAATTAGGGGCCAAAAAGGGGCCAAAAATAAGCATTTTCTAGTTTCCAGACAATAACTGTGGAACAGTGTATGGATCTCTCTGAAATTATACTACAAGTTTCCATACCACAAAGGGATTGTTAGGATTTGCTTTGGGGGGTTATGGCTCAAACCGTTTAGGAATTAGGGGCAAAAAAGGGGGAAAAACAAGGTTGTCCTGGTTAATGGACAAATACTTTAGTACAAAACATAATTTAAAGCAGTGTAAGGGAGATAAATCAAATTCATCATTGAAATTATCTCCCTTACACTGCTTTTAAATTATGTATAAAGTAATGGTTAATGAACAATAAAGATAATTTAAAACAGTGTAAGGGAGGTAATCCAAATACAACGTTTTGGTTACTTCCCTTACACTGCTTTTAAATTATGTTTAAAGAAATGCATATTTATAAAGGAAGACCAGTAAAAATATCTGCAAATGTTGCATCTTTTTTTTTTACAAAAAAATCCATATGAAAGATTTGACACTATATTTTTAATTCTATTATAAAATAGATTAAGTTAGCACTTTGGTAAATTTAAATGGGTAATTATGGTTGCCAACTCCATTGGAAATTTGAATTGAGATTATGACCATATCTTGAGGGAAAGAATTTTTTTGGGGGAAAAAGGGGGGGGATAAAAAGAAATTGTGGGGGGTCAATTTTTTCCTTATTTCAGATTTCAGAAATTAAAAAGAATTATTCTTCAAATATTATTTTTTTTTCAAATTTCAAATATTGAAAAATTTCAAGAAGTAATCTTTAATTGCACAGTATGGTGCATTAGATTTGTAAAATCTTTGATCACATTTATTTATTTGTTATGCCGAATCTTACAGTGTATTTAGATTTTTAATTTTGGGTCCAGTTTTCAAATTGGTCTACATTAAGGTCCAAAGGGTCCAAAATTAAACTTTGTTTGATTTTAGCAAAAATTGAATATATGAGGTTCTTTGATATACTGAATCTAAACATGTATTTAGATTTTTGATTTTTGGCCCAGTTTTCAAGTTGGTCCAAATTGGGGTCCAAAATTAAACTTTGTTTGATTTCAACAAAAATTGAATATATGGGGTTCTTTGATATGCTGAATCAAACCATGTATTTAGATTTTTTATTTGTGGACCCCGTTATCAAATTGGTTCATATTGAGGTCAAAAGGGTCCAAAATTAAACTTTGTTTGATTTCATCTAAAATTGAATTATTGGGGTTCTTTGATATGCCAAATCTAACTGTGTATTTAGATTTTTAATTTTGGGTCCTGTTTTTATACGACCGCAAAAAAATTTTTGTGGTCGTATATTGGTATGACGTTGGCGTCGTCGTCGTTGTCGTCGTCGTCGTCGTCGTCGTCGTCGTCGTCGTCCGGCGTCGTCGTCCGAATACACATTAGTTTTCGCACTCTAACTTTAGTTTAAGTGAATGGATCTCATTGAAATTTTACCATAAGGTTCAATACCACAAAAGGAAGGTGGGGATTGATTTTGGGGGTTATGGTACTAACAGTTAAGGAATTAGGGGCCAAAAGGGGCCAAAAGGGGCCAAAAATAAGCATTTTTGTAACTTCCAGACATAACTTGTGTGTAAGTGTATGGATCTCTCTGACATTGTACCACAATGTTCCATATCACAAAGGGAATGCTGGGATTGATTTTGGGGGTAATTGTCTCCAAATTTTAGGAATTAGGGGCCAAAAAGGGGCAAAAAACAAGCATTTTTCTAGTTTCATGACAATAACTTGCTTGTAAGTGTATGGATCTTTATGAAATTGTACTACAAGGTTCCATTTCACAAAGGGAATACTGGGATTGATTTTTGGGGTAATTTCCTCCAAATATTAGGAATTAGGGGCCAAAAAGGGGCAAAAAACAAGCATTTTTATACGACCGCAAAAAAATTTTGTGGTCGTATATTGGTATGACGTTGGCGTCGTCGTCGTCGTCGTCGTCGTCGTCGTCGTCGTCCGGCGTCGTCGTCGTCCGGCGTCGTCGTCCGAATACATATTGGTTTTCGCACTCTAACTTTAGTTTAAGTGAATGGATCTTTTTGAAATTTGACCATTAGGTTAAATACCACAAAAGGAAGGTTGGGATTGATTTTGGGGGTTATGGTACCAACAGTTAAGGAATTAGGGGCCAAAAAGGGGCCAAAAATGAGCATTTTCTAGTTTCCAGACAATAACTGTGGAACGGTGTATGGATCTCTCTGAAATTATACTACAAGTTTCCATACCACAAAGGGATGGTTAGGATTTGCTTTGGGGGGTTATGGCTCAAACCGTTTAGGAATTAGGGGCAAAAAAGGGGGAAAAACAAGGTTGTCCTGGTTAATGGACAAATACTTTAGTACAAAACATAATTTAAAGCAGTGTAAGGGAGATAAATCAAATACATCATTGAAATTATCTCCCTTACACTGCTTTTAAATTATGTATAAAGTAATGGTTAATGAACAATAAAGATAATCTAAAACAGTGTAAGGGAGGTAATCCAAATACAACGTTTTGGTTACTTCCCTTACACTGCTTTTAAATTATGTTTAAAGAAATGCATATTTATAAAGGAAGACCAGTAAAAATATCTGCAAATGTTTTCATCTTTTTTTTTTACAAAAAAATCCATATGAAAGATTTGACACTTTATTTTTATTAATTCTATTATAAAATAGATTAAGTTAGCACTATGGTAAATTTAAATGGGTAATTATGGTTGCCAACTCCATTGGAAATTTGAATTGAGATTATGACCATATCTTGAGGGAAAGAATTTTTTTGGGGGAAAAAGGGGGGGGGGGGGGGGATAAAAAGAAATTGTGGGGGGGCCAATTTTTTCTCATTTCAGATTTCAGAAATTAAAAAGAATTATTCTTCAAATATTTTTTTTTTTTCAAATTTCAAATATTGAAAAATTTCAAGAAGTAATCTTTAATTGCACAGTATGGCGCATTAGATTTGTAAAATCTTTGATCACATTTATTTATTTGTTATGCCGAATCTAACAGTGTATTTAGATTTTTAATTTTGGGTCCAGTTTTCAAATTGGTCTACATTAATGTCCAAAGGGTCCAAAATTAAACTTTGTTTGATTTTAGCAAAAATTGAATATATGAGGTTCTTTGATATGCTGAATCTAAACATGTATTTAGATTTTTGATTTTTGGCCCAGTTTTCAAGTTGGTCCAAATTGGGGTCCAAAATTAAACTTTGTTTGATTTCAACAAAAATTGAATATATGGGGTTCTTTGATATGCTGAATCTAACCATGTATTTAGATTTTTTATTTGTGGACCCCGTTATCTAATTGGTTCATATTGAGGTCAAATGGGTCCAAAATTAAACTTTGTTTGATTTCATCTAAAATTGAATTATTGGGGTTCTTTGATATTCCAAATCTAACCGTGTATTTAGGTTTTTAATTTTGGGTCCTGTTTTTTAAATTGGTCTACATTGAGTTCCAAAGGGTCCAAAATTAAACTTAGTTTGATTTTAACAAAAATTGAATTCTTGGGGTTCTTTGATTTGCTGAATCTAAACATGTGTTTAGATTTTTGATTATGGGCCCAGTTTTCAAGTTGGTCCAAGATAGGGTCCAGTATTTAAACTTTGTTTGATTTCAACAAAAATTGAATATATGGGGTTCTTTGATATGCTGAATCTAAACATGTATGTAGATTTTTGATTATGGGCCCAGTTTTCAAGTTGGTCCAAATTGGGGTCCAAAATTAAACTTTGTTTGATTTCAACAAAAATTGAATATATGAGGTTCTTTTATATGCTGAATCTAACCATGTATTTAGATTTTTTATTTGTAGGCCCCGCTATCAAATTGGTTCATATTGAGGTCAAAAGGGTCCAAAATTAAACTTTGTTTGATTTCATCGAAAATTGAATTATTGGGGTTCTTTGATATGCCAAATCTAACCATGTTTTTAGATTTTTAATTTGGGTCCCGTTTTTTAAATTGGTCGTCATTGAGGTCCAAACGGTCCAAAATTAAACTTAGTTTGATTTTATCAAAAATTGAATTCTTGGGGTTCTTTGATATGCTGAATCTAAACATGTGTTTAGATTTTTGATTATGGGCCCAGTTTTCAAGTTGGTCCAAGTTGGGGTCCAAAATTAAACTTTTTTTGATTTCAACAAAAATTGAATATATGGGGTTCTTTGATATGCTGAATCTAACCATGAATTTAGATTTTTTATTTGTGGGCCCCGCTATCAAATTGGTTCATATTGAGGTCAAAAGGGTCCAAAATTAAACTTTGTTTGATTTCATCAAAAATTGAATTATTGGGGTTCTTTGATATTCCAAATCTAACCGTGTATTTAGATTTTTAATTTTAAGTCCCGTTTTTTAAATTGGTCTACATTAAGGTCCAAAGGGTCCAAAATTAAACTTAGTTTGATTTTAGCAAAAATTGAATTCTTGGGGTTCTTTGATATGCTGAATCTAAACATGTGTTTAGATTTTTGATTATGGGCCCAGTTTTCAAGTTTGTCCAAGTTGGGGTCCAAAATTAAACTTTGTTTGATTTTAACAAAAATTGAATATATGGGGTTCTTTGATATGCTGAATCTAACCATGTATTTTGATTTTGGACATTGGACCATAATAGGTAAATTAAAAAAATTCAAGTTCTTAGACCACATTCTTTCTGTGTCAGAAACCTATGCTGTGTCAAATATTTAATAACAATCCAAATTCAGAGCTGTATCAAGCTTGAATGTTGTGTCCATACTTGCCCCAACTGTTCAGGGTTCGACCTCTGCGGTCGTATCAAGCTGCGCCCCAGCGAAGCATTTTATTCTAGTTTCATGACAATAACTTGTTTGTAAGTGTATGGATCTTTATGAAATTGTACTACAAGGTTCCATATCACAAAGGGAAGGCTGGGATTGATTTTGGGGGTTTTCACTCAAAATTTTAGTAATTAGGGGCCATAAAAGGGCAAAAAAAACATGCATTTTTCTAGTTTCAGGACAATAACTTGTGTGTAAGTGTATGGATCTTTATGAAATTGTACTGCAAGGTTCCATATCACAAAGGGAAAGCTGGAATTGAGTTTGGGGGTAATTGCCCTAAACGTTTAGGAATTTGGGGCCAAAAAGGGGCCAAAAAACAAGCATTTTTCTAGTTTCCAGACAATAACTTGTGTTCAAGTGTATGAATCTCTCTGAAATTGTAGTGCAAGGTACCATACCACAAAGGGAAAGCTGGGATTGAGTTTGGGGGCGGTGAATCATAAGGGGGTTCAAAAAATTGGGGGGGGGGGGATTTTTTTTTTCCTTTTTTTTCTTTAACATTTTCCATTTTAAATTGGTTATTTCTGATTTATATATAAAAGCAAATAATAATGATATGGTTTGAATAGGCATACATGTGAACCTCCCGACGGGAGTACAATAATCCCGTTTTCAGGGGTCTCCTCCCGACTTCCTGTTGAAGAGGAAAAAATCCCGTGTATGAAATTTTTCATGAATGAAAAATTTCTGCCCAACATATCATCTCAGGCATCTGGTGTAACTGACATTACCTGAAGATATATTTTACCTGTAAATCAATTAACATGCATAATTATATGGCTTCACTTGTCAGCTTGGGTGTCAAACATACTGGTAAGCAACGATTTTTACCTCAGGCTAACTGCCGTTGTGTAACAAAAACTGTGTATTTATTGGGTTACTTCCCTTGATTTATCCTGTTTTAAGTTACTTTCCTTTTAATAATGAAAATTTTTAAAAGAATATAAATAAAATATAAATTGAACAAATAATCATAAAAGGATGGTTATTAAATGATTTTAAATGTCTTAGGACAAATAAAAAAATAATAATTTGAAAATTATTTGAGGATTCTATACTTCCTTTTAAGGCTTAAATTGAAATTTATATAATAACTATGACCCTAACTTTACAGATAGAATGAATTTCTGAGTTTGCAAATAAAAACTATTTGCAAGAGAAAAAAAAAATAAATAAAAACTATTTGCAGACAGCTAAAAAAATGTTCTGGTTGCAATGATTGTTTTATAGAATATGAAGTAAAAAATTTAAAGAACATACTGGAAAAAAACAATGTTAGATTGAACATGTAGAATATAAAGATGGAGAAACTTTATAAGTACAAGGGTACTATAAACATAATAAATTGGATGGAAAGTTGAAGAAAACACACTTTAAAAGACCATTTTTACAGCACACGGTTGCATTTACAACAAAATTAATGTCGATTAAAAACCTCCTGATCTGAGTCCTAATCTCCTGACCAAAATGTCCCAATCTCCTGATCTGAGTTTCACAGTCCATCACATGTATGAATAGGTAAATTGAAAATTTTTAAGTTCTTAGACCACTTTCATTCTGTGTCAGAAACCTATGCTGTGTCAAATATTTAATTACAATCCAAATTCAGTGCTGTATCAAGCTTGAATGTTGTGTCCATACTTGCCCCAACTGTTCAGGGTTCGACCTCTGCGGTCGTATCAAGCTGCGCCCCAGCGGAGCATTTTATTTAAATTGGTCTACATTAAGGTCCAAAGGGTCCAAAATTAAACTAAGTTTGATTTTAACAAAAATTGAATTCTTGGGGTTCTTTGATATGCTGAATCTAAACATGTGTTTAGATTTTTGATTATGGGCCCAGTTTTCAAGTTGGTCCAAGATAGGGTCCAGTATTTAAACTTTGTTTGATTTCAACAAAAATTGAATATATGGGGTTCTTTGATATGCTGAATCTAAACATGTATTTAGATTTTTGATTATGGGCCCAGTTTTCAAGTTGGTCCAAATTGGGGTCCAAAATTAAACTTTTTTTGATTTCAACAAAAATTGAATATTTGAGGTTCTTTGATATGCTGAATCTAACCATGTATTTAGATTTTTTATTTGTGGACCCCGTTATCAAATTGGTTCATATTGAGGTCAAAAGGGTCCAAAATTAAACTTTGTTTGATTTCATCAAAAATTGAATTATTGGGGTTCTTTGATATGCCAAATCTAACCGTGTTTTTATATTTTTAATTTGGGTCCCGTTTTTTAAATTGGTCTTCATTGAGGTCCAAAGGGTCCAAAATGAAACTTAGTTTGATTTTAACAAAAATTGAATTCTTGGGGTTCTTTGATATGCTGAATCTAAACATGTGTTTAGATTTTTGTTATGGGCCCAGTTTTCAAGTTGGTCCAAGTTGGGGTCCAAAATTAAATTTTTTTTTATTTCAACAAAAATTGAATATATGGGGTTCTTTGATATGCTGAATCTAACCATGAATTTAGATTTTTTATTTGTGGGCCCCGCTATCAAATTGGTTCATATTGAGGTCAAAAGGGTCAAAAATTAAACTTTCTTTGATTTCATCAAAAATTGAATTATTAGGGTTCTTTGATATTCCAAATCTAACCGTATATTCTAGATTTTTAATTTTAAGTCCCGTTTTTTAAATTGGTCTACATTAAGGTCCAAAGGGTCCAAAATTAAACTTAGTTTGTTTTTAGCAAAAATTGAATTCTTGGGGTTCTTTGATATGCTGAATCTAAACATGTGTTTAGATTTTTGATTATGGGCCCAGTTTTCAAGTTTGTCCAAGTTGGGGTCCAAAATTAAACTTTGTTTGATTTTAACAAAAATTGAATATATGGGGTTCTTTGATATGCTAAATCTAACCATGTATTTTGATTTTGGACATTGGACCATAATAGGTAAATTAAAAAAATTCAAGTTCTTAGACCACATTCTTTCTGTGTCAGAAACCTATGCTGTGTCAAATATTTAATAACAATCCAATTCAGAGCTGTATCAAGCTTGAATGTTGTGTCCATACTTGCCCCAACTGTTCAGGGTTCGACCTCTGCGGTCGTATCAAGCTGCGCCCTAGCGAAGCATTTTATTTAATTTCTGTTTTTTCCTTATTGCAGGAGAATTAACTCCAGAAAATCAAGGCAGGTTAAAACAGGATGAGGAAAGAGAACAGAGTAGATTAGATCCTTGGAAGGTTTGTTACTTGTTTAAAGTTTGTTAAAATGTACTTATTTTGAAGTTTTGTTTATTACTTGAAATTTTTGTACCAAATGGCTCACATGTTGTTTACTGTTTCATAATTATTATTTAATTTTTTTTTGCAGTTTGAATATCCAGTAACAGTGTCCTCACTATCCCAAAATACAAGCATTCTGTTACTTCCGCCTTTCAGGTTATGCCCCTTTGTCCTTACACTTGTAAAATTGACCTTTGTTTCCTTTACATTGACAGGAGGATATATGGTTTATGTCAAATACAAACTTAGATTTATTTTAATTTATATTTTGAAGGATTGTGTAAACATTTTCTCCCCTAATACTATAGAAGCAAAGTTTGGGTTTCCCACAGCATTTGAAAGTCTTGATCCAGTCAGATATTTTTGTTGAAGGCTATACAGTGACCTATAGGTGCTTTCATTCAGATCCATTGGTCTTTGGTAGAAAGTTGTCTCATTAGCTATCATACCACATCTCCTTATATTTATATGAATATATCTTTAATAATAGATATTTATGATAATTTTTGTAATAATTTTATTTGTCATTTTCAGGTCAAACACTTTGAACCAGTATGGGGTAAAAGGTATGTATTGTGTCTTTTTCTAAATTAAATATATATTCAGAAATTACTTTGACATTTACATTTTTTTTAAATCTCAGTACGAGAAAATAAAACTGAAATTTATACATCGTTATGCTTAAGCTGGGTCCCCGCTGACTTTTTTCGTTCAGTATAATTCAGGCGGATTCCAGTTTATTTTATGCAATGCAGTGAAAAGAAATGAGAAATTTGTAGTGAAGCTTTTAGTTTTGAAATTTATCAGTTTTTATTAGATTTGGAATAAAAATTGCAAGATATTGATATGGATTACGTAAATTATTAGTTTTGAAAATGATGAGTGCCCTCTACAATCTTAATAACAAATATGGATCAACGTAAACAAAACTTGCGAAATCAAGTTTTTCTCTTATTTCTTGCTTATTGTACTCAATAAACTGCACCCCTGTCTGGCAGGCTCAATTTTGGTGAATAAAACCGCAGACTATACAAGCCTGAATTCGGTACTTCTGGATGATATCTTGATTTTGCTTTTGAGTAATGCAGGAAATGCAGGACTGCTGCAATTACTGTTTCAGAGTTATGCCCCTTTGAGTTTTCTCAGAATGGTAAAATTCATGGTTTCATGATGACAGTACTATTGCTAGTTTGCTATGAGTTATATATTACTATCAACCGTAAGATGCAGTTTAAATTTGATTTTCTCCTTTGTTCCATATACTATCCCAGAGCAATGCACCTTGAAATGGCTATAAATCATAAAATTGTTGGTTTCTGCATGAGAGTTATTTTGACATGAACTATTGTCATATTTTAGAAACAGTCAACACAAAACATATGCATATATATATATATATATATTACATTGGTGATCTGTTTATTTGGCAATTGCCAATGGCAGTCAGCAGGGTTTAAGAACATTTGTTGTTCGACCTGTTAGTCAAATGCGTTTGTTAAAATATACTTTTTCACTATTTCGGTCTTTTGGAAAATGTTGTTTGTGCTGTATTTAGACCCCTCTAACAAGAAATTTGTTTTGCATGCACACGTATAAAAATTGCGGTTTTTATCCAACGCAATCATAGGTTTGATTGTTGTTTTCAATTTAGACTTTATATATAAAACCATAAATGTTATCTTGAAACCTGTAACACAAACTAGATATAAAGAGGTAACCAGTGTGGCAGCAACCAAATAACACTAAAAACCATGAAAGGCCTATATGCATACTAGATGAAAATAAGGAGTTGTGGTATGATTGCCAATGAGACAACTATCCACCAAAGCTCAAATTAAGTGGATGTAAGCAATTATAGGTCACCGTACAGCCTTCAACAATGAGAAAACCCATACCATATAGTCTGCCATAAAAGGCCCAGACATGAAAAATATGAAACTATTGAATTGAGAAAACTAACAGCCTGTTTTGAATTATGCTTCATATTTTTTTTTTGTGATTAACGAGAAAAAAAAAATGCTCATATTGTACCTTTGTTAATATCATACAAATATTTTACAGGAGAATCAAGCACGAAGTTCCTAAAGCTGATATGCCTTCACCAACATCAGAGGTACACCCAGTCGTTAGTAGGAAACCTCAGATTAAAAAGGCTACTATTGTAGCTAATATGTTGAAACAAAGGTCAATTTTTCAGACTGTCAACAGATTTAAAGACAACCATGACTCTCCTGGAGGACTGTTATTAAAGGTTGTTCATAAAGAGCATAAACATGAGCCACATGCAGTCAAACGGCCTGTGTCGCCTTCAATAAAACAGGAGGATGATATTGCTAGTGTTAGTCCAATCAAAAAAGCAAAGACTCCTCCTCCTATTGTAACTTCAAGCATAGGCACGTACAATCATCCAATAGTTATAACAGAAGTGTCAGAAGCAATTTCAACAAAACCTCAAGTTTCTTTGTTGACATCGGCATTGACTACCTCTCTATCACAACCTCCTATCATCAAACATACCTCTCTTCAAGCTTCCTTGAGTCAGCCTCCAAGAACAACCTCTATACTGCACAATATTCCAATTATTCGACCCCCAGCTCAGACACGAACGCTTGCTCAAATAAAAGTGACAAATGCTGTGCGTACTCAAGGAACAAGAACATTAGCTCAAATCAAAGCTCAGACAAAGGCAAGAGTGCAGATGCGTAATGTTCAGTTAAGTCCCCAAAGTGATCACAGTCCAATACAGAGTCCACCAAACAGACATATCCCAAATATAATGCTAGGTAAAAAACTATCTCCTGTTAATCTTGGCAGTAAATCATCAAACATCCCAAATATTATACTGGCTAAAAAACAATCGCCTGTTAACAAACCTGTTCTTCAACCTGGGAGTAAGACACCTGTAAAATCATCAGATCAAGAGAAGGAGGAGTTAACAAAGGATGGAATCAACTTGAGACGGTCGATGGAGATATGTAAAAATACTGGTTTGAGTGGAATAAATATCAAACGCTCAATGGAAATATGTCAGAGTGTTATACAAAAAACAATGGCTCAGTTTCAGTCTGAGAATCCACAACAAAATGCTCCAGAAATGTGCAATATAAACTTGAAATCTCAATCACCAGTTAAACTGGTACCTTTAGCTAATCACATAAGTGCCTCAAAATTACTACTGACCACATCTTCAAATCTTCAGACTTCTACAAGTGTTGTAAATACTAGTGCTTCAAATAAACAGACATCAGGTGCTAAAGAAGGAGGGTATGTGGTATCAGTGACACGTGTGCCATCAACAACAGTAACACCTGCAAGTGTAGTAACTGTACCAGGAACCAACACAAAGTTCCTGATACCAGCAGGAAATACAATGACAAACCAAGCATTAATGCAATTGATATCTTCTTCCCAGGGTTTAAGTACTGTTTCTTCATCACCAGCAAGAGCATCAAGTGCTCCACCAATAAATAATGTGCAGATACAAAATCTTGTACGTTCTGCTAGTGTTGGTTTGAATGAATCAAGTGCACCTTTACAACCAAAGACTTCTGTTACTGATACTACTACTTTAAATCTAACGCCAGAACAGTTGAATTTTTTATCCAAGAGTGGCACTGTTACCACATCAGGTCATAAAACGCCGCAAATATTGATTCAGAGACCTGCTTCAGCCAATCAAATCAGTCAATCAGGTGACAAACAAGTTACAAAAATTGTGGTTTGCAGTGCCGCTCAACTTGTTCAACAGCTCAGTGCTAAACATAATACCGTCAAGTTGTCCACTCAAACCACGTCTAATCAAAATATAAAGGTGGTACCAAATAGTGTGTCGAAGGATTGTGCATGTAATCTTAAGGCTATGATTATGTGTAACAAATGTGGAGCCTTCTGTCATCATGACTGTATTGGATCATCAAGACTTTGTTTAAACTGTTTAATAACAACATGACACAGTTTATGAGTCTATGATAAAGAACTTGTTCCAATTTTTGGTTGCATTCTTTATTTTCTATTTTTTATTTTATTATCTTATCTTCTTTTAATGTTTCTTTATTATTTATTTTACTGTGACTTGACTGTAAGTGTTGCTCTCCACCTTTTGCAGTTTATTAAAAATTCCTACCAAATTGCCATTTGTTTTATCAAACCAAAATGTTCAGCTTGTCAGAAAATTTATCACCTTGCACTTTCACGACTTGACTGATTTTCTACAGCAGTTTAAATTTCTGACCAGTTAAACAGTTTGGTTTGATATAATAAATGGCAATTTGGTCAGAATTTTGAATAAACTGCAATAGGTGGAGGGCAACTCTTACAGTCAAGTCACAGTAACAGAGATATACTTTTTGTCCCAAAAATTTCTCATCAAAAACATGCCTTGAAAATGATATTTTGTTGTTCAAAAACTTATTTTTTTGGGAGCATATTACTGCCGCTTCTGCGTTTATATTAAACAAATGGTTTTTGGTTTGTAATTTCAAATTGTTTTGACATATTTTTTTACTGTTTGTGTTTCATAATATGTATAAAAGAATTGTGAGACAGCATACAGATAAGTACTTTCTTACTTTGAAATACATGTTAAGTTTGATTATCATAATGGCTGATGTGGTCCATTGAAAATTCATGATTCCAGGCTCAAGTTATACAAGGAAGGGACATATCTTTTGAACCACATAAGCTATTGATACTAAAAAACTGAAGCAGCTTTCTAATTATGTTACGTACATGTGACTTGCATGTGAGGCTGTTTGCTAATCTATTACCTTAGTTTGGATTTTAGTTTGCTAGTTATTAATGATGTAGGAATAGAAATTGCATTTTCAAAATATCTTGAGCTTTTGGTCAATGAATAATAATTTCAATTCAGAATATTGGCTGGACATATCAGTGATCTTCTCCTTGTTATCATGAGTTCCTCTGACTTTTTCAATTTAACATCTTTCAATAATTGTGCCTGGTAACCTCCAATTTTCTTTTTATAATTTCACAAAATAAACCTTAAATTAAGTTAAATGACATCCCTGCAAAATCTGGTTAAATCTTGTTAATTTTTAAAAGATTTTGACCCCTTTATACAAAAAATATGAAAAAACAAGAGCTCCTGTTTCCTGTAAAAATGTTAAATGCTTATATCACAAAATCATGCACACAAACATATAACTTTTCTGCCTTTAAAACAAAATTATGAACTTTAGCAAATGTCTTTCAATATATAAAAATTATTTTGGAACCTTGTTACTTTTGAACCTCACTAAATACTTTTATATTTTAATTGAAGCATATGAATCATTTTAGTTTTATGCAAGAAGTTATATTGTTACGTAAAATTTCACTGAAGTAAATAATGTCTCCAATTATATACACTATATAATATTACCTCATTCTCTCTCATGACTATGCATTAGAAAACATTTTTTGTAGAAGAATATTGCAAAAATTGAAGAATGAAAGTAATAGTAAAAATCTTTTGTATGAAATGGTGCTTTTGACAAATATGGCCACATTGATTTTTATCATTTGAAAGATTATATTGTAATTTATCATAGAATCATTGCATCATTTGTAGTATATATGAAATAACACACAAGTGCACAACTATTCTGCCATTAATTTATACCTTAGAAATAAGTTGTTTTAATAGTGGCCCTGCCACCTTTGTTACTGGTATATTTGATTTTGCCATTTACCATACATGTATGGGTTTATATGGTAGAAAAAGATCTCCCCATTTTACCTGTTCTTGTATTTAATGATGATTTACATCATACTACATTGTACTAGGCAAATAGTTTGAATTGCAGTTCTCTCTCTTAATTTATCGTTACCACTATACCAGTTAGATGAATATGTCTATATAATTGATAACATTAGTTACCTCGAAAATCTGTATGTTCATCATAAATGTTTTATACTGAAAATGCACCTGATGTTTTCATTAGAGCAATATAAAATAGTTTTAACATGACAGATTAAAGAATTGCTCCATAATATGTGCAGTTGTGCATATGGAAGTTTTGTGCCATTGGTTGATTTTTTTTTCTCAGTTACTGCCCTTTGAGATTTTTGAAGAAGACAGTAACTAGATTTTTTCCATTGCTATCAGTTTTATTTAAACACATACATTCAAATAGTTTTGGAAATATATTAATCAAAATCTTCAGGATTCCACTGTGGTTATTTTGTACATAGTAATTATGAATTGTATTTGAGTTATTGATGAAATAGTTGACATTGTGAGATTTTAAAATCATTTTTACACATGATAAATTATAGATCACAGTTGATGCATAGAGTAAGGTATGTCATTTAGAATCATTTGATGTAAAACAAGCTAATGTGATCATGAGTACCCTTGTGCTTTTATTAACGGTCAAAGTTGACAGAGTTGTAACATTTTGGGTATGATGATTAAGTGGACAGCTGATTCTAGGCACTTAGCAGATATCATGAATACTGTAAAGCTGATGTTTATCACGATAAAAGATTCACATAGTTTTCTTGTTTTATGTTTAACATTTGATATTTATTTTGGGTTAGTAGGTCAATACTATAAGAAGAATCACATATTGATTTTTCTGAGTTCTTTTTACTTTGACATGTATAAAATAAACCTTTTGGGAATAGACACTTATTAAGTCAGCTCATCAACATTTAATGTCACAAAAGTAATTGTTACTCAAAATATTAAATTAAATTTTTATCATTAAAATTGACTGTTTCCATGAATGAAAGAACACTATATTTGGTAAATCTTATCAGTAAATTTTTCTCTCAATTGTCTGGTAAAAAATAAAACTAACCTGACATTGTGTTTTAGACTAACTCTATTTTTTCCACCAGTTAGAAAAATAAAGATTTATTTTCAATTGTCAGGGCCTTTGATAGCTCGCTCTCAATTGTCTGGTTGAAAATAAAACTAACATGACATTGTGTTTTAGACAAACTCTATTTTTTCCACCATTTAGAAAAATAAAGCTTTATTTTCAATTGTCAGGGCCTTTGATAGGTCACTATATGGTATGATCACTGTTGATGGCTGTATGGTGACCTATAGTTGATAACTTCTACTTCATTTGGTCTCTGATTGAAAAATAACAGTCCTTTGAGATTTGTTTTTCCTGAATCAGAAATTCATCCTTTTAATGATTCATATATAGAAGTAGTCATAATTTCTTATTAAAAATGCAGATATCCATTTGTAACTGATTTTTTTAAAAATTTTGTTGGTGATAAATCATAAGTCAAACAGTTTGAATTAACTCCCTTTAATGTCCCTCTTAAAAACAATTTTCAAAGAAATTTCATTCCATCAATTTTATAGTAGTAAACTTTTTACCCTGGATAAGTATTGGATTTTTTTTGTTGTTGAAATAATTTTAGATTTGAACAGTAAAACTAACAAAAGGATTTTGATAGGAGTGAATGTAATATATTTGAGTGTTTGTTTTTTGGAAAGATATGAAATTTATTATCAAATGGGATGAGAGAACCGTTTTGAATATGAATTTTTATATTACATGATTCATTTGTATATATGTATGTAAATATGTGAGAATGATATTTATTTTTTATTCTCTCTGCCATATGTGTTCTGAACAATACGATTTCTACAGCCATGTGTGATTGAGTGTGCACTCTATCTTTTTAAAGTTAATGCACACTTTAACTTTGCTGTATATCAATAATCAATAATGATATAGTAATTATTTGTATATCTTTCTGGTAGTAGATTTTTTTTCCCAAAATAAAAATATAGTGAAGACTTTGAATTTAAAAATGAATTTACATGAATAAGAAATATTTTATGGCATTTATGGAAAAAACCACATCAATATGTTATGCAAACCTGGAAATGGTAAACATTTCATTCTATTTACAATGTTCATTTACTTGTTAGAAGACACAACAGTGTAATCCTAACATAATCATGAAGTTTCTTGTGTTTTACATCAATTGATTATTTTTTTTCTCATGTGCAGGGGAAGTTTCATGTACAATGCACATGTTTTCAAGTGCAGGGGAAGTTACATGTGCATGTATTTTCCATTGATAATTTGTGAACATAAAATTATTACAAAGAGAGTGTTTTGTCTTTTATATTAGTATTTAGTAATAGTAATATGTTGTCTAAGGAGCATCTTCGGAAAGTGTAATTTGAACAAGTATGTTATAATTGAAAATAAGATTGGTTTCTGGTCAAGTAGTATCACCAACTTAACATAAAAAGTCAACAATATTTTACAGTAAAAAATGAGAAGATAGCAATGGGACAATTAATATTTAACAGACACAATTTAGCAAATGTATTAGAATAGATTAACCGTAAGGGCTATTCCATTAAAATGTATGTGGGAGGGTAGGAAGGGAAGTTTAATTATTGAATGTGGGTCATGGGTCTTTTTTCAGTATGCGTCTATTACCATTATGGAAAATTATCTAAAAAATGGTTCTTGGTTGTAGGGATATTTTGAAAGTCCCTTCCTACCCTCCCATATACATTTTAATGGAATGGCCCTAATGTATTTAATACTTGCCAACTTCAAACCTAGATTTTCAGTTGCAAATATCCTTTTCTGGCTCTGCCAAAGCATTGCCGGAAAACTGAATTTGCAACAGTAAAATCATCAGTTGATGTCAGCAAGATAAATAAAATGCTCCGCTGGGGCGCAGCTTCATACGACCGCAGAGGTCGAACCCTGAACATTTGGGGCAAGTATGGACACAACATTCAAGCTTGATACAGCACTGAATTTGGATTGTAATTAAATATTTGACACAGCATAGGTTTCTCACACAGAATGAAAGTGGTCTAAAAACTTAAAAAATTTTAATTTACCTATTCAAACCATATCATTATTATTTGCTTTTATATATAAATCAGAAATAACCAATTTAAAATGGAAAATTTTAAAGAAAAAAAAGGGTAAAAAAAATCCCCCCCCCCTAATTTTTTGAACCCACTTATGATTCATCACCCCCAAACTCAATCCCAGCTTTCCCTTTGTGGTATGGTACCTTGCAGTACAATTTCAGAGAGATCCATACACTTGAACACAAGTTATTGTCTGGAAACTAGAAAAATGCTTGTTTTTTGGCCCCTTTTTGGCTCCAAATTCCTAAACGTTTAGGGCAATTACCCCAAAACTCAAACCCAGCTTTCCCTTTGTGATATGGAACCTTGCAGTACAATTTCATAAAGATCCATACACTTACACACAAGTTATTGTCCTGAAACTAGAAAAATGCTTGTTTTTTTGCCCTTTTATGGCCCCTGATTACTAAAATTTTGAGGCAATTACCCCCAAAATCAATCCCAGCCTTCCCTTTGTGGTATGGTACCTTGCAGTACAATTTCGGAGTGATCCATACATTTGAACACAAGTTATTGTCTGGAAACTAGAAAAATGCTTATTTTTGGCCCTTTATTATACCCCACGCAATGAGTTGTGGTGGGTATAATGTTTTTGATCCGTCCGTCCGTCTGTCCGTCTGTCTGTCCATCCGTCAGTCCGTCAGTCCTGTTTCTTGTCATTGCAACTCCTCTCAAACTACACAACAGAATTTCACGAAACCTTTTTAGATAATAAGGACATACTATGTAGTTGTGCATATCGACAGGAAATTATGATTCAATTCTTTTTTTAGGAGTTACGCCCCTTTGAACTTATTTGCTTTAATGTACTACTGCAACAGTTTGTCATCGCAACTCCTCTCAAACCACACAACAGAATTTCATGAAACCTTTTCAGATAATAAGGACATACTAGGTAGATGTGCATATCAACAGGAAATTACGATTCAATTTTTTTTCCAGGAGTTGCGCCCCTTTGAACTTATTTGCCCAATATACTACTGCAACCTTTTGTAATTGCAACTCCTCTCAAACCACACAACAGAATTTCATGAAACCTTTTCAGATAATAAGGACACACTACGTAGATGTGCATATCGACAGGAAATTACGATTCAATTTTTTTCCAGGAGTTACGCCCCTTTGAACTTATTTGCCCAATATACTACTGCAACCTTTTGTCATCGCAACTCCTCTCAAACCACACAACAGAATTTCATGAAACTGTGTAGACAATAAGGACATACTATGTAGATGTGCATATTGACAGGAAATTATGATTCAATTTTTTTTTCTGATACAATTTTTTTTTCTTGCACTTATTTTATTTCTCCAATGACAATGTGGGGACATGGGGTATGTGAGCGTGCTCACTAAGGTTCTTTCATTCCTAAATTTTTTGGGCAATTACCCCCAAACTCAATTCCAGCTTTCCCTTTGTGATATGGAAACTTGTAGTACAATTTCATAAAGATCCATACACCTACACACAAGTTATTGTCATGAAACTAGAAAAATGCTTGTTTTTTGCCCCTTTTTGGCCCCTAATTCCTAAAATTTGGAGGCAATTACCCCCAAAATCAATCCCAGCATTCCCTTTGTGATATGGAACCTTGTGATACAATGTCAGAGAGATCCATACACTTACACACAAGTTATTGTCATGAAACTAGAAAAATGCTTGTTTTTTGCCCCTTTTTGGCCCCTAGTTCCTAAAATTTGGAGGCAATTACCCCCAAAATCAATCCCAGCATTCCCTTTGTGATATGGAACCTTGTGGTACAATGTCAGAGAGATCCATACACTTACACACAAGTTATGTCTGGAAGTTACAAAAATGCTTATTTTTGGCCCTTTTTGGCCCCTAATTCCTTAACTGTTGGTACCATAACCCCCAAAATCAATCCCCCCCTTCCTTTTGTGGTATTGAACCTTATGGTAAAATTTCATTGAGATCCATTCACTTAAACTAAAGTTAGATTGCGAAAACTAATGTGTCTTCGGACGACAACGACGACGACGACGCCAACGTCATACCAATATAAAAAAATTTTTGCGGTTGTATAAAAATCTATTAAGGACTTCATCAAGGTAGTTTTTTCAGTTAAAGTATCGATTTTTACTTATTGGTTTAAACAAAAGGAAAAGTATGTACAATGTATAGGTCAATGAGACAACATCTCAACAAAACAAAACTATGGTACACAAATTAACAGTGAAACCATTTACCTAAAAAAAGACCATATACCAAGCTCTGTATTGCTGTGAGTAGAGAGTAGCTTTGAATAAATGATCCAAAAGTACCAGAAATCTTCCTTCAACAACAAATTCCATAAAGGGTAAGAAATGCTCCAATGTAAACAAAAATTACAGGGGCGCATTAAGAAAAAATGTTACAATTTTATATTGCAGTCATATTAATGATCTTGGCAGGGTAAAATTATTTTTGTGATTTGAATTTTTTTTCTTTCTGTAAGAAGTTGAAGGTCAACTATTTTGATAATTAGAGAATTGTTGCAAGGTGCACATGTTTGACAGGTTTGACCACATTTTCATGATTTCTTTGATTTTTGAAACTTACAATCTGGCACACCACTCTGGATTTCATGGGAACCTTGTATACAGTTTTAAACCAAGACAACCCATATATAGTTTGTTTCTTTGTTCCAACTAGGCCAATAGTTTTAGATAACATGATTTTCACAAAGTTAATGATGCAGAAAAGACAACTAATGCTATGTGATGAGCAAAGCTTACAGTGACTAAACCTTTGAGTTAGATAAGCTAAAAATAAGTGGCTGATAGATATTCAAAACTCATCTTAGATCACCCCTGGTACGAGATCTATAAATAAATATTTTAACTGCTAGTTTTTACCAGATTATAAAATATAAACAATAAAACTAAAAAAAGAATCTTTCAAAAATCCAAAAAGAGGTGGACGATACCAAAAGGACATTCAAAAGTCAAGAGAAACTGACAACACCACGGAAGAATTGAAGATGACAAAAAGACAAACAAGTTCATGAAAACACGACATAGAAAACTAATGACTTAGCAATACAAACACCACCAAAAACTCAGAATGATCTCAGCGATATTTTGCAGGTGGAATTATCATTTTCAGTGTTTTGCTAGACATGCTTATTGTTTTTTTTTATTTTTAAGTCTCCCAAACGAAGTTTGGGAAGACTTATTGTTTTTGCTCAGTTCTTATTATTATTATTATTCTTCTATTTCTTCCTCTTCCTCTTCCTCTTCCTCTTCCACCGCTTTTAAATTTGAACTTGTCCGCACCCGTTCTCCAAAACCGCTTGTCAGATTAACTTAGGGTTTCACAATATGTTAGACTAACATGTCTAGTGGTGCAATCAGGGTTTTGTTTGTGCAATGGGGTTTATAAAAGGGTACTTTGAGGGGCAAAAAGAAAGGAGGGTTTTACTATAGAACCCTATGGGATTTTATTTTTTAAAATTTTCGAATGATTATAAATTGAAAACCGTTTGTGAAAGACACAATCTTTTTTATTGAAAATGTTCTAAATGATAAAGCACATTAAATGAAATACAGGGTTAGTCCCTAGGGGTCACCCCCACCCCCTGCCATTTAAGAAAGTTCTAATACCTTGTAAGTGGTCAAGATCCCCACCCCTAAACCATATATATTCTGGTTTGTGATGCGAAGATGGTTTGAATGATATACAGGGTTAGTCCCCAGGGGTCATCCCGACCCCCTAGCATTTGAGAAAGTTCTAATATCTTGTAAGTGGTCAAGATCCCCACCCCTTAACCATATATATTCTGGTTTGTCATGCGAAGATGGTTTGAATGATATACAGGGTTAGTCCCCAGGGGTCACCCCCACCCCCTGCCATTTAAGAAAGTTCTAATATCTTGTAAATGGTCAAGATCCCCACCCCTAAACCATATATATTCTGGTTTGTCATGCTAAGATGGTTTGAATGATATACAGGGTTAGTCCCCAGTGGTCATCCCGACCCCCTGCCATTTGAGAATGTTCTAATATCTTGTAAATGGTCCTGATCCCCACCCCTAAACCATATATATTCTGGTTTGTCATGATAAAGCACATCAAATGAAATACAGGGTTAGTCCCCAGGGGTCATCCTGACCCCCTGCCATTTGAGAAAGTTCTAATATCTTGAAAATGGTCCAGATCCCTACCCCTAAACCATACATATTCCTGTTCGTCATGTCTCGAACATTTGAATGACGTATAGGGTTAGGCCCCAGGGGTTCCCCCCACCCCCAATGTTCTAGTATCTTGTAAATGGTGGAGATCCCCACCCCTAAACCATATATATTCTGGTTTGTCATGCCAAGATGATTTGAATGATATACAGGGTTAGTCCCCAGGCATCACTAATGCATATAACTTTACTGGACCAAACCAATTTTCACTGGACTTTGCCCAATGTCAGGCGACCCTGGGAATTAGGAATTATGGGAGCTTCGTTTGGGAGACTTCGTAACAGCATCATTTCTTGTTAACAATTATATCCTGCATTTTTTCAATGTTTGTTGGGCAGAATTTTCAATTTCACTCTGTCTTGGGCAAGACTAGCACTTTCAGTTCTACAAGAGGGCAGACCAGACTATTTATTTGCAACATCCCAAATCCCCATCAAATTACCACAACTATACACATTCACAGTGCAAATAAAATGTTACTGTATTAATTTGGTTAGATCAATACTAGACACTGAGTAGTGAATAATTTGCCAGGTTGATCGCCTGAAAACCTCTATTTGCAAAAGAATCAAACTTATAAATCACCAGTCATCAAGAAATGGAAAATGGCCATGAGAGTTTTTGCAATCACTTGGCGCCCGTCATGAAATTTTTTCTTACTGGGCCAATTAAATGTTACCAAACTTAACCTGAATGTTCCTTTTGTAATTTAGTTTTAAAATAGAATCAGGTGAGTTGATCCATCATTAAACATGGCCATTGTTGCTTAAAACATAACAAAGAGGTAAAATGCATTTTTTGGCTCATATCTGTAAAACCTAAGTGGTTAGAGTAAAACTAACCAGGGTAAAAAAATTACCAACAAGGTTAAATTATTGCCCTTGAAAGATGTTTTTCACCCATTTTTGCAGAAACCATATAGAAAGAAAGGATGAAATTTGAAAAAAAGGCAGGACAGGAGTTTTGAGTAAAAAAAAAAGGCAGGATGAGCAACTTGGCCAAAAAAAAAAGGCCGCGAGGATGACAATTTATGTAAAAAAAGTCAGGATAAACTAATAAAAAAAGGCAGGACCAAATAGAGTGAAAAATAAAAAGGCAGGACAGAGATTACAACTTAAAAAAAATGCAGGACAAAATTTTTTATCCTAAGCCCCCCCCCCCTATAAAAATCAAATGGTAGCTCCCTAAGCCATGATAGATAGAGAGAGATTGTTTTAGCAAAGATGTAAAGCACAATAAAATGTACAATGCCATGGCAAAAAACGAAATACAGACAAAAACACAAACAATAAAACAAAAGTACACAGAACACAAAGAAAACTAAAAGACTGAGCAACATCAAATGAACCCCACCAAAAACCGAGGGTGATCTCAGGTGCTCTGGAAGGGCTAGCAGAACCTGATCCATATGTGGCACCCATTGTGTTGCTTATTTTAGTACAAACCCAGTAATAAGTCTAATACAGCCGTCACAATTGAGTTTGTGGGTTAATAATGGCAACTGGAACGTCATCTGTGAAACAGAAATTTCATATCAGTCAGCAATTTCTTACTCGTGTTAGTGTCCTTAAAAAAATTCAAATTTATAATCTGTAAACAGTAAAAATGACCATCAATACAAGATCTACAAAAATGCCACTAAATAAGATTAATACAAATATAAAGCACTGATTGCTACTAAAATAAAATAAATATCAAAATGGCATATTTTTACCAGTTTAGAGGATTCAGGCTCTGGGGAGCCTCTGCAATATTTTCCAACAAAACATATTCTTTTTCATCCCAAACGTTTTGTTTTTATTCAATTTGGAAGAGTGGTCCTAACTTCAGGCTTGTATATTTCAAGCAAAAGATAAAACAAAGCGGAAACGAAACATTTCCGTATCCAGCATTGCAACACATTCTATTTATTATTATGAAATCACTTCAGTGCTTTAATCAGAGTAAAGCCTCAATAAGAATCAAGTTCGTACTCAACATTGAAAGAAAAAAATAGGAGTTTGATCACGAATTAAAATCGCACGACTTTTGAACAAAACTGTCGATAAATCATTGGCCAGACATTTCTCTACTTTAGAAGATGTTAGGAATTGGAAGTTTGTGGAATTTTATTAAGCGTCACAAACGAAAATTTATATTTGGTGGCATTCTTGCCGGAGGTAAATTTACACATTAAAGTCGTTCATCCATCATAATCTGCACAAACAAATATATACATGTATATATATACATGCATCTGGTCTTAATGTGTCACTAGTATTCTATAAGACCGTAGCTGATAATCTCTAGCAATGGTTAAACATGTCATGACAAGACATGTCAAAAAGCTAATCTCTTTTGCAGAACTGCTAACTTTTCTGAGATTTATAGGTGAGTTCCCCCATGAGAGGTGTTGACCTGACAATTGTAATTCTTAATTATATAAACTAAATAGCACAAAACAGGCATTCACAGGAGTTTAAAATACATTTAAGCAGATATATACTCATTCAAAACCATTGAATATGAGATTAAAAGACTTATGACATGTGAAAGAGATGAATAAGGTCCTCTCATGCTTCAAAAAGTTGGCAGGTATGCTTTTTGGATTATGAGCCCAGAGTGATTTTCTGTTTTGGCTGCCCACACAGTGGCGGATCCAGGAGGGGGGGTTCAGGGGGTTGGAACCCCCCCCCCCCCCTTTTTTTTGACGATCAATGCATTTGAATGGGAACATATATTTGGAACACCCCCTTTATCCTGGGTTAGGAACCCCCCCCCCTTTTATAAATGGCTGGATCCGCCCCTGCCACAGAAGGGTACACCGATAACTTTCCGAAAACTGATTGATATACCCTGGAAACTCTAAATTATAAGGTGCAATAGTGCTAATATTGATAGATATATGTCTCTAATACATGGTAAAAGTCACACTAAAATTGTTTGAAATTGTATTTAGTAAATTATATTAAATGAATAATGTTAGAATACTTTTTTAACATTTACCTATTGATAATACAGATTTTAGTAATGAGATAAATGTCACTTTTACTCAATTAAAGAAAAAAAAAATTGCCGAAATCATATTGTGCTTCTTCCTTGTATTTTAAACAAATTGCTGAGAGAAATATTACTGGAAGGGAGAAATGATACCAGAATAGATTTCTGCACAAATGCGAAAGTCTGAAAAAAAGTTAACTAATTTGGACTCATTAGTATATTGATTTTTCTGCTGTTATTTTGGACTTCATCCTCATATAAACTCTTTTAATGAAAATTTCTACAAACTTTTCATACCTTGAACTGGTCCTTTTAGGCATACAGCACCATTGTATATACCGAAAGCATGTAAAAAATAATAAGACATATTTCCTTTTTTGGATCAATTACTTTTTTTTAGATACCTTACCTTTTAAGGCTTTAAACAGTTGAAAAGACATATGAGTTGCCATCTATGTCTTAGAGCTTGAATTACCACTGCTTTAAGACTTGAGAAATTAATTGACATTTAAATTCAAGATGGTTTATAAAGTTAACAATCAGTATTTGTGTAAAGGGTTTCCTGCATGAGGAAAAACACAAGTAGGTAGGTAGGAATCTTTTTTATCCACTGTGGGAATGTCTTGGACAAAATTCGAAAATCAGTACCGATGAACTGTTTTTAAAAGAGTTATGCCCCTTGGATATATTGATTTTTATTGTCGAGTCTGCGACTTTTGTCGCAGAAAGCTCGACATAGGGATAGCGATCCGGCGGCGGCGGCGGCTACGGCGGCGGCGGCGGCGGCGGCGGCGGCGGCGGCGTTAGCTAACTTCTTAAAAGCTTTATATTTTAGAAGATGGAAGACCTGGATGCTTCATACTTTGTATATGGATGCCTCATGTTACGAAGTTTCCGTCAGTCACATGTCCAATGTCCTTGACCTCATTTTCATGGTTCAGTGACTACTTGAAAAAAAAGTTCAGATTTTTTGTAATGTTAAATTCTCTCTTATTATAAGTAATAGGATAACTATATTTGGTATGTGCGTACCTTGCAAGGTCCTCATGCCCGTCAGACAGTTTTCACTTGACCTCGACCTCATTTCATGGATCAGTGAACAAGGTTAAGTTTTCGTGGTCAAGTCCATATCTCAGATACTATAAGCAATAGGTCTAGTATATTCGGTGTATGGAAGGACTGTAAGGTGTACATGTCCAACTGGCAGGTGTCATCTGACCTTGACCTCATTTTCATGGTTCAGTGGTTATAGTTAAGTTTTTGTGTTTTGGTCTGTTTTTCTTATACTGTATGCAATAGGTCTACTATATTTGGTGTATGGAATGATTGTAAGGTGTACATGTCTAGCTGGCAGGTGTCATCTGACCTTGACCTCATTTTCATGGTTCAGTGGTCAAAGTTAATTTTTTGAGTTTTGGTCTTTTTTTCTAATACTATGTTCAATAGTTCAACTATATTTGATATGTGCGTACCTTGCAAGGTCCTCATGCCCGTCAGACAGTTTTCACTTGACCTCGACCTCATTTGATGGATCAGTGAACAAGGTTAAGTTTTGGTGGTCAAGTCCATATCTCAGATACTATAAGCAATAGGTCTAGTATATTCGGTGTATGGAAGGACTGTAAGGTGTACATGTCCAACTGGCAGGTGTCATCTGACCTTGACCTCATTTTCATGGTTCAGTGGTTATAGTTAAGTTTTTGTGTTTTGGTCTGTTTTTCTTATACTGTATGCCATAGGTCTACTATATTTGGTGTATGGAATGATTGTAAGGTGTACATGTCTAGCGGGCAGGTGTCATCTGACCTTGACCTCATTTTCATGGTTCAGTGGTCAAAGTTAAGTTTTTGAGTTTTGGTCTTTTTTTCTAATACTATGTGCAATAGTTCAACTATATTTGGTATGTGCGTACCTTGCAAGGTCCTCATGCCGGTCAGACAGTTTTCACTTGACCTCCACCTCATTTCATGGATCAATGAACAAGGTTAAGTTTTGGTGGTCAAGTCCATATCTCAGATACTATAAGCAATAGGTCTAGTATATTTGGTGTACATGTCCAACTGGCAGGTGTCATCTGACCTTGACCTCATTTTCATGGTTCAGTGGTTATAGTTAAGTTTTTGTGTTTTGATCTGTTTTTCTTATACTATATGCAATAGTTCAACTATATTTGGTGTGTGGAAATATTTTATGATCTATTTGGCAGTCACGCAGGTTTTATTTGACCTTGACCTCATTTTCAAGGTTCATTGCTCAGTGTTAAGTTTTTGTGTTTTGGTCTGTTTTTCTTAAACTATAAGCAATAGATCAACTCTATTTGTTGTATGGAAGAATTGTTAGCTGTACATGCCTGCCTAGCATGGTTCATCTGACCTTGACCTCATTTTCATGGTTCATTGGTCAATGTTTAGTTTACTTGGTTAATGTTAAGTTTATGTGACAGTTGTAATAAAGCTTTATATTTAGGACTATCAACATAATATCAATGATTAGTAAAGAAGGCGAGACATTTCAGCGTGTGCACTCTTGTGGAATATTGCATTGTAAGCGCTCTCACATGTACAATTTTTGCCAGATTTTTATCAAATTTATATCAAAGTTTTATATAAGCAACATCTCGGACAAGTTTGAAAAACAGTGCCGATCAAATATTTTAAAAGAAGTTGTGCCCCTTGGAAATATTAATTATATTGGAAACTGCATTGTATTTGCTCTTAAGCCCTTGGATAGATAAAATCTGTGCAATGCGGGGGACATTGGAATTCTGTTCTTTTATTGTACTTGTTTAGTTTTTTTTTTCTTTGAGTATAAAACTTTAGGTAAGGCATATTTTTGGGGCATTGAAAATAAGCTTTAAGGGTCTGTATGGAAACCCTTAACACAATTATTTTTGTTTCTGCGGTAGTCACAATCTAAATTTATCTTTTACTAACACAAAGCAAAAAGCTGTAATTTATGAAATTTTGTATTTAAGGCAAAGTCGAAACTTTTTTACTTTTTATTTTTAAGAGGAGGGCTTCTTGTATTTATTTCAATCATGAAGAGTTTTCCTATTTATATTTTGTTCTGTATTTAAAAAAAAAAGAGAATTCAGATATGAAAAGAAATCCATTGTCAATGAAAATCTCCTGATGCCTATGATAATTTCTACAAAATACTAATTGGAGATCTGAACTGCAAATAGCATTTTTTATGTTTTAGGTGGAACATATTTTTACAGATATTTGCAAGAAAAAGTAAAAGAAATACAAGAAAAGGAAGCATCAGAATGTTTAGCCCATGCCAGGTACATTTATTTGATGCACATGTATAGGCTATTAAAAATGGCCCAAGGCCTCGTGGCTTGTTAAGATAGTAATGAAAATTAATGTACTACATTTGTAATCATGGTAATGTGATAAGAAATAATGTACATTTGTAATTTTGACTAAGTAAATGTATTGTGTTGGTGAGGTGTTTCAGAGCATTAAAAATATTTACTTTTAGATCTAAGGTTTGGAGCAACTGAGCAAGGTATTCAAATATATTTTTAAAGTTTATATCATAATATAAAGCATAACTTAATCTATCTAAATTTATCTTGGAGCCATCAAAGATTTCTCTTGTAAAGTCTGCTGGCTTGTTTGTTACTGGTATAGAAGTTTCAAATATATATGATTGTCAATTTGAAATGGCAGAGTTAAAAACCATGCAGGTCTTGAATAAAGATATAAAGGAGATATGGAGTATATATCAATGAGACAGCAACCCAACAACACAAAAAAAAATAACATCCAGAGAGCTTAACATACAATTTTATCAAAAGATGAGTGCCTATGCAATATGTTAAGGTCTTCAACATCTTGAGTCAAGAAAAAATGTGAATAAATTTAATACACTACCAAAAGTTTGACATTTGTCTTACTGTCAAAATAAATTTCACTTTTCTGCTGTGGAAGACCTTGCAGATATTTAGATGGCTGCAAAGAAATACAAAGAGATGAAATTGAAGAATAAACATTTTTTATCAAAATTAACCAACTTGTAAATAATAAGAAAAAAGTAAAATAACAAAAATACCGAACTCCAAGGAATATTCAAAACAGAAAGTCCCTTATCAAATGGCTAAATCAAAAGCTCAAACACATCAAACAAAGAGAAAACAACTGTCATAATCCTGACTTGAAAATACTTATTGATGTCTATGTATGATATATGAGGTCTGTACTGTCAATTTTGTTTTGGGGGCCTCGGTGGCCGAGTGGTCTAAGTAGTTACTACTGTAATCACTAGCCAGTCAACACTGAAGTTGTGAGTTCGAACCCCGCTCGTGCGGGTGCACTTGACTCCAATCTTAATTGACTAGGATTGTCAGTTTTCCTATCGAAGGTCGTGGTTTTCTCCGGGCACTCCGGCTTCCTCCACCAATAAAAACTGGCTGCCACGAAATAGCCCAAAAGTGGTGCTTAAAAGTGGCGTTAAAACACCAAAAATCAAAATCAAATCAAATCAATTTTGTTTTTGTTGGTACATATGTACATGGATTATCATCTTAATGTATTATTCCCTAATGTATGATCAATTTTATAGAAAACAGCACCATTTTGACAGTAACCAGAGAACTTGTAATATGACAGGTTAGTATAACTTTTACCTGATTGTCTATACAAATAAAATTTTTGCGGGTGTATAATGCTATGAAATTGTTGTCGTCATTGTCGTAGTCAGAAGACATTTTATTTCCACACAATAACTTAAGTAAAAGTGTATGGATCTCTATGAAATTTTACCACAAGGTTCCATACCACAAAAGGAAGGTTGGGATTGATTTTGGGGGTTATTGTATCAACTTTTGTTTAGGAATTGGTGGCCAAAAGCAAGCATTTTTCTTGTTTCAGGACAATATCTTGTGTATAATTGTACAGATCTCTATGAAATAATACCACAAGGTTTCATACCTCAAAAGGAAGGTTGGGATTGATTTTGGGGTTATGGCCCAAATGATTTAGGAATTAAGGGCCAAAATACAAGGATTTTCTGGTTTCCAGACAATAACTTGAGTATATATGTATGGATCTCTATGAAATTGTACCACAAGGTTTCATACCATAAAAGGACGGTTTGAATTGATTTTGGTGGTTATGACCTTAACCATTTAGGAAAAGGGGCCTAAAACAATACTTTTCTTATACTCTGTATAAATTGCTTATTTCTTGACCAATTTCAATGGGGTTTTATTCAAAGTCTTTGAATTGTTGGGGATCTTTAATATGCTGAATCTAACTGTGTATTTAGGTTTTGGATTTTTGGACCAGTTTTTAGATTGGTCCACAGTGAGGTCCAAAGGTTCCAAAATTTAAAAAATAATGGATTGGTGGGTACTTTGATCTGCTGAATCTAAACATGTTTTTAGATTTTTGATTTTGGGCCCTGTTTTCAAGTTTGTCATAATCTGGGTCCAAAATTAAACTTTGTTTGCTTTCAACAAAAATTGAATATATGGGTTTTTTTGATGCTGAATTGAACAGTGTATTTAGATTTTGGATTTTGGGCCCCATAATTAGTCTACATTGTGGTCCAAAATTAAACTTGCTCAGTTTGATATCATTAAAATTAAATTCTTGGGGTTCTTTGATATGCTGAATTTAACCATGTATTTAGATTTTGGATGTTGGAACATAATAGGTAAATATCCAATTTCAAATTTTTAAGTTCTTAGACCACATTCATTCTGTGTCAGAAGCCTATGCTGTGTCAAATATTTAATCGCAATCCAAATTCAGGGCTGTATCAAGCTTGAATGTTGTGTCCATACTTGCCCCAACTGTTCAGGGTTTGACCTCTGCAGTCGTATCAAGCTGCACCCTGTATGCATTTTATTCATGTATATTCAGGATGAGAACCATATAAATCAATTTGATACCTTCTGAAAGGTTAAAAAACCTTGAGTCTGAAGATGAATTTTTAAACTTCTTTTTTTAATAACATTATTTAGGAAATTGTTTGTATTATCTATCAGATCAATTAGTTTTTTTGTGTTATTTTCATAAGAAAATTTACAATGTTTTCAATTTAATTAAGATTGATAGAAATTTAGTTTTAGATTTGTTTTTTAGAGCAAGATTACTTCACAGACATTTTGGTTGAAATGAAATGATTAACACATTGAATTGCATTTCTAATGAGATCATAAATTTATTAATGTTTCAGTTTTATCGATGGTGTCTACGCTTCGTGAGGCGTTGATAAGAACATTTAACACTGAAGAGATAACAGAACAACTGAAAAATAAGTATGTAAAAGTATATAATTGGCTTCATTTTGGTGTTTGATTTCATAATGTCCAATATATTATGTCTTGTCTGTGATGATGGTCATAGAGTCATGGTGTGCAGTTCCAACCATTGTTAAAGTTTTTGAATGAGTTAGAAAGGCGAGAAATATCTCAATAAGACTGTAATAATCTTTTTTTTATTTCATATGTGAAACACTTCAAGACACAATTACCATTTTGCACATATACAGTCTTTTTTAGGATAATGAATCAAAACTAATTTTAGGGTTTGATACTTAAAGATTTGGTTTTCAGAATGAAATCAAAAGGAAATGCTTTATGCCTTTTCAAGCTAGATTTTAAGGCATTTCTTCATAAAACTTAGTACAATGCTTTTTCTCAATAAAACCACAGTTTCAAGACAAGAGATAAAGATGAGATCAGAGAAAACAGCCCTCCTATTAATATGTTCAAATTCAGAATTAATGCTCTGATTTGCAATAGCCTTGATTCATTAAGTTCCATAACATTTCTGTGAAATGAAGCTATTGTTTCAAAGATTGTGACTAGTCAAATAATGCTTTATTATTCAATTTCATGTGTCAAGTAGTGAAAATTATCTAATATTTTTTAATAATTAGTGTTAATCTGTGCAATTTCCTGTATGCCGTTCAAATTAACACAAGGACTGAAATACATGTTATGAAACATTTCTCTGTGGTTGTTAAATTATACTCTATAATGGAAAAATTACTTGTTTTTCATTTTTAGCCCAGAAAATAAAGTACAGTTATGGGAAGACTTGAAAATAATGAGTAAGTAGGAATGAAAAAAGTTTACAAACTCTAAATTCCTATGTTTGGAATATGAAAATTAGTTCATGTAGTTGCTAGGAAATAATATTAAGTAGATGATTTGATGTTTTCATCATTAAATTAAAATGATTATATATATTAATCATGTTAATATATTTATTTTGATTAAGACAATCAAATTCTTAACCATGAGTGGTATAATTGCCAATGAACAAAACTCATACCGCATAGTCAGCTAAAAAAGGTCCGTAAATGACAAATGTAAAATAATTCAAATGAGAAAACTAACGTCCTGATTTATGTGCAAAACAATGAATGAAAAAAAAAGTATAGCTTTCTGTACAGTATGGATTTTGCTGATTTTTAAAGGCTTGACAGTGAGCTACAGTTGTTTACATCTTTGTTATTTGGACTCTGGTGGAGAGTTGTCTCATTGGCAATCATACCACATCTTCTTATTTTTATATTATAAAAGATCCTTCCATTGAGAAAGTCCAGGTATCCAAATTAGACGCTTCAGATGAGAACTGTTTGAGTTATTATATTATTGACTGATCAGAATCAACTGTGACTCACCATTTCAAATAGTGATGAATCTGAGGACTCACCCTATAAATTTCCTAGTGGTTAGCATGATTTTACTTCTACCTAAGAATATTTGTTGAACACTGTTTCTCTTAATATATTGAAATTATATTTGTAATAATTTTGTTTTAGGTTTTGCCAGAACCGTCAGTATTGTATATAGTTGTAGTATCATGGCCTTACTTTTACGAGTCCAGCTAAATGTGATTGGTGGTTATATGTTCATAGATAGTATGCACCAGCAAAATGGGAAAGTAAGTAAAATTTTGATATACTGTTGTTTTTTTTAGGAAATTTATTTTCTATGAATGTTGACCTCTTGATGTCTTTTTCTGTGTCAATAGATTGTGGTCTCATTGACATTTTTCAGTATCTTCTTTTAAGGATGTACTTAGGTCAGGTTTAGGAATTTTTGTCAAATGTTCGGACTCCTTGGTTTTTTTCCTACGATACAGGGTAAAATATTTTGCCCCATAACACCCATTTTTCTTTTCATATAAGACTTCAATAGCTCATAAAAGGTCATTTACCAAAATTTAAGCAGATTCTAGATTTCTTTCGATTTGAGACCCAAATAATACCAATGCAAGTATAAGGTAAAATTCAAAGTCAACCTTTTCCTTCTATTTTAAAAAAATTAAATAACTCAAAAAGGAGCTCCATAACCTATCAATATTTTTAGCTTATTTTTTTTCCTTAAGTAATGCTCTTCTGACTTTTAGTATCAATTTTGAATTCTAGATTTTTTCAATTTCACCTTAAGTACATCCTTAAGTGTATTTATGATAAGTATGACATAAATTGTGACCTGTCACTAGATGAATGAAGAAATTGTTGCATTGTCCAGGAATATATTTTGATTAAATTGTGTAGTTGGATTGTTGTGTCAATAATTCGAACAAAATGAATCCAATTGTCAATTGTTGAAGAGCACCACCCCTAAATAAACTATGGCAATCCCCGATAGTAATTAACATTTTCTTATAAGTAAATTATGTTATAAATGTGTATGGGAGGAAAGAGGAATATTAAAAAAGATTAATATTTTTGTTTTTTTAATTGTAGACTGAAAAAATTTTAATTTCTAAAGAACTTCAGCAGAAATATTTATCAGATATTCAGCATTTCTTTAGCACAGGTTAGAATAAATATGTATATCTGCAACAATATATTTCATAATTTCCCCTAATGTAAGGACCATGGATTTTGATTGATTAATATATTAGAGTATAGGTCAGGGCCAGCTACTGTGACTAGTAACCATCACCTAGCATATTTTCCAATTGCAGACACTTTCATAAATACAGCATACTGCTGTTAACATAAAGTACACTAATTTCATTTTTAAAATTCTGTAATGTTAAAGTGGACTAAGAATGTTGGGTTCTCTAGTTTTTCCCTTTAATATTGTGTAACCCATCAAATTTTTTCTAAGCTATTACTTAAAAATATATATTACTATTTTTTTTATTAGTGTACATCTCAAATACACTTTTAGTCAAATATTTTGAATTTTGATTTATATATGATATATTTTATTACAGTTTAAATTTCAGAAATTAATGCCTGCATTTAATTTTGCTAATTACTGAATGCTAGTAAAAATGTGAAAATCATTTTCCTTTCATGAGAAAATTCCATAAACATCAATTTTTTATCACCCTCCAAAAATTAGTTTTTTTCAATGTTTGTATCTCAAAAATAAGCATATGGACATACCTTTATTTTTTTTTTTACAATTTTTAAGGATTAACAGAATTGACAGAAACAGTGCAGCATGTTGTTAGAAAGGAAATATTAAGGTAGGTTTATTCACAAATCAGTCCGTGGGAATCTTGATTGCAGTGCTTTTGCTCTTTGCTTTATTGGAACTACATTTAGATTACACAAAACCACTGTGTATTGTTTAAACAAAATTTTGATGAAGAAAGTTGAAGGTACATTTTTGGGCTTATATGGCATTGTAAATTGACCTAAAAATACTACGTTTGATTGATTACATTTGAATCTGTAAGAAATAGGCCTTTACTGAAATGTAAATAGTAGGTAAGTCTTGATGGTTTCAATTTGACTGATATCATATGGACGATTTACTCAATATTATCAAAGAACTACTTTTTATTAAAAATGAAATGTGTTATGATTGCCAATGAGACTACAATTTCCAATAGACCAATGAAAAAGGAAGTAAAAATCTATAGGTCACCCTGCAGCCTTCAACTTTGAAAACCCTTATCAAATAGTAAGCTATAGAAAGGTTTATTTCCATAATTTCGGTTACATAGCTATGGTTTTCTTTTTTCTTCCAACATGGGAAATAACTTTTGTCTATTTATGTAGGTCTTCTCATGAAAGCTGTAGATTGTTCATTTACCTGTGGTTTTCACAGTATTTGTTGCTGTTATATTTTCTCTATATGAATTAAGAATGATACACTTAATAGATATTTTCTGTTCTAGTATATCCTTAAAGGAGAGATTAACGATAGATAATTTACAAGCAATAATCCAGCAGATCAGAGAGAGAATAGAAACGAGTCCAGATATATCAGACTTATCACCGACCTTTATCTTATGTAAATATATGGTACCTTGTATCCTGATTTCTCAGCAGGTAAGAACAATTCAAACATTCAAACCAAGAAGTTTTCCAATATACTGATTTGTATAATTATATACCATGGCATTGTGATTGTCTATGCTAGATGTCATCTGGATCATAATGTATGAACTGGGGTTGTTAAGTTCATTGTTAAAAACTTAAATGTTAAGTTTAATGACACCAATGAATGCAGCGTTGTTGTTTCAGTTTTTGGAGGTATTGCTACATCCACCAGGTATCCTGTCTACTTTTATAAATGCAAACAAAGGATAAGGCCACTCTTTTGTCCTCTTGAATATGAAATCAAAAAGTATTATATATCTATCAAATAACATGCCTCAGACATTACTCTGTCTGACATCAGTATTCATATTTTTTGAATTTTGTCTTACCTTTTTGCATTACAGCTGTTATCATAATGCTAGCAAGTTAAAGGTTTGGTTGGCTTGCTTGCTTTGTTTGTATTAATGTTTGCTCAAGCATTGTAATTAAGATTGACATCTGAAAACAATATATAAAGGCAGAGTTAAACTTGTATACATTATACTTAAATTTGATTGGACACTATCAAATAATCAAATTTACCTATATACAGGTTTAACTCCGCCTATTTATATTGTTTGTAGTTGTCAATCTTAATAACATTGCTTGAGCAAACTTTAATACAAACAAAGCAAGCAAGGCAAGCAAGGCAAGCAAGCCAACCAAACTCTTACTCTGCATGCATTAGTAAATCGACTGTAGGGCTTCAAACTTCTCATTTAGTGTAAAACAGCAAAAACTGCCAAAATAACCTCCTTTTGAGATCTTGTCATTAATATTTAGATATGTGTGTAAAATACTGGTATATCTTTAGGTAGAACTGTTGCTCATATATATTTTGACCAAGAACTGTGTGAAACAGCCATTTAGGTCATATACTTACATTTGTCATGTTTATGACTTTATTGTGACATTACTAGGGACTTTTTTGCCCTAAAGTGTATATTAACTTGTTCAATTATCAATAAAATTAATATAAATTTGAAAGGCTTGAATGAGTTTACTGTTTTTGCAACTTAAGGGGCCAAATAATGGCTCTTATCATGCCTCCTCGTTTATAGAAAGATCTTTTAGAAATATTTCTTATCAATATTTATCAAGAAATTTGTGAGGAATTTAAAGATTTAATGAATCCAATCATATTAGTAATACCTTATAAGCATATTCTGACAGCAATATTATTTATTGTATTAAAGGAAGAAGATGCCATGTATACCAGGCTTCATACAGAAACGAAAGATATAATAGAAAGGTATGTTAAATTATTTCATTACTACATTCTCCCTCTGTTGGAAACCCTTGTGTTTTGTGTTATTTATAAATTTAATCTAGTTATTTCAATTCCCCATTTAGAAATACCAAAAAAACACTTTTTCTTGAAAAAATAGAAATATAAGGTAGATTACATGAACAGTTGTAAAAATGAAATGAACACTGATTATGTTTGTCTGTTGAAAATATGCATTTATAGACACTTATGAAAAATATGTCTGAATGAGAGCATAAAAACAAATTTCAATACGACAGACATTTTTTTTGTCATAATCCCTCTTTACTTGAAAATCCTGTGACACAAAATTTTTTTTAGATTCATTAATTGATATAACTTATTTCCTAGATTTTATTCATCAGTTTATTTCTGTTTATTTTTTTCATATTTCAAAAATCACATGTACATTATTATTTCCCAAATGATAATTAAAACACCTTATGAAACTTCATAATGAATGGCTTAATATTGATAGAAATTTTTTGTATGAAGATATCTTAATTCTCATCACTTAGAAAATGTATATATATATTTACAGTGCTGATTTCCATAGTGTATTAAAGTTATGTTTGGACCGAGGGTTTGCCAAATTACTAGACAGTTTAGCAGACCATTATAAACACATGTTAGAAGATCAACATAGACAAAAGTATGTAAAACTCCAAATGTTTAACAAATCTCAATACAAATAGGTTGAATAATGAAATAATGAATTACCTGGTTTCCTGTACATATTTTCATTTTATCAGCTATAAAGTGATAAAAAAAACCCCAGAGAGACATGTGAAAAATTGGAGTGTCTGTTTCTTTGTAATATAATATTCTAGAGATAAAATGAAGTCATGCTACTTGTTGCTCAAGATTTAAGGGAAACTTATTAGTCCTCTTTTGTAAACATAAAGAGATCATTTTAATATCTATTTTATTTTTTTGATTTCAGTTTCCATGAAGTGGCATTGCCTATGGCCAAATTAATTCCTATAGTGAGTGGGCTGTTACATAAACTTTGTAGTGATGCACCAAATCCTTTAATACAGGTAAGGTTTGACAGACCATAGTTTTCATTTGTCATATTTACTCATACCATATATGATTTTCAACAGACATTACAACACTAAATAGTACAAAACCATATTAAGAGGGTAACAGAGTGAAGTATTTTATGCTTTTCAATAATCCTATTCAAAAATAGTTGGTTAGGGAAATTTTATCTTTTTCCCCTCCTAATGAGTAGTAGATACTCTCTAAATCAGTATATCAAGCAGTAGAATATGATGCAAGTGAACTGATCTTTATGCCCCTGCAGTAGGCGACAGGGGCATTAAGTATTACCCTTGACCTTCCGTCTTTCCGTCCTTCTCTTTCCGTCTGTCCCATTTTCGTTGCAAAGCTTGAGTGGGGGCATTGTTGTCCTCAGACACATCCTTCTTTTATTAGTCTCCTACCAATGAAGTCGAATGGGACTATAGGTTTTGTTCTCCGTCCGTCTGTCTGTCCATCCGTCAGTCCGGCAAATCAGTTTTCCTTTTTTTTTTTCTGTGCTTGAAAATATTGATTTGAGGCAAGTAATCAGTTTTCTGCACTTTTTTTTGTCATTCTTGAAGATATTGATTTGATATTTGGTATATAGTTTATCATGACCAGTTACAGATCAAGTTTGAATTTTATTCCGGTTTGATGATTTTGTGCAGAGTTATGGTCCTTGGACTTAGAAAATTCAGGCAAGTAATCAGTTTTCCACATTTTTTTCATCATGCTTGAAGATATTAATTTGATATCTGGTATATAGTTTTACCATGACAAGTTACAGATCAAGTTCAAATGTTGTTTGTTTTTTATGATTTTGTGCAGAGTTATGGTCCTTGGACTTAGAAAATTCAGGCAAGTAATCAGTTTTCCGCATTTTTTTTCATCGTTCTTGAAGATATTGATTTGATATCTGGTATATAGTTTTACCATGACGTTACAGATCAAGTTCAAATGTTGTTTGGTGCAAATGATTTTTTTGCAGAGTTATGGTCCTCGGACTTAGAAAATTCAAGCAAATAATCAATTTTCTGCTCTTTTTATACGCCCATTTACGGGACGTATTATGGTATACCGTTTTACCCATATCTATCTGACATTAAAAGCACTCTCACACCTACAGTTCTCATCTGGTTAATCAATGTAATAGGTTTAGATTGGCAATATCTTGGACAGAAAAATCAGTGCTGATTGTTGGGGGAATTATTGCCCTTGGAAATGTTACCATTATGGAAAATCAACAATGCAAGCACTTTTGTGCCTACATTTGGTATTGTAGTTTTATGAAATGGATGTTGAAAAGGTAACATAAGCAACAGTTCAGAAAATCAGTACTGATATTAAAACTTTATGGAATTTATGCCTTTGAATTTTAAATAATTTGAAAAATCAACATTGTAAAAAAGGGGAGAAGGCGATAAAGGAAGCAATAAAAAACAAACAACATTATCCCAAAAGACAGAAAAAAGAATTAACATACAATTACATAATTAGCAACAGAAACTCAGCCCCAATTGACTATTTTTAAGAGAGTTTTCCCCTTAGAAAGAATATTTCACTGTATTAGCAGGGACATTGGTTTCTATATGGCAATCTTGTTGATATTTAAATTTTGGTCTTATACATATTAACATAGCTACACAGTTATTAGCAGGCCAACACAATCACTTTGATAATACATAATGATAACATCCAACAACCTTACAGATGCATGATGTAGATTGTTAGTGTCATATATATCATATTATGTTTTGTTTAACTTTTGTTTTACCATTTTCTGTTTTGTAGGAGATTTTATTGTTAGAACCAACAAAGACCTTTGCTGCCAATATTTATGAAGCTTTTAGTGAACAACAGACAGAACAGCTTGCAATATAACTGTACACCTGTGATAATTTATTAACTGTTGTCTCTAATTTGTTGCTTAAATATGAAATATATTCAGATGAAAGGCATAAACTATAGGCTCATATTTGCTCTTATTTGGTTTTTTAAAATTCTGAAAATAAAAGAAATGTATGATACAACTGATGATAGATTTAATGTCTGAATCAAGATTATATAAGGATTAACTGTGGCTTGATATACTGTGGATTCATTGGGTACAGGGGAACCACGAATTTAAATGTTCAACAAATAACAAAATTTCTAAAGGAATGTACGCAGACTTTGCCAAAACAACGAAATTAGATATCCACGAAAATGCAAGTTTTCCTCAATCCACGAAAAATTGGTACCCATGAAAAATAAATGAATCCACAGTAACAGTTAAAGCTATGACAGCATTAAAATGATGTCGTTAATTGGAAAGATGTTCCTGATTTAGAGCAAAAAGCCAAAACTAGGCAAGTTAAACATTAGAAAAGACATGTAGATAATTTAAAACAACAATAATTCTGACCTCAAATCTTACCCTTTCCTTTAAATTTGTTAAGTTTTTTTATAATTATTATTATTGAATATGTATATATTGTAGATCACCAAAATCATGCCATCTTGACTGTAATGAATAAAAAATTAAATGAAATAAAATTTTATATGTTTTAAATTGTTTGTTTTAATATGACTTTTATTGAGAAAATCATAGTACTTGAGAAAACCAAAAGACCTTGATGAATAATAAGCACTTTTCAATATTCAAGAATACAGATTATTTTGGTTAATTACAGAATTCTAACATTTCTACCATTGGGTCACCAGACTGAAGGAACCAGTGCTTGTTGTTATGAGTCATACGTTAGACATTTGCATGTAATCTATTGTAAAAAAAATCACTTTATGTGTGGCTACCAGATTTGCATCAAATGAGATTACTGTAAAAATCAGAATGTTTTACCCAAATTTTCCTGTAAAGATGGAGAACTGTTACATGAATTTTCATTGTATTGAGAAGATCCACTGGATTAGCATCAAAATAAGCATTGCTTTGTCATCATTCCTGTGAAAATAGTAAACATTTCACTTGGCAGTTTCAAATACTAGGAAAATAAAAAAAAACAGACATATCAAAACTTTAAACAATCCTGGTTGTTAAGTTTTATATCATTCATTTCCAGGTAAATAAAATATCTTCTGTATATGAACAGATATGTTAATGAGACAACCATCCAACAACCCAAAAATAAGAAGCCAACAATGTACCCTATGTCAAGCTCTTAATTAGAGTCAAGGAAAGTTGTAAATCTAACAGAAACCAACAATGTACTGTATGTCAAGCTCTTAATCTTTAGAGTCAAGGAAAGTTGTAAATCTAACAGAAACTAACAAAGATCTGTCTTCAACAACAAAAAACATCCACGACAAATTTCTGGACTTGCTGCAGGCACAAACACCTTTTTACTTGTCATGAATCATATTTTCACCTTTGGCAAATATATTCTTCAGTTACTTCTCGTGTGTAGTACTACACCTTTTCTCTTTCAGTCTGTATGTTTAGCAAAATTGTTACATGTATTCAGATCAGACTTCCTGTTTGAATTTTTCAATATAATGAATAAACTTGTAATTTTTTTTTCTACTGAACAGATTGACTTGATATTTTATCAGCAGATTGACAGTTATATGTTGTAATATATCACTTTTAAGATTTGTCAGATAATTATTTGCTGTTTGCCTGTACTTTAAATATTTCAATATGTTGAATGAACTTAAAAGTTTTGTCACAGTCAGTAGCTTAGCAGTGATGAGTTATAATGTGGATATAGATTTTGTGTATAAGGGTAAACCACAAATTTAAATGTTCAATGAAGTACACATTTTCTGTATTCTTATATGCAGACTTTGGCAAAACCATGAAATCTAATATCCACACGAATACAACTTTTCCTCAAGCCTTAAAGAATTAGGACAGACCAAAATAAAAGAATCTACAGTATTTATTCTGGAGATAACTTCTATCATGTGTACTACATCACCTTTTTAGATCATTTGGATTTTTGTGGCCATTGTGAGATATTACCATCACTTATCAGACACCAAGGGACCATTTCAACCTAACTAAGTGGTTTAAAAAGGGAATTTATGATAACTGACTATGGATGCAATGTTATTGTATAGTATTTCACAAGCCCATTTTATACCGAGGTTCTCAAAATGAACATAACTATGTATAAATTATCTTCTACTTTTATTAAGAGTGAGTCATGTATGTAAAAATGTAAAAAATATATTATTTCTTTGTAAACAAAATTCTATATAAACATTTATCACAGAATACAATAGGACGGTACGATTAGAATCTTTACAACAAAGCTGTGAAAATTACTAAATAAATTATATTGTAATATTTACACTTATTTACAGCATAATACTTCATAAATCACCAAAACAACAAAGATTTAAAAAAACAAAACAAATGAAGTTAACAAAAATATAAATCTAATATGATTGATAACAATTGTTGAATAAAAGTTATACCATAGTTAACTGCATAATACAATTTTCATACTTAATTAAATATTTACTCAAACATGGTTTAAACATGATTGATTGTTTTATGAAATTTCAAACCCAGATTAAATTAAACCCAATGGAAAAGAAGTATGAGCCTTTAAGAGCAGAAACCTTTGAAACAGAATTAATTTCCAAAACTTTGTTAACAAGATATGACATTTGACCATCAAGTCTGGTAATTTTGTTTGTCCAAAATGGCATATCTTTGAATGAACAGACATACAGCCCAGCATTGTACATATATGTATGAGAAATATAATTAATTTACCTACCCTTAATCAAGGGTAAATAATTACTAACCTCCTTCACTTTATAATTAGCAACAGGGGCCTTAATCTTACTACATGAAATAAAATCTTAGATATAAAATAACAGCATTTTAATGTTATTAAAAATATAAAAGTTAACATGATCATTTGATCTAAATGTAACGCTATATGCCTACAAGCATGTAGATAGTCAAACTAGACTAGGAAAACTAAAATAATTACTCCAAATCATTGTCATGGCAACATGAAACTATAAACCAATCAAATTCACAAGAGAAATAAGCATTGATTTGTCTCAGATTGGTCTAAGAACATGTAAAACATGAGAAAAGTAATTGGTTTACAAAATACAACATTATTACATCAAGATCTTATGATTTCCCTCATTTATTAAAAAAAAATTATAAAAAATATTTACAGTGAATATACATTAGTTTGAAAGACTTTGATTTGGCATTAAAATGCTACAACTTATATACAAGATAGAACCATCTAAGTGACTAATAATACAATAAGCTAAACAAAGCTTTATAAATGCAATGATACAATACTAAGTTACAATATATCTGATACCATACTAAGTTACAAAGTATCTTATCACAGATAAGCTTATATAAACATGTCTGCCAATATGTTCTTGCATACTTTTACGTGCTGGTCTGCGTTTCAAAAAATTGTCTTAGGACTAAAATTGACTATTGAATAAAGTATACTGAATTGTTCATGATTTACGTTCAATGTTAGTCATAAGATTTTTATGATAAAGAGGTGATTTGTGGGAGCAGATCTTTTTGGTTATACTTGATTTTAAATTGCATGCACATAAACGAATATAAAACTTAACCAATATATCGCTAGGTGCTACCCAAATGAATCTGAAACTGTATTTTTACCCTAATTTTCCCGCTTTGAATACTGTAAATAATACTTGACACAAGGTTTACATACATTAAACTGAAGCAATTTACATTCAGATTAACATTTTGAAGCAAACTTGCACATAAGACTCTTTTTCTCCTATTGTTTCAATAAATACAAAATAAGCAAAGAAATAGCCGTACATGAAAAATTCCCACATCATCAATTCAATATAAAAACCTTACAACATAAATGTCTAGGAGTATACATTTTTCTGAATTAACTTTTCTCTAAAATACAACATATGATCATGCAATCTAATACAGATACAGAATTATCAGTTTTATACTGGAATTGATTGATTGTTCTATGGTTAACACCCAGTGGCAAATATTTCATGCATTTTACGACAAGATTTATATTTGGATATTGTAGCTCCCTTAAAATAAATGACATGCACCTCTTACTGTCATCCATGAAAGATTTACCTTCAGAATTTATTTTCAAACTCCAAAAAAATTTAATCTTTAATGAGCACTCTGTGAGTTTTTGAATGAATATAAAAATGTATAAAAATGAATGACTTATGATTCCCTCCATTTTCAACTCTTGCACCCATAACAATGTCAAAATGCAAAATGAAAAAAAAAACAACAATTAATGATTATTTGATGATGTCGCCTAATAAATTGTCAAATATATAATTGAAATAAAAACAGTTATTCAATTGTTCTACTGAATGTATGTGAATTCTAATAAATAATTTAGCTTAGGATTAGAAATGATAGCACTAAAATGTTTTCTAGGTATTTCATTTAGCTTCATAAATGTTAGCACTAAACATTTTAAGTGTTACAGTTGTTTTGTTTCTCAGTCATCAAGTTGACACAACAAAGCTACCCCTCTGTTGATCCAATGGTCCTCTGGTTCTGTTGATGGTATAAGAATGTTTAATACATAATTTGTTGAGTGACCAGTAGTTGATAATGTACCTCTTCTTGCACTTGTTTTATATACTGAAAACAGATTGACAAAAGACAATGAATATAAATTGTTGTAACAACTTCTAAAAAATGTAAATATTAAGTAAGCTTTTTTTCAAGCTAGATATCATCATACATTTTGTGTTCAAATAAAACTAAGAGGATAATATAATTTGCTACTTCAAAATTATGTTATACATGTATATGTTCTAAACATTAGTCTGTTAATTGGTTTAGAACTTAAACTGGCTTAACCCCATCACATTTTGAACCTGTACCAAGTCAGGCTACTTGGACCATTTGTTGTTCAATGCTGTTTGTACATCTACATGTGGATAATGATCCTGAGTTTGTGTTGCTCAGTCTTTAGTTTGCTATTTTGTATATAGTATTGTTTGTCTTTGGTCATTTTTTACATTTTTTTGCCATGGCATTTTCAGTTTGTTTTTGACTTATGAAATTGATTATCCATTTGGTATCTTTTCCACCTCTCTTCTATTTTATTGGAGGAGTCAAGTGTTCGTCGTTGTTGTGTTTTGTAGTACTGTTTAATATTTTTTTTTGTAATTCCTGTTGTCCTCGTTACTTATTATAAAACTAGATGTGTCGGAATGACACAAATTGCCCTGCTCACAAAAAAAGCTTGAAGCCATTTTTAGGAGTTGAAATTTGAGAATGAAAGTCCTTATAACTGTTATTTTCATGAAATTTTCAAAGTCCAAAAGCCCATAATTTCAACATAAATCAGTGGAGAGGAACCAGATGTAAACTCAATCTGCAACTCATCATAGTAGACTCACATAAAAAAATCAGCTCAATATGTGAAGGTGTTTAGAAAAAAAGTCAGTATACAGTGCAGTCCTGTGTATCCGTGCACCTAAGACTTTTGGCTTTACTTTGGTAATCTCATAAAACCAGTAATTGGATAATATTCTGTGAACAAATTCATGATATACTTTAATTTCATGAAATTTTCTTCATATATGGTTTCACCGTTAAGATTTTATGTAATGAGCATCCAAAATTAGGGAAACCCCTGTTTTTACAGTTCTTCAAATATCCGGTGATTTTGCACATGCCTTCTAAAAATGGCTAATTTTGAATACAGGAAAGATTTTATACTACGAAATATAGTTCAGTTTGAACCAAACAGACTGCCAAGGATGTGGAGCAAAATTTATTTCATTTTGATAAAACTTGACTTAAAAATGAATTCAATTTTATCTGATGATGTAATTTTTTTTATTGAAAATGACTTAATATGGTCAATCATGGGATTGCAATTATAAATTTATGCTTGAACTTATCAATTTTTATCTTTCTTGTCCCTTTGAAAGACTAAAACAATTACAAGAATGATTCTGTTTGTGTTACATTGCCAATATGATGAAATCAGGTAATGTGCGATATCACAGGCCACGTGGACACAGGGGATTCCACTGTAACTGTTATTTTCACAAAATTTTCAAAGTCCAAAGCCTGTTGTTTTAACAAAAATCAGCAGAGCAAAACCAAACACAAACTTGATCTGTAACTCATTATAGTAGACTCACATACTAAAAATCAGCTCAATATGTGAAGATGTTAAGAAAAAAAGTATGTATAACTGCTATTTTCATGAAATTTTCAAAGTCCAAAGCCTGTAAATTCAGCAAAATTCAGCAGAGTGGAACTAAAACTTGATCTGTAAGTAACAGTAACTCATCATAGTAGACTTACATACTAAAAATCAGCTCAATATGTGAAGACGTTAAGAAAAAAAGTATGTATAACTGCTATTTTCATGAAATTTTCAAAGTCCAAAGCCTGTAAATTCAGCAAAATTCAGCAGAGTGGAACTAAAACTTGATCTGTAAGTAACAGTAACTCATCATAGTAGACTTACATACTAAAAATCAGCTCAATATGTGAAGACGTTAAGAAAAAAAGTATGTATAACTGCTATTTTCATGAAATTTTCAAAGTCCAAAGCCTGTAAATTCGGCAAAATTCAGCAGAGTGGAACTAAAACTTGATCTGTAAGTAACAGTAACTCATCATAGTAGACTTACATACTAAAAATTAGCTCAATATGTGAAGGCTTTTAGAAAATAAACTGTTATCACAGAGAATTGTCTCGCCTTTTTGTAATTTTGATAATGCAAATGTTGAAATTAAAATAGCAATACTTTAACATGTAAGTTATGCAAATATTCAAAGTCGATGAACCATGACTGAAGGTACATGGCTAAACAATCCCCATGGAATGAGATGTGCCAATGCTAATACAACTGCATACCAAATACCATTGACTTATTATAAGTCGTTCCCTTTAAACAAACCTAAACACAAACATTAACTTGTAAACTATGTAAAAGTTTCAAAGTCAATGAACCATGATCAGGGTGGGGCTATATAATCTCCATGGAAACGATACTTGCAAATGCCAATACATTTGCATACCAAATATCATTGACTTAACATTAGCAGTTCATCTTAAACTGATCTAATCACAAACTAATACATGTAAACTAAGCAAAAGTTTCAAAGTCAATAGATCATGACTAAGGGGGCAGAGCCAAATATTCTCCATGGAAATGAGATGTGCTAATGCTTATACAACTGAACACCAATTAACATTGGCCTACCACTAATGGTTCCCCTTGAACTGACCTAATCACAAATTAATACATGTTAACTTAGCAAAATTTTCAAAGTCTATAGACCATGACTAAGGGGGCGGAGCCAAATAATCTCCATGGAAATGAGATATGCCAATGCTTATACAACTGCATACCAAATATCATTGACCTACCACTAGTGGTTCACCATGAACTAGACCTAATCACAAACTAATACATTGTTGACGCCGCCGCCGCCGCAGCCGCCGCCGAAAACAGCATACCTATGTCTCGCTTTTTGACTCCGTCAAGGCGAGACAAAAACTGTATAACTGTTCGTTGCAGAATGACGGATAAGGGTAAAATTATATGGCCTAGACAACGTTGTTGCTGGGCTATAAAAAAATTCAAACAGAATTTCATGTTTGTCTGTTTAATATGACAACTTACCTGGACATGAATATGTTTGCTTTTCCTCAAACTTATGTTTTTCTCCTGGTTTCAACTGTATCTACACAATGATTTAAGGAAGTAAATGGTCTATATGTTCATAATAACTTTTCTTTTTTGTTTACAAAAATGGTTGAGTAAAAAATTTACATCTTCCTCTGTTTATCACAAAAGTTTATCTAAATGTCTCCTGAATACAGACATTGGGTGTGTTGATTGATGCTTAATGTCCAGTGGCAAATATTACATACATATTCAGGATGATAACATATTGACGTGATATGATTATGCAGCATGCCTTTGAAAATGTTCAGGGCATGAATTAAAGTTCTACCATAGTTGTTATAGGCAGGAATATTAAAGTAGATGTAGATCAACTCCCTAGACGACTCACGCCACTGTATTTAATTACAGCCTTTCTGGCCACTGATTTGCTGTATTACAAACCTCAATCACACAGAAATACTTAACAATGATTACTGCTCATGAGCAAATAAAAGAGTTTATCTAAAATGTCATAAATAATTTTTCATATTACTTAAGTTACCAATTTCAATGTTTTTTTTTTTACATATACAGTAAGATGAAGGTATAATACTAGTTTGTGTAAACAAAGGATACAATAGGCATCAGATCATACAGTATCTTTGGTTCAGATTCCACTATTTTCCTCTTTGTCCTACACCAGCGAGCTCCTTCCATGAAAAGCCCTCTGATATAAGCACCATTTGTCTATGGAACAAAAATGTCATGGATCATTATTTTAAGGTAATATATCAATGAATAATACATAGTATAAATAGCACAACTTCAATAGCTTGTTCAAATTCCTTTAAAAAAACCTTCAATGAGTTTTATCAGACTATGCATTTATCATCATGACATGCCACAAATGCTCCCTGAACCATAAGAGAATAGCAACTATAACTACAAGCTTCCCTTTTAGCAAATGAATGATATTATCAAGAAACATCTAATTTTTCTATTTTGAGACAATTCAAAGGGCATATGATTTCTGGAATGTTAATGTTAACAGTTAAAAATGATTTTGACCAGAATTTCATTGTTGTTAGAAATAATGCAAAGTTATCCATTTCTAAGGCAAAGCTAACATTTTTCATTTTGAAACTGTTTTTTTTGCCCATTTGAGACAATTCTAGGAAAACAACTATGAAATGGTATTAGTAGCAACAGTGAAAATCAAATTTGACTTGCATTTTATGCAAGTAAAAATGTTGCATTATCAAAATTGTTATAAGAACTAAAATATCACAAAGCAAGTCTTTGTGATATGTTTATATAGTAAACTCAACCCTTCTTTGGGCCACAACAGAAATAAGGCTTAGAACTTCAAGCACATTTTAATAACTTGCTGCTTATGAGAATTGCAGACAAGACTTAGTGCAGGGGCCATGAAGAAGAAGACATCAGAACTAAGCACAAACAATTAGTTTGTTAGTTCTGTAAATTCTGTAAAATATTTATTTAGGACAGTAGAAGTGTTTCATCACCAGAACCTCATGTTCAGACACCCTTTTCTTCCTGTGTGATCAATATAATTATATATCTAAAACGAGTGCTAAGTGTGATCATTTACAATTGACCTTCAAACTGGATCCTTTTCCTTTTGCATGAACACATTATACATGTACTATATTATATATCACAAAAAATATACTATATCATCTATCCAGAGACCAATCACAAAATTATACTATATTTAACTATCCAGAGACCAATAACATATACATCACATTCAGATATTACTGTTTTAATTTCATCTGACTGGGTGTAGCTAATATTGCTATATAATTAAGGAATCTGAGTAAAACAGAGATATTTTATCATTTTCTAATCATGAGATTAAATTTTCCATTAAAATATATAATGTATTGAAAGCAAAGATTTACAGATTACTTTTCTAAATACAATTTCTATCAGAAATTTGTAACAGGTTTTTAAAAATTAAACCCCTTTCTGGATCAGATGAAATTAATTGATTTAATACATTTTTTTTTATGTAACAGTCATCTATTATCCTTTTGATCCATAATTATAAAATAGTTCAGTCATTAAAGTAAAATTGACACACAGTTTGGATTACACCACAAGGGATTTTATTATTCCATTATCAATAGTGGCAGAGAAGATTTCAAAAAGGGAAGTGGACCTTTTTTTTATACCCCCTCCAAAATAAAGTCTTTTTATTAATCAACAATATCTGCCTTTACATAAGGGGAATATGCCCCCTGTAAATCTGCCACTATTTAACTCTAAAAAAAAAGTGGTATAAATCCATTTTTAGGACTGTTACATTATTGTGCTGACTCATTTCTACAACATGAATAGTAAAGTTATACCAAAGTAGGCAAAATCTGCAATAAAATATTAGGTGTTTTAAAAAAAGTTCTCTGAAATAAGCATTACAGCAGTTGTATCAACCCAGTGCTAGTAAAAGCTGAAGAACTTTTTTTTTTAGTTTAATGGGAAATTCCAACTGTAAAAAGACAAATATTGCTTAGATGACACTTCTCACCATAGAAAACTTCCAGACCAATTATCAAACCATTCCTTAGTACAGAAGCTGAGTTCTATATAACAAAAGTTAGGGATAAATTAACAGACATGGTATTTGCAGTATACCACTGATAGTGGGGGTATAATAATAATGCAAATGAATATAATTATGAAACTTTATATCAAATAATGAAAGCCGGTTATGATTAGGATGGCAAAATTTAGACAGACATGTATACCTTATGATACTGTTAATGCGACATTTGATGTTTTACTTATAATAACTGGACGTTGTGACATGTATTAAAAAACAAAAACAAATAAAGTTAACCACAGGGGAAAAAAATCAGGTCAAAGTTAAGTGGTTCCTATCAGATATTCAAGTAAACCTTTAACTGATTCAATAAAGGGTGTAGAAATTCTGAGAAACTAGCCTTATCATGGTACTTTAAACAAAGCCACTTCAGCCATGAAAATGAAGTCAAGTAAACATTACAAAAGATTAAGATCATAAGGCAACACATACAAAATATGGATTGTCTAGCTTATGTACCATCTTATATTAAAGCTTTGTTCAAATTATAAACATAGTCATCAATGCCACTTGTATATCAAAACCTATTTTTTTCAGTACAGAAGTTTCTCAATTATAAGACCACCTTTTTGAATGTAAACAGTCAATGCAAGCGAAAATTTGTTCAGATTAGGAGAAGGTGGCTGTCTCAGGGAGGGTCTGTTTCATAGAGCTACTACTGTAGCAACATTTGTCACAAGATAGATAAAAAATAACAATAAAAATACAACAGTGTGTTTTCCTGAATAGTCACAACTTACAGGTTTAGTTGCCATGGAAGTTTCTGTTGTTGTTACTTCAAACTCATATCCTAAATGATCGATTGGAGTTTTGTATTTCCTGGCATAGTTCTGCAGTACACCTGTCAGGAAGGACTGCGTGAAATAAAATCCAGAAATCCAGAAAACTGGTGGGGTACCACTGTATATCCAGTCCTGAAATATACATTTTATTCCATAAATATATAGCCCACTCATTCAATAATTTAAAAGGATTGCTGTTCCTAGTAATAGCTGGTTTTTATAAAATTAGTACAGTGGTTCTAAAGGAAATTAAGTAAGTTCAATAGAATTCTTTTATCAGACTGTTACTAGTAAAATAAGTTAAAATAACCCTTTCAAATTATAAACATGTTTTCATCAACATTTTGCAATCTTTCAAACAACAATTTCAATAACAGTAAAATGTACAGTCTGCAAGTATTTCCCCATACTAAAATAATACTCTGATCAATTCAAAATAAGTGACAAATCCATTTACAAATTCTGAAGCCTTTATAACATATTCATATACTGTAAACCACCTTATTTTTGTGGATGCCTTTTTCTCGTTTATCCATTTCCAGCTGAATTGCAGCGATTTCAAACTTTTTTTTTAAGTTTGTTGTTGTAGATCCAACGTTGACAATGACAATTCATATTTACATTGTTTTTTTTTCCATTTGCAAAAGTTGTGTAAATAAATTACTTGTGATAATTAGTTGGTTTACAGTATTAATAATGTTACATTACCTTAAAAAACTGTAATCTGGCTATAAGATCTGTAATATATGACCCCAGTGGCTTCAGAGAGGGATATGATTTAGAAGCCCAGACAGATGGCACCTAAAACAAAATTTACTTGCAGTTTAAATTTCACATGCATAAAATACAAATACCAAACATTTTTTTAAATTCATCATTTACATCATCAAAGCAGTGTCAGTAGTACCTTTTTTTTTCTTTTTTTGAGAAGTCTAGTTAAAAAATAATTTACACTAAACATTTAATATTCTTTAACATAACAGAGGAAAACATTCCAGGTCACAGTTTAAAATTCGTCTCCAAAATAATTCATTGGGGAATAGTAAAGCATTGGATTCAGTGAGAGTAAAGTCCTTAAAAGCAATTTTTCTATTCTCCAAGTGTAATCAAAAGGGTTTTCATATTTTTATCTGATTGTGTAACAAGTGAGTTTTAAACTTTGAAATTATCATCTCATTTTTTACATCTGGAAAACTTTTTATTTATTAGCATAATGCAAGGTAAAAACCGATTTTATATATTTATACAAAAACTGATCTATTTTAAGGTAGTACTCAGCCATCTTGGATACAAAATGACAGCAAATGATCGGTCCATATTTTTAATAGTCAGCAAATTTAGATGTAGGAATAAGGGAAGACCATTTAGGACCTTCCAAAAATATAATTTTAATTTATAATCACGAATTGTATAATTCTTTATCACAGATCAAATTTGTGATAGCAAATTTGTGGAATTCGTTAATACAGATTTTGTAATTTCCTAATTACGAATTAAATTCCCTGACCTTTCCTACCATCATGCTATCAAACACATCCTCAAGGTCAGCTGACAAAGAGATTAAACTTACCTTTCCTACCATCATGCTATCAAACACATCCTCAAGGTCAGCTGGCATAGAGATTAAACTTACCTTTCCCACCATCATGCTATCAAATATGTCCTCAAGGTCAGCTGACATAGAGATTAAACTTACCTTTCCTACCATCATGCTATCAAATACGTCCTCAAGGTCAGCTGACATAGAGATTAAATTTACCTTTCCTACCATCATGCTATCAAATACGTCCTCAAGGTCAGCTGACATAGAGATTAAACTTACCTTTCCTACCATCATGCTATCAAATACATCCTCAAGATCAGCTGACATTACAACCAATCCTTTTATTGCTTTCTTAATATCCTGCAGTGAAGTTCTGACCACTTGTATCAATCTGTTAAATCTAATCAGTTCCTGTAGCAGTACAGTGTTCATGGACTCGTTGTATCTCACTGGGTAACGGTTCTGGGTGGAAAATTATAAATAACATTTTAAGTCCCCTTTTATATTAACCCTCTGTAGTTGATAAACACACATATTCAGCATTATTATTAACTACTCACATGTCAGAAGATGAGTAATAATTTGTGATGATTAAACCTCTCCTAAAAATGTCATTAAATCTTTTAATATCAGGGCATTTTTAGTAAAAAAAAAAACATCTGGAAGATAGGAACATGTAAGTGGTTAATCATTATCTTAATGTTTTTGTCATTTTGGGAATTTGGTGTGAATGGCAGATGTTTGGTCATCTCTGTTAAATTCATTTTTCATCTTTCACTGATTTTAGACAATTTAGAGCTTGACATAGTAAAAGTATAAACACTTGTCAACTGTTGAAGATTGTAAGCTCAGATCTCTCAACGTCTTCTTGATTTTGTTGTTAGGTTACCATTCCATTGACAGATACCTCTCATCACATTTATTCACAAGTGTTCGTCATATGATGGCACTGTCCTTGGTTCAGTCACGAAAAAAATAACCCTTCAAAACTTTTGTGTTAGCCAATCAAAATCACAGGAAATTATATTTTATTAATTACTGTTACACCTTTTTATTATTACCTGCACTTCATCCAAGTTAAAATCTGGTGGAATTTTTGACAAAATATCTGACGCCAATTCTTCAATAATTTCTTGAGATGACTTCCCACCACCTGCAGACTGTTAAAATGAAAGAAACATTTATTCAATTACTGCACTAGAAAACATTACAAATCTGTATGCTACCATAGCCTGAAAAAATATATACAATATTGTTTATAAATATGTTTAATTATATAAATGTGGTTTGGTGAGAAAATGAGAACAAAGATCTTAGCCTAAACTGAATATGCAATATTTTAAACAACTTTTCCAATCTAAAGTGTTGATATCAGGATTTTTCTTTTCCTAATATTTTGTAACAAAAAGAAAATTATGAATCAATAAATTGTACAGGTAACTAAAATCATAACATTACTTTTCAAATTTTAGCAATTTATACTGGTTCAATTACAAACCAAATCTACTTTTATTTTATGTTATGCAATTCTTTTTGTTCTCATTCAGGAACAGCAATGAAGCAAATAGTGTGAGAGTTGTGACAAAAAAATGCTTTTATGCAAATCTTTTTTTTAAATATTCACATAGATATATAATACATATATGTAATCCTTTAACATAATTACACAAATAACTAATATAGTACAGGCTATTTCATATAATATACAGGTGACATATAAATTAATACATATACATGCTAGATTTCTAAAATAACATTTTCTATAAATAACCTCATGGAATAAAATTTTGAAATTCCCTATTAAAAAAAATTCAAAGTATCAAAAATATATAAAGATTTCATCTCAATCAAGTGCACCTAAAATGAGGTAAAACTATTTTTAGGATAAGAATGGATTTAAAAATATCAGTGTTTCTGTTTGTACAAGGACTGTCCTGTCAGTTTACATGTTAAAGAAAACGGGTTAACTGATTGTGTTGGTACACATGAATGCCCACATCAAGCATTATATAGGAAGTTCTTCTAGGGTCAAGTTAAAAGTAAGGAAATATAAATGAAATTAACCTTTATGTAACAACACTGGAAAAATCGGCTTACAGACCTGCCAACTATCCTGATTTATGGGGATATCCCCCATGAGAGGTGTTGACCTGAATTTTGAAATTCTTTATAATAAACTGAACACCTCAAAACAGGCATACAAATGATTTAATAGGGTATTTAAGCACATATATACTCATCCAAACAATATAGAAGTAGATTAAAAACACTTATGACAGTATAAGAGGAGCATGAGGTCCTCTTGCTCTTAAAATCCCCCATGGAGATTTTGAATAGTTGAAAAAGTTTCAATTAAATTTTGAAAGAATGGAATGATTGTCAAGACTGTCTTGAGACCATTAAAAGTTACCAAAATCATGATAATTTACAGCAACTCATAACTGAAAACTTCAGTTAATTCAAATTCAATCTCTCATAATAAAGTCAGTCAACCATGAATTTTAGTATCAATATTGACTTATGTGACCACTGGTACATCAAAAAAAAGGTTAACACCATATAGCTTATATAAGACTGATATATATATCTCTCCCCAGTAATCCATGTACCAAATATTGAAAACTTATTACTAGCAAATTTGTTCCTTGGGTTAACCTATGAAATAGATGAACGATGGCACCTCAAACATACAAGCACTTCCCAAAAACAACGATTTACAACAATTGCCACTTTATTTTTATTTATTGGTTTTCTTCTGATCCAAACATGTTAGCAGGACAGTCCCTGTTGATGTGGGTTAAGAGTATTATTTTCAAACTTGTACACAACATTAATGAAAGGAAACAAAATGGATTTAGACAGGATTTTTCACCCACAGTCTTACTTTATCACCATGTTCATCTTCAAAATCCTGAAATTGTCAAGTGTTTTACTAAACTAATTCAGCTGACAGATACTCAAATATATTATTGAATATGAGTAGACAATTCAAATGTCTAAAATAAATCTGTGTATTACTAAAACTGACAAATAAAATGATTACTACTGAAACAAAAATAGTTATAACTGTGAAAAGAAGTCATCTATAGTGTAATACAATGCATACTGAATAAATATCAATAAAGTGTAATGTAGCTTAGAAATATTTAAGTGCCAAGTGAACATAATATCACTAAGAATCCAATCTGTAAAATTAGGATTTGGTGATAAATTCATACAAATACATGCATATAAATCTCTACATTTCATGCAATTATTATAGATATATTTTCCCTTCTATGTAAGATTAAAGATCATTTAGGATCTAGAGTTGTAATCAAAGAGAGCAATCAAGTAATAAATGAACAATGTTTTCAGCTACGGTGTCCCTACTCACCTTCACTATCTACAGAAACATAAACAGCAAATTCATTAATTAATATTTTGTCATTGATAGTTTTAGCCAACAGCTACTTGATTTTTCCTTTTTGACTTATTTCAACCACAATAAAATGTTATAACAAATTTTCTTTTCTTTTCAAAACAGTCATAATCAGGCTGTTGTTTTTTCTGTTGACTTGAGTCACATTTTGTTATTATTGGGCCTTACAGTATGGATTATGCTCATTGTTGAAGGCTGTATGGTGATCTGAAATACTTTACAACTTTGCCCTTTGGTGGATAGTTGTTTCATTGGCAATCATACACATTTCCCTAATTTTACAAAAGTAATAAGCAGCCAGGCAATTTGTCATGTTATTCATCAAATTTCTCAGAATAGTTTCCCGTTAACATTTTATTCATCTCACTACTTTCAGGAATAAGATTAGAGTGGTTTCTGGTTTCCTCCATCTTAGGTGAACCAAATCTCCAGTTTATTCAGGACTTAATTTAGAAGGTTTCTGGTATCTGCTTAGTAAGTGAGGCTAGTGGCTGGTTTGTTCAGGACTAAGTTAAAAGTGGTTTTTGGTTTCCTCTTTCAAAGATATGTCAAGTACTGTACCAACTTATTCAGGACTTAGTTTAGAGAGGGTTCTTGCTTCCTCTTACTACGATAAGGCAAGTGTCTGATTTATTCAGGTTAACAATACCAGTAAACTGATTTCTAATTTCTCAAGCTTAGACTTTGGTCATTGTAAATTAGAAAGCTAAATATACCAGTAATACCGACCATTAAATGTTTAGCCACTTTGTATGTTCTGTAATATCGGACACTGGATGTTAAGAAACCTGCACATAATATTGGTTATTTGACAGTTATCTAGCACTAGGTAACCATATTAAATGAAGCTTAAAAATTTGAAAGCAAAACTTCAAGGATGCAATCCAGTCACACTTAGTATAAATGTAATAAAGTGGATGAAATAGATTTGTAATGATGAAAAATCTTGAAAAAAGATTCCCAGATTCTCTTTCCAAACCATAAAAAAGCACTGTATAGAAGCAATAAAACTGCAAATAAAACAACTCAAAAAGGTAAAAATAGAAATAAAGAAATGGAGTCATCATAAAGGACAGTTAATTCCCTTTATTTAATTCAAGTTTTCATTTAAATTATCAATGAATGTCATTGTGACCTAATTTAGTGTGGACCTTTATCACTAAACATGATGTGTCAACTGACAAAAACCCCTAAGGGTTGAATGGGGTATAGAAATTAAGTCACCTGTACCTCACCAATCCAGCAGTAAAACCCATGCCCATGCTTAAGAGAGCCTTCTGTTTGACTGTCTTGGATAGGCAAAAACCCAGCCAAAAACTTAACCAAAGTAATTTATGACTAGAGTAAAGATCAATGTCACCTGATTTTTGCGGGGACCTTTTGTCACAAATATGATGTATGAATTGACAAAAGATCACCCCTCTATGAATATTTAATTGCATAGATATGAACCTTAATATAAAACTTAATACAAAATCAATTCACAAATAAAATGAATGTCATTGTCATTTTTTTTTAGTGTGAACCTTTGTCACTATATAGGATGGATCATGGACAAAACATGATTCCTCTGTGAGTTGTAGTTGTTTATATCTGGACCTTAGTACAGAACTTAACCAAAGTCATTCAAGCATAAAATCAAAGTTAGGTTCACCTAATTTAAGTATGGGCCTTCATCACTTAACATTATACATCAAATAAGAAAACATTATTTCTTTATGATTTGTAGTCGCTTTGATCTTAATTTAATACAAACCTTATTAGAAGCTATTCATGTATAAAATAAAGGTCAAGCTCACCTAATTTCAGTGTGGTTTTATGTTAATAAACATGATGCATCACTTGAATCACAGTGATAGTTTTTTGGGCAAAAAGATAAACAAAAGTTCATAAGCAAATAAAAATAAAAGTGAAGTAAAAAACCAATCAATACAGAAATTAGTACCGGGTCCTAGTCACACAAAAATCACACAAACACATACCATGCATGCAATATAAGGGTAAAAAAAACAAAAACAAATAAGTTTAAGGTAAACGATTTACAAGTAATGAAGTAAATAAAATGTTTGAAACAAAAGATTGAACAAAATGATAAACATAGAACAGAAAGAAAGTTCCTCTGTCTTTAACGGTAAAATCAAAAAGTTTAAACAGAAGAAATCTGACAGCGGAATCACCCATATTTTTCTTTTCTAATTTTTTGGCTTAAGAAAATGAGTATAGAACTTATTCTCTTTTTTCAAAAAATTGATTAAACTTTCCACAAATCTTATCATTCTAACAAATCTTTATTCAATTCCCTGTACATTTTTTTCATTTTCTGTGGATCAAATGCTACTGTTAAACTAAGTGATGCTTAACAGTAATATGATACATATATATTATAACATGAAATTATAATTCATCTCATTTAATGCTTCATAATATCTTTTGATTTTTACAAAAATTTTTGTCTAGCAAGAAATACAACTACAAACTGTTTGTACATATATAACTTTTTATAAACATTTTAAATTGAAAATCAATAGACCACTTTTGAGTTATGTCCTTCACCGGAAAAATGTTTGTCAATTATGCGCGCCTTTATGACTTCATTTACCAGATAGGGGGGACCGCCTGTATCCATGCACTATTAAAGTTCATCAAGTGTCTTCGTGATCGTCATTATGCAGGATGAACTAGAAATAATGTTTGTTCTGTAGGTACTTAATCACAATTCCCTAATGACAGCAGTGCTGATTATCAATTTATAAGAATTTAATTTGCCTAATAATTCGTGCAATATAGCATCATATTTTTTCAGCCTCTCGCTCAACATGGGAAGGAAGTGACGATCCCCGAATGGTGTTCACTAAAATCAAAGTTTTTGACGGAAATGCAAAATACCATAATACGTCCCGTAAACGGGCGTATAAAAACTCGAAATTGGTCTATTGAGACTACGCTAAAATGTCTCGCCTGCCAACAGCAATATTTGAATGCCTCTATAAAAGTTATAAAGGTCAATTGTTGACTTGGTTAATGCAAAAAGACACCCTCCTATAGATGCTTATGAAATACTTAAAGTACCAATGCTGTTTAAGAAATAGACATTTTAAAGACATTTACTTTACGATTGGAATACTGTAAATTCAGAAATGTTTGCGATGTTTTTTATTAATGAGAAAATGGCAACAAGATACCTCTGGTGTGGCAGTAATAAACACTCACATTTTAATATTTGATAGTATTATTTGTATGCATCATTTCCTGAAATTGCAATAATCAATCTGGGATTTGTATTGATTGCACAACAATAATAATTTCTGAATTTACAGTATCTAACTGAGTTCAAGGCAATATTGTTTATGTCATACTAATATCTCACCAGTAATTTATGTACCAAATATTACATGTACAGATCCTTCATGTATGGTTTATACCAAAAAGCAGATATCATCCAAAAATTTAACCTAGGTGAACAATTAATGACCTATAGTTGCTCAATTCTATGTCATTTGGTCTCTGGTGGAGAGTTTTCTCATTGGCAATTATACCACATCTTCTAATTTTTATAGAGAATGAAAATGAGATTAACAGTCACATCATTAGTTATTGCTTCTACATACATAATCTGTTTGACAAGATATGCAATAAAAGCATACTTATTTTTTTTTATGCTTGTGGAAAAGTAACATCTTTGTCTCATCTCACACTTAAGACTAATCATTTATTAGAAGGGATGAAAAGCATGTTCAAATTGGTTTTGGTTTCAGCAGATTTCGAATATTATTTCTAGCAATCAAGAATACAAGTTAAGTTCTATATATGGAAAACTTATATTTTTATACAAATAAATACGAGTACAACATTTGGTACAATTACTGGTATATTGCCTCACCTGACGTGGTAATGTAAGAAGAATTCCTTCAAACAACTGCTGAGTTTCTTGTTGGTCTTTAGATATATCTGCATTTTCATGTAAGCCAAACACCTGAAATAATGTATAACTAGAGGCTCTAAAGATCCTGTGTCGCTAACATAGGTCTATGTGCATATTTAAAAAAGGACACTCTCCAACATTGTAGACGAGAATAGAATTCAAGTTTTGTTGATCTTGTATTGCAGATCATTTAATCTGTTTAGTTTCTCTTTATCTTCTTTTAGTTTTTGTTCAAGACACAAAAGAAGGGAAAAAAATCCTCATTTAAGGGCAATCACTCCTAAAAAGAGTGACAGCCTACTAACTATTTTGGCAAAATTTGACTTGTTAGTAGATCTTGACTTGCTGATCATTTTTGTGATTTAAAGTGTCTATTAATCTTTTATAATTTTTATCATATAAGGCAAAACACAAAAAAAATGGTGAAAATCATCATTAAAGGGCAATAACTCCAATAAGGATTTCCTATATATTGTCTTAAATGTAGATCTTGTCTTGCTTATCATTTTTGCTAATCTAAGTATCTATCACTCTATAATAATATTTAAGATAGAAGGCAAAAACGCAAAAAATTGGTAAAAATCATCATCAAAGGGCAATAACTCTAATAAGGAGTCAACTGACGATTTCCATCATGTACTTATTTGTAGAACTTGTCTTGCTGATCATTTTTGCAGTTTAAAGTTTCTCTCTATCTATAATAGTTTTCAAGATAATAGGCAAAAGTGAAAAAAAAGGTAAAACTTGTCATTTAAGGGCAATAACTCCTATAGGAAGTCGTCTGACAGCTTTGACGTATATGGACAATTGGTAGAGCTCAACATTCTGAACATTTCTGCTCCCCATCAGATATTCTCTATTTTTAATGGTTTTCAAAATAATAGACAAAACTTGCATTATACCCCAATGTTCTATTTTTAGCAATGTTGGCCATCTTGGTTAGCAGACAGGGTCATCAGACACATTTTTTAAACTAGTTACCCAAATAATAATTGTGGCTAAGTTAGGTTAAATTTGGCCCAGTTGTTTCAGAGAAGAAAATTTTTGTAAAAGTTAACAGACGACGATGGACAACGGACACCAAGTGATGAGAAAGCTCACTTGGCCCTTTAGGCCAGGTGAGCTAAAAATGTAATCAATCATTACATTTCTTGCAAATTAAGCTCTTAAAGGGAAAATTCGCAAAAAAATGAAAAATTCATATTCTGTTCATTATGTATAAAAAAGCACAAATTCATAGATATTAAAGTTTTATTCTGCAAGTTAAGAGATCACCATCGATTTTAAATTTAGAGTATCAATTCTCCGCATGCGGCCATTTTGACATCCTCCCCGAATATTGACCACGATATTTCTATAAACCACAAAGGACCAAAACAAGCAGTAACCTAACGTAGCCGTAATTGAGTGTCGATATCTTGTCAAGCGTACGGTTGTTTTATCCGACAAGGAAAGCATAAACAGTTTCCCGGGTCACAAAAAAGATTATGAAAGACATGGTTGTGCAACCTTTCCTAACTAACTTGATACGGAAAATGTAATTTTATATATATTATTTTTTAAATAACTAGTACTAATAGTATGGTCTGTCGTTTTGAAACTGTTTTGTTTACGAAGTATTTAAAACAAGAAATTGAAATTAGTTAAAAAGTCAAAGTTATAAATAAGTGTTCCGTGTAAAATTGTTTTTGAAAATCTAGTTTGTTCATAATCGTTTTATGTAATAAACTTTTTAAAATAAATTCGGACCTTCCCTTATCTGATCACCAAAATGGCTAAAGGGATTGTTCACAGAGGTATTGTGAGGTGACACGTACAGGTATTCAAGCGATTTCCTGTCGGGCTTTTAAACTGTTATTACACAATTACATAAAACAAGTTCGTGCATCACTTCTTTTCTGGGGGTATTGATCAGTGTACACGGCCGATAACATGTAACTTCCATTTTGAATCTATCAGGTGTAATATACAACTTTGTATAGCGTATCCGATAGTGATATACTACTAGTCATTGCTAAACTCATACGCTTGTTTATAAATAACATTTTTGGTGTAAAGAATGATATTTATGAAAATTTAAATAATTAAAAAAAAAAAAGATTTGATGAAATAAAAATCTATTTACACATTTTCCAAGGGTAAATTGGGGAAAATGTAAGTATATACTCGTTGTCAATAATTATGGACATTTTGAAACATACAAATATTGATTTAACAAAATGTGCGGCACTTATCGATCATTGGTTTATACGCCTAGATGGAAGGTTTAATACGGAACTATGGATAGTCGCAATATAGAACTAATATCATACAAGTATATTGAATATACGAGAGAAACATCCAGAACCAATCTGATTTAAATACAGGTCGATATCTAACTTGCTTTGGTTCATCGAAGCTATAGACATAGTAAAATCACAGATTTATATTTCAATAAGATTATTTAGAACAGTTTAAGAAATTCGTCATCATCACATTTTCCTGGTCCGACATGCATGTTATATATATATATGCCACTGGACGTGCACTAATGATACCCAAAAGCCTATTTGAAGAAATAAAGAAACTTCACTCCGGATAGACTGATGGTAGTTGTATTAACGTCTGGTCAGCTAGAGGGTTGATTTATTTATTTAGTTAGCTTGTAGGGGATTTAACCACTCTTAATATTGCACTTATGCATTAGATATTGAATGACAGTACCGGTAATTACTATATATATATAAAAATATTAATTTTCGCGAACCATTTAGGTCACGAAAATTCCATTTTTTGCCATCAGTAAGGAGAGTTGTACAAATAATGTGAATACACAGAACCCCGATCCAATTCATCTTTTGCTAAAAATATTTATCATTTTCTGTTTTATATCTCCTAACATCATTCCATTTTTCTCTAATTTCGATTAAAATATGCCAAAACCTGCAGTAAAAATAGATGTATGCCCCAAATAAACATTCCCCGATTGGTTGAACTACTATGGCGTCGATGTAAAGCAACGCAAGCCTCGATGTAAAGCACACGCTTCCCAAGAGTAAGGAGAGTTGTACAAATAATGTGAATTCACAGACCCCCGATCCAATATCTTTTGCTAAAAGTGTTCATCATTTTCTGTTTTGTATCTACCAACAACATTTCATTTTTCTATAATCCCGATTTAATATAAGAGAAAATATAAATACGAAAAGTCGCATATCTGATAGAAAAGGACTCACCATGAACTATAGGATTGTACGTACGATTGTCATTCTAAATCACATAACGGACAGTCATTTAAATGCATGCATGTACGCTGTGATAAAAAGGGGTGTCGCAGTTGCAAAGTATTCATCATAAATCTATTTCAAGGTTATTATTTCCTGTTATTTTTATAAGTTAACGCAGAGACATGTATACACTAGATCTCTATTTAACGACAAGCAACTATATAAATATCTGAATCTGATGTGACTTACCGTTCATCTCTTTCTTTTTTCTCATTTTATTTTTATTTTTGCAGGAATATACACATTGTAAGATATACTGTTCCTCGATATGGGGGGTGGGAGGGGACATTTCCGGGTATAACAGAGCTACTTGTATATTACCTGAATGTGGTTAGGTGACGTCCCATGAGGTCTTACGTATACATGTTCATATTTATAATGGTTTCTGATATAACAATTAGGTTTTATAACATTCACATTTCTGCATGTTCTGTATACCAAATTCGTATCTTTTTTTCAGACCGAATGAGGATGTGAATATTTTCCAGGATCAAATTCATTTCGGGATTTTTTTTTATTTCTTTGTATTAAATCTCAGAAATTTACAGAATATACTGCTTGTCCGCTTTATGAGTTTTTTTTGTCAGTTTAAACAGACGTAGATATGTCTCTGGTTTAGAGTGGGGTTATGAATGAATGATAAGTCTTACAAAGGTACAAGATATCAAGCACATTGAAAATTGATTTCGACGTTCTGTCTCCATTTAAAAAAGGAAAGTTGACGTTAGATTGATTCTGTTAATTTTTTTAAACATCGTTGGTCAAATAGCTTAAGAATTATATAAATACGTTGTGAGATTTATAATATTTTAATAAGGGCATTCCTGATTAGGTAAATGAAGATCGCTTTGGACGACAAAACTATATTTTTGTAACTGATAATTTTCTCTGCACATTTAAATATTCAAGGTTACCGATGATAATTTAAAATAGTACTGTTTTGATTTATACGCTCGTTTTCGTGGGCCATTTATAATATTTATATAATTATTTTATTAAAAGTGATTCAGAATTTCGATGTTACAACAAAATACTCACCTATTTATTTAAAAACTGAGCAAATGCAAAATGTTAAAAAAATATATATATAATTAAGGTATTTTGCCACCATATTCCTCCCTTAATAATTAAAAAAAATCTGTCTCATACCTGCAACGGTGAACCCTTGAGGACAAACACCACTCTAGTGAAGATCAAAGGATTAAAATTACATAATGCTAATCTTTTAATTACCGTGAATTTAACCACGCCTTTACCAGGTGGTGTCAGCATAATACACATGCATTGTATTTACACAGTACTAGACTGAAGCAATGATTTGTATAGTAAGACAAATCCTCGACTGAAGTAATAGGGGAGAATACAAACGTGAATTTCTATTATACTATCAGTTATATATGTTGTTAAAAATATCCGTCGAAAAAAAAATCATAAAAAAATTCTATTGTATGATTTGCTTTTATTACTATAATCATATCAGAAATCCTTAAAATATAAATCGTAAATTTTAATTTAAAAAAATGCACGGCTGATCACTTTTCTTTCTGAATTGTTAGTTGGTTAATAGCTACACCAAAAGTCGTTGATGCGCTTTAAATCGCGTTATTAGATGATTAACGAACAAGACTTTAAATGAGATTAATCCACTCCCGGCATGCAAAAAGACTTAAACTACGTCACATAAGTCAGGAAGTTTGAATAAATAGAATTAATAATTCCCAATTTTCTTCTTTACTAGTTTTCATATCCAGATAAAACTTGGTGAATATGTTTTTAATGGTATTATGAACATAATAAGATGATAAGTAAAACATCGCGAATTTTCCCTTTAACAACTGTCATCTAATAATATAACTGCTTTTATCATATTTATCTTATTCTTGTAAAAATAGACAGATAACTGTACATCAAATTTCTTTCACAAGTGTTAATTTAATTGTGCATGGAAAAAAAACGTTAACATTTCACATTAAGGAAAATTTCCTTATATAGTTATAGTTATAAAGATATTTTAAATAAGGGAGATAAGATTTTGTCACACTTGACCTATTGACACTATACAACAGTCAATTTTGAAATGTGCATTCAAAAACTTTCCCTTGTGACATCAGGATTTTACAGAAACATCTGTGTGTCTTTTTATAGCAGACAATAGCAATAAGGTGTATACTAATGTATACCTCTAGGTGAACAGTAGATAAAGTGAACTCTTACATACCTCAGGATGTGGCATTAGTGGTAATTTCCTGATGTACTCAATATAATTATTGTACGTTCCTTTAGGAGGAGCATAGTACAATCCACTTGTAGAAAACTTATATTCATCATCTGAAATAATCTCTTCACAGTAAAATATTTTCAGCAGACTAAGAATTAACCTTCTGTCAAGGTCATCTGTAACTCTGCCACCATAGTTACACTCTCCTGTTAGATATGTCAGGGCTTCCAATGGTGGTTCATCATAATCATTTACAAACATCTGCAAAGAATAAAATGAGAATTTCTAATTTTTTGCCCTTTGAAAATTCTTGAGAATTAGCTGTTAATTTTTCTTTTATTTCAGTATTAGAGTTGATGGAATGTCAACAGTAATATTGAAATAAAAGGAAAAAATTTTTTATGTGAAAAATGTCATATATAACTAGTTAGTAGGAAAGTCAATAAACATGTACACACATATTTTTTTCTTTAAATACTAAAAGAGAGGTTAAGGATGTTCACTCCTCTTGTTTTTAACTTTTCGTCAGATATTCGGAATCCTCTTGCTTTATCTATATATGTAGTGCCATTAAAAAAATTTACCGCTAACCCCTACTTTTCTTTTCATAATAAAAAGCCATATTTGAAAATCTTATAAGCTCCTTGTTATTTTTCCATAGTTTTTGAAAGAAAAAAGGTGCAAATGTTAAAGGTAATGAAAAATCTAGAGAGATTCATTTACCGCCAAATTTTCAATGGCTTATATCTCGAAAACAAGGACACAGACCTTTAATTTTTTCTGCTTTATTAGTTCCTTTTTTTATATACTATCAATTAATACTTTTAAACGGCTTGTTTTTTTTAAAACAGAATAGCGAACATCCTTAAGTCTTTTACATTGGTATATTTTGTCTGTCAATTTTCATCAACTGTGCTTGAACTGAGGTTCCAAATCCAACAAGAAAAGTTTAACAGAAAACATTTTGGATAATTCAGTTTAAGCCCTTTATGTTTTTATGCACTCAATTGTTTTATATTTTTTGGCTAATCCAATCTTTTGGTCTCAAGAGGCTTTGATAAAGCTATTCCATAAAAATGGGGGACAAAGAGGTATCATATTATATGTATTTCAATAATGTTCCACAGTAATGTGATGTAGCACAGATCTAACTCTTACATTCTAAAATAAATGTGGATTGTGTCCACATGTGGACACAGATGATGATGCCCCCGCTTGCATATCATATAGTTATAAAGGGACATAACTGAAGAACGGTAAAAGTGACGCTACCCAAATTTGAACTTGATCTGAGTTTTGTGGTAATAAGCAGAGTATTTAAGTCTCATAACATTTAGTTGAGGCAAACTTAAGTTAGAAACAGAAACTAAAAATTTTGCAATTTTTCCATTTATAAAGGGGCATTACTCTAGAACGGTTTGAGTGACGCCACCAAAATTCAAACTTGATCTGTATTTTGTGGTAATAAGCATTATTTATAAGTTTCATAACATTTGGTTGAGGCAAACTTAAGTCAGAGAACGGAAACTAAAAATTTAGCAATTTTTCCATTATAAAGGGGCATAACTCTAGAACCGTTTAAGTGACGCGACCCAAATTCAATCTTGATCTGTGTTTTGTGGTAATAAGCATTTTGTATAAGTTTCATAACATTTGGTTGAGGCAAACTTAAGTTACAGAACGGAAACTACAAATTTTGCAATTTTTCCATTTATAAAGGGGCATAACTCTAGAATGGCTAAAGTGATGCTACCAAAATTCAAACTTGATCTGTATTTAGTGATAATAAGCATTGTGTATAAGTTTCATAATATTTGGTTGAGGCAAACTTAAGTTAGAGAACGGAAACTAAAAAATTAGCAATTTTTCCATTATAAAGGGCATAACTCTAGAACCATTTAAGTGACGCGACCCAAATTCAAACTTGATCTGTGTTTTGTGGTAATAAGCATTTTGTATAAGTTTCATAACATTTAGCTAAAACTAAAGTTAGAGAACGGAAACCAACTTTGGGACGTACGTACAGACGGACAAGAGTAAAACTTAATGCCCCCTCCGTTACGGCGGGGGCATAAAAATCCTCAGTAAACAAAGTTTAATATTAACAAGAAGCAAATTTGTTTTTATAAATACCTCAAGTTGTCTGACAGATATTCTGAGATCAGATTCATTAAATTCATATGGTATATTCCAACCTAATGGACCAAACTTCCTCCTCTCTTGTACCAAGCCATGGAAAAAACATAATCCAAATAACAGCTTCTCAAAAATCTGAAAGGATATAATCTATATAGGTAAATTCAATTCATTAAATTGACAACTTTTAAAAATTCCTCATTTGCTTATCTGCCAAAATTATATAAAAAATAAAGTACCCCATTATCAAACAAGTAAAACCTCTACATTTAGAGTATTAAACTACATATGCAATAACATTTTAAAGACTAAAATATGTTAATAGGGATATGTGTGACATAATGCATCAACAGCAATGGTATTTCTGTCATTTCAGTTGACATGCAACATACTGCATCAACAGCAAATGCCGTTTGGTCATTTCAGTTGACAAGTAACACATGTAACATGTATCATAGTCTCAGTACAGTTGTTCAAAAGATAGTTTCAATGGTAGCTCTGTCATTTCAGTTGACAAGTAACATGTATAACAGTCTCAGTACAGTTGTTGAAAAGATTATTTCAAAGGTAGCTCTGTCATTTCAGTTGACAAGTAACATGTATAGCAGTCTCAGTGCAGTTGTTCAAAAGATTGTTTCAATGGTCGCTCTGTCATTTCAGTTGACAAGTAACATGTATAGCAGTCTCAGTGCAGTTGGTCAAAAGATTATTTCAATTAATGCTTGAATCTCGTTTATTAATGAATGAATCATCCAGGGGATCAAAAGTTTAAACCAATAGTTTCTGTTGTTCTTGTTCCTGTGTCGACATTGGGATTGAAGAGCTTTCAGCAATGTTTCAAGATGTACAGTACATCATCATAAACTGATACTTTTTCTGGTCATTTAGCCTTATAGTTCACAGAGTTCTAAGCACCTACATTTTTCTAATGTTATTTTGCTTTCAAAATACAAGATAAAGGAATATCCTTCGTTGACAAAGTTAAATGTAAAAATTGAACTGAGTTAACTTTTTAGTACTAAAGACAAATGACTGTCCATCTTAGTATATTGGTTGAAAAAGAAATGTTCTTTTATTGTGACAATTCATAATATTATTACTTTACTTACCACAGGTTTATTGCACAAATTAAAGAATTCTGGGTCAGAGATAGGATCATTGAGGTACGATCTGAGCAGGTTTGCTCGTAGACCTTTTGGTGGTTCATTGGTCATTTTGACCCCATTCTGTAGTACAGATACTGGGAAGACAGGTGAAGGATAACTGGTCAGCCACAGTCTAAATGATGGTTTGGTTTTTGCTGGATCTGTTATTATCTGAACACAGAAAAGTTTACTTTATTTTGTATTTTCTCCTGATGTTATTTAAATTATCCTATATTTTAAGGTATTACATTATAAATTATGCTTCATCACTCATTTTGCTCTAGAACTGAGTTGATACTACTGCTAATTACTATATAATTGAGGATACCATCTTCCAAGTTACAAGTGCTCTGGAATTAATTTATAAATTATACTTCATCACTTAATTTGCTCTAAGTTGATACTTTTGCTAATAGGTTATATCATTGTGGATACTATCTTCCAAGTTACTAATACTCTGGTAAAGGCATGATCTAAATGATACATTTTCTCAAATTGTACTAAAACTAAAGTTGCAACTCACTCAGGCAAAGTTGACCTTAAAAAGTCATGGCTGTTCAGTTCAGCCCCTTTTGGCAAAAATGTTTTCAAAGTTCAAACCTATTAATTTTTGGTTTTATGAATTTTTGGTCTACTTGATGATAAGTTTTTTGGAAAAAGTTTTTTTCACATAGAAATCATATCATACAATTTTTACTTCTGTGTCATACATGCCTGCAACCAAATATTATTATACAAAGAGGAAGTGATCATAAAAGCCCATGTTCAGTGGAATGTTTGTCAGTGTAATTTATTCAATTAAATGCAAAGGAACTAGAATTGATAATAAATATCATTTTATCATCAAAACGTGGCACAATAATAATATAAAACAACAAAACTGAAATATTTCTTATTAAAAAAAGTTTGTGTAAAAAATATGGGAGTCTTTAAAACAATTTTAGACATGTGTTGCATGCTGTCTCCAAAATATAAGCAGAAATGGCTGCATCCATGTTTTAGTATGGGAAACCACAACAATCACTCAGATCAAAATTAAAACAGCAGGTGAACAATTGTATGTCCTGTAAAAGTGACCTGTATGTGTTGCTACACCTTTGATGTCTAGCTATCTGATAATTGTTTACGTACTGTTTCACAGATTCTCTCTAATTCTCCAAGCCATGATGCTGCTAAATGACAATTCTGTAACACCACCCATGTCCCCTCTTCAACAGCCTGAAAATAGGTCATAATTCTTCAGACCAGTTTATTAAGTTTGACCCTCTTTTACAAGTATTTATAATTTCTGTGCCAAATCAATTAAGTTTACTCAGAAAAATTAACACAACTTTATGTAATTAAAAATTATAGCAGCATACAATCAATGAATACCTGAAATATTTTGGTTGAATGATTATATTGTTTTATAATAAATCGTTATTTTAATCATAATCACTTTAAAATGGAGGCGGTATGAAGAGAGCTTTTAGTTGGCATCTGAAATTGCAAAAATAGTACAAGTCTTCAATCCTTTCAAAATTATGTTGGTTCCATCCATAAATGCATAGATTATATATACATGTATAATATTATATATATATGATTCTTTAAGATATATTTTGATAATCTACTGTTAGAGATTAAAAATGGGGAGGGTTGAGATCTAAAAAACTGGTTAAACCCCACCAACATTTTCATGTGCCCATGGCAAATCAAGAACATGTTAAGCAGTTGTTGTATGTCATATCTTTATGCTTTTTTATCTTTGGAGAATTGGGTATTAATGGCAGATGTTTGATTGTTTCTGTTTAATTTATTCACTTGTACTCAGGACGATTATAGAGCTTGACATATTGTACAGACACTGGTCTATTGTTGAAAACTACAAGTTGCCTTTTAGATGTCATTTGGTTATTTTTAATGTTGGGTTGCTGTTTCAATGAAGTATATCCCAAATCTATTTGTATTCATTCATATAATCTGGAAACAAAGTGGTTTACAGAAACATATCATTTCCCTTGAATGTTAAGTAAGTCAAATGATGGACTGGAACTGTGCCAGCACGGATTATTTCCCTGGTACCGACACAGAAGGAGGATTGGTTCAGTAGGACTCATTGTTGCTTATTTCTGCCAAATTCATACAATTCAGTGTTATTTTTTTTTGTTTTAAATAAATTGGCACAAACAGCCATTATCTAAAACATTAATTTGAACTTAATTGTCCTAAAATGATTTGTCCATCTCAATAGCAAGTTAATAGCCAAATCATAAAAACCTATCATACCTCCTGTATCATCTTCTCTGCTATAGGCCCTTGACCTTGACCTAAAGAAATTGTCTGCAAACCCTTACTGCCAGGAGCTGTAATATAAGGGATACAAGTTATTATGTGGAAATGGAAAGTTTTATTCATGCATTATATTATATAAAGAATAATTTGTATACATATGAATAATTTATGTTAAAAAATGATTGAGAGTTTTAGATTAAAATGCCTGACCCACAGAAAATAAATATTTCATGTTTGTATTTGTATTATATTATATAAATATTAATTTGTATACAAATGAATAATTTGTGTTAAAAAATGATTGAGAGTTTTAGATTAAAATGCCTGACCCACAGAAAATAAATATTTCATGTTTGTATTTGTATTATATTATATAAATATTAATTTGTATACAAATGAATAATTTGTGTTAAAAAATGATTGAGAGTTTTAGATTAAAATACCTTACCCACAGAAAATAAATATTTCATATACATATGTATTAATTTCAACAATAATCCTGAAACCTGATTAGCATTGACCAAATTTTCTGCAATATCTCTGAAATTCTTTAATGAAATCAGATATTATAAATTAAATTTACCACACACTTTAGTTCTTATACTACTTGATAAATAAAAGTCCAAAAAAGATTTTAAGAAAATCTTATTTACTGTATTGCAGCAAAGTGGTAAATTACTCATTATGAAAAGGAGGAAATTTATATAATAAAATAAAATGAACTATTTCCAAATAACAGAACACTTACAGAAATGATATGTTGCATAATAAATAAATTATAATAGTTTGTTGTTTTTGCAATAGCCACATACGCAATTTGGAAAGGCACTGATATAATACCTTGCTACATGTATTAACAAAATCAATATAAAAGGTGTCAATCAAACATCTAAGTTAAAATGACATGGCAAAAAAAAACCTGAAGTACTGTGAGTTTCATAAAACGATACCCTGCCCAATGTATTTATCATACTAAGTACTAATCTTGACCTTGCAGATAGACACTCCAACCATATTGGCAACAATATATTAATAAACTGTTTTCCAAAAAGTTTTAAGAACTGGATCATGCAACATATTATTTCTGCTTCAGTGTTGGTAATATTTGAATTGTAATGTCAGTAAATACTGAGTTTTAATGTCAGTAATATATGAACTGTAATTTCAAAAATATATAAATTGTAATGAACAGTTACAGAAGATATACAAGATTTATTTTGTTTACAAGAGAAATATTTTATACATTGAGTATTAACTCATTATAAAGCCGAGGCATCTATTGTGTATTTAGGTGTGAGAATATATAATGCAGCAGGCAAACATGCAGCATTAGGAATTTTCAACACCTGTGTGATTAATTTTAAAAGAAATATAAAGAACTCAGAATGAATCACTTTGATTTATTCACTAAATTTTATACCTTTGTCTTTAGTTTGATATATATTCTATTTTTAATTTTTTACTTATTAGTTGTTATCATGTTTGAACTAGCTTTCAGTAACTGCTTGTACTCTTAGATCGATACTTTGTTTCTTTTGTCTTTATGCTTGTTGTTTTTTGAGCTTCATGCCGATCTGATGAGTTTAACCATTTCCAACTGATTTTTATAGTTTGTTCTTATGTTGTGCTGTTACACCACTGTGCCCGCCATGTTATGAGAAGGAGGGTTGAGAGCTAACAGACATGTTTACTGTTTAATCCTGCCACATTCTGTATGTGACTGTCCTAAGTCAGAAGCCTGTAATTCAGTGGTTGTGGTTTGTTGCGGTCTGTCATGTTTTTGTTCTGCTTATTTTTTGTCATTGACAATCATACAACATCTTCATATTTCTATTTTCATCTTTCCATAGGGCAAGACCATTTTTTAGCTATGTAGAAAATACCTGCCATCATTTGTAAATAACTTCAATATACCACTATATTGATTGATTTTACATGCCAAAGACCAAATTTTGAGCAAATCTACAGATAAAATTGTTAAAGACTTGGAACTTGTTTCTGTTAATTTTCATGATAGAAAATAAAATGCAGAATATCAATAAAAAATATTTAAGAAAATTGTAAGAATAATATATTTTGTGTACTATGTCAGCAAATTTCACAACCGAACAAATCCACTTATTGAATAATGTTCTTTTATAAAGGAAAAATTTTCTTTAATATGAATGTTGCTAAAAATTAAGTTAAATTGGAGAACAATATCAGGTAAGACATACAAGGTCTACAGCAGTAACTATACTAGGAATAGTAACTATTTATACACATTAAATTTTAATATTGCTGAGCTATTATTATTTCTAGGAGACTAATTTTCAGGAATTTAGAAAAATTTACAATCCAAATATATTATTGCTTAGTATTATACCAACCTATCCACAAAAACTGCCATCAATTAATAAATTACTATTACAGTGTTGTAATTTTTAGAAACATCATGAAATTTTTAAAAGTAATCAAATTACTAGGAATGAAGAAAATTCCATAAACACACATGCAGTTAAATTTATATATGTATCATGCAATTGTTATTATTTTGAACAGAACATGCACTAATATTTATACACACTTTTTTTTTTTTTTTTTTTAAAGAGTTTTGGAGATCTTCTAAAACGACTGAAGTTTTAGTGTCCACTAATATGTATAGTATGTAATTGAAAGGCACTTGTGAATTCACAAATATAATTCAGATATAAGAGTATTCAATAAAATATTAATCTTTTATCTGAAAATATATTGAAGAGTAGATTTTGTGTTCTTTGCACAAAATTCATAACTGAAAATTTGAGTATTAAGTGTTAGATGAAAACTATGACTGCTACATAAATAATCCTTTGTAAGATTTGACTCAGTGTTGTAAAAATAGAAGAAATTAAAACTGACTATTATGACTTTTAGCATGAATCATTTGTGTGTTACCAAAGTATCTTCCTATGTCAGTCATATTTAGATTTAAAAAAAAACTAGAGGCTCTCAAGATCCTATGTCGCTCACCTGTATCTACTGTGGTTTTGGAAATCATGTTTTATTAATAAGGTTAAAATCATAATAAATAGTATTATATACCCTAATAATGATTGAGGCCAAGTTTGGTTTAATTTGGCCCAGTAGTTAAATTAAAACCAGAAGAGTTTTGAAAAAAGTTTACAATTATTACCAAAACATTGCAGAAAATGACTTCAAAGGACAATTACTCCAATAAGATATCAATCGACGATTTTGGTCATGTTGACTTATTTGTAGATCTTACTTTGCTGAACATTTTTGCTGTTTACAGTTTATCTCTATCTAAAATAATATTCAAAATAACCAAAAACTGCAAAATTTCCTTATAATTATCAATTCAGGGCAGCAACCCAACAATGGGTTGTCTGATTTGTCAGAAAATTTAATGGGCAGATAGATCTAAACCTGATGAACATATTTACCCCAAGTCATTTACCCCTATGTTCTATTTTTAGCCATGTTGGCCATGTCGGTTGGAAGGCAGGGTCATCGGACAAATTTTTTAAACAAGATACCCTAATGATGATTGTGGCCAAGTTTGGTAAAATTTGTCTCAGTAGTTTCAGAGGAGAAGATTTTTGTTAAAGATTACAAAAATTTACGAAAAATTGTTAAAAATTGACTTTAAAGGGCAATAACTCCTTAAGGGGTCAATTGACAATTTTGGTCATGTTAAACTTATTTGTAGATCTTACTTTGCTGAACATTTTTGCTGTTTACAGTTTATCTCTATCTAAAATAATATTCAAAATAACCAAAAACTGCAAAATTTCCTTATAATTATCAATTCAGGGCAGCAACCCAACAATGGGTTGTCTGATTTGTCAGAAAATTTAATGGGCAGATAGATCTAAACCTGATGAACATATTTACCCCAAGTCATTTACCCCTATGTTCTATTTTTAGCCATGTTGGCCATGTCGGTTGGAAGGCAGGGTCATCGGACAAATTTTTTAAACAAGATACCCTAATGATGATTGTGGCCAAGTTTGGTAAAATTTGTCTCAGTAGTTTCAGAGGAGAAGATTTTTGTAAAAGATTACAAAAATTTACGAAAAATTGTTAAAAATTGACTTTAAAGGGCAATAACTCCTTAAGGGGTCAATTGACAATTTTGGTCATGTTAAACTTATTTGTAGATCTTACTTTGCTGAACATTATTGCTGTTAACAGTTTAATTCTATCTATAATGATATTCAAGAGAATAACCAAAAACTGCAAAATTTCCTTAAAATTACCAATTCAGGGACAGCAACCCAACAACAGGTTGTCTGATTTGTCTGAAAATTTCAGTGCAGATAGATCTTAACCTGATGAACATTTTTACCCAGTCAGATTTGCTCTAAATGCTTTAGTTTCAGAGATAAAAGCCAAAAACTGCATTTTACCCCTATGTTCTATTTGTAGCCATGTTGGCCATGTTGGTTAGTTGGCAGGCAGGGTCATCTGACACATTGTTTAAACTAGATACCCTAATAATGATTGTGGCCAAATTTAGTTTACAACGACGAACGACAAGTGATGAGAAAAGCTCACCTGGCCCTTCAGGCCAGGTGAGCTAAAAAGTTGGGTATCAAAATCAAAACTGCTCAAGTGAAATGGCTTGATTCAGGCAGAAGATCCACATGAGCAACTTTACTTTCAATGCTGATCATTTATATACAATGCACCTATTCAACTTCAGTTCTCATAAATTGTGTTATGCAGTCTCAGTAATTGCATAAACAAGTGAGAACATAATAAATACATTTTTTAAACATGTAGCAATCATAAGATTCATCTAACTCTATATATATGTGATTATGTCATATAATGTGCATTCCCACCATGTGTGTGCATCTAATTTGGCATGCATGTTTGTAGACATGTATATATGATCTACGTGACATACTCTCACTTTCTATTTTTGGATTAAGTCCAATAATTGATGTAATAAGTCTCATTTTGGATTCGGCCTTGGTCATTGTGACCATTGGTTTAATGATCCTTGGGAGGAGACCTGTTAACGTTAGGATATGTGTTAATAATATGTAACAAATAAATCTTAAAACCATACAAGTGGAGAAAAGATAATAAAAATTAATTTCTATTTAAAATATAATTCTCTAAGTGAGAAATTTGTGCAATATAGGAGCATCTTCATTTTCCCAAAAATTCAATTTATCGATTTTTAATTAATTCATTGAAAATAAATAGTTTTTGATATACGCTTACCATAATTTCTATTTTGCATGAAATAATCCATATTTTATTTAAGAATAATCTTTTTTGCTTATACTCCAATACTACCAAATTTCTATCACTATTTGTTTAAAAATCCCACTTGTATGGCGTACAATGCAACTAAAATTACTAAAAAGCTTTCATGAATTATTTCAAATAACCTGTAAGTAATGTACTTCACTCAACCAAAAATCACCAAACTCAGTGAGCACAATAAAATCAAAATTCATGTATCCCTTAAACCTAAATTGAAATAATAAACCTTTTTAACTCAGTGAGCACAATACAATCAAAATCCATGTACCCTAAAACCTAAAGTGGAATAATGAATCTTTTTAACTCAGTGAGCACAATACAATCAAAATTCATGTACCCTAAAACCTAAAGTGGAATAATGAATCTTTTTAACTCAGTGAGCACAATACAATCAAAATCCATGTACCCTAAAACCTAAAACTTGTGGAATAATGAATCTTTTTTTTCAAAAACAACAGAACAAAAAACCCAAATGTAACTTACACTTAATTTCGTTAAATGTTTTGGGAACATGGTAAGAAACTCCTGTTTCAGATAAATGCAATTTTATTATCATTTGTAGGTATAATGCATTTCAAAAATTTGAACGTATAATAAAAGGATAAAAAAATATAGATTTGTTGAAACCAAACATAAATTTTAAAGTAAAAACAAAAGCATGATTTATTTTCTAACTAAAACAACATCTTCCTTAAAGAAAAGGTTTCAATTAAAAAATTTGAAAACAAATTTTGTGAATTTCAAATCAGCTAAAGGTTTACTTATAATTTAAAGAATTATCTAGTTTGTAACTGAATAATTAAAAAAAAAAACAACAACTAATTGAGAAATTTCATTCCTAAAGGTTCACTAGCTCAATTTTGTTAATCATAAACTATATAACTAGCATCATATAAATTGTGGTTCTATAACTAGCCAATCTTATATTAAAAAACATATTATCTATAGCCTATAATTCTTCAATTATGCAAAACTATATAGATTTAACTCATCACTGTGAACTACGTTGATTTTACAGTGATATGATTAATGAATCAAATAGAATAAATAAAACTAATCTGTACAAGCTTTGAAGCATTAACTGTAATAATTAACATTTAACTAAGGAAGTAAAACGAGGGAAAATTAAAATAAGGCTAACATTTCTGCAAAACTGACTAAATGTATCTTTACGTAAGCCACTCAATTATATTATCTTGAAAAATCACTTCAAAATTTAAATATAGTTCTACTTAGAAAAATTTACATGAATAAAAATATACCTTTCTCTTCTGCAAATCTGTAGAGGCCAGCCATTGGATCAGCACCAGGTGAGAGAACAAATATCAATGGAGTAAAATATGACGAATCACTAAAGCTGAGAGACAGGTCAAAGGTCGGTGGTTCAACATACTTATGTTCCATGGTATCCACAATGAAGTTCTGGATAGCAGGAACCATCTGTTGACAGAAATGACTGAGTTTAAATAAACTGTATTAAGTCTCAGATAAGTGCTTTCAACTTCTTTAAAAGACATACCTTATTTACCAAATTTAACAGGACCATTTGTTTTTATTTATACAAGCCTTATAAGAACTATGAGTTTCTGGAAGTACAAACCTTGTCAGGTCTTAGACAACGGAGGACTATTAGTTTCTGTAATTTATCCAGTCTTTCACACCAAGGCTTTGGCAAATCTTCAGTTTCAGGTGAGGGTGAATCATAGATTTTCTTCCATTGGGGCAACTAAAATAGAGATATTATGTATTACACTTTATTATCAATAAATGAATAAAAAAGTCTTTGAATACACATAATCCCATAGATCCCTGTCTAAATTTGGTTTGTCATTTAATGTAATTAAGAGAAATAGTTTAACATATCACGAATTAATTGAATAATTCTTCATAACAGGTCTACGTCATTTTCACAGACAATTTTTGATTCAAAGTCTTCAATATTTTATGTGAAAAGTGTCATCCTTACTAAATTTCAAAAATATTTAAAAAAGAGTTTTAAATACTAGACAACATTTGAAAATAACAAAAATATTTATAAAAGAGTTTCAAATAAAATAAAATAAAACATTGAGATAAGAGTTCGAAGTAATATGATTTTTTAAAAGGTGTCAGACCACAAATTTAAAATCCCTATATAATCAAATCCTCAAGTTTAACTTCATGAAAACCAGGTAAAAAAAGTGTATACCATAAATCTTATGCCAATTTAAAATATTGAAGTGCCACAAGGTGTTGCGGATTTCACCTACTACTTAAAATAGCACTCTGGTTTTCAAAAATCCTTAAATATGCACACTATGTAGAACATACCAGGCTCTTAAACTGGTCCATAAAACCTTTAAAAGCAGGCAAATCTGAGCATCGCACAATTTCACTCCATGACTTCTCAGGAAGCCATGCCGAAGCAGGATTAGGAAATGGATTCTCCAAAGCCACACCACCAGTCAGTAGGAACCGCCATTCTCTATCATCAACTGTCCCTCTGTGAAAAAATATTTGTTTAACATAAAGATAGGTCATCAGGCTGATAATAAATAACAATTAATTGACTGTCTCATTTCATGAACTTGTCTACTTGAAAAATTTCACATTTATCAAATTAATTAGATTTGTACTTGATCTGAGTTTTGTGGTAATAAGCATTGTGCTTAAGTTGCATAACATTTGGTTGAGGCAAACTAAAGTAAGAGAACAGAATCAAATATTTCAGGAATTTTTCCACATCTAAAGGGGAATAACTCTAGAACGGTAAAAGTGATGCCACCAAAATTCAAACTTGATCTGTGTTTTGTGGTAATAAGCATTGTGTATAAGTTTCATAACATTTGGTTGAGGCAAACTCAAGTTAGAGAACGGAAACCAAAAATTCAGCAATTTTTCCATTAAAGGGGCATAACTCTAGAATGGTATAAGTGACACAACCAAAATTGAAACTTGATCTGTGTTTTGTGGTAATAAGCATTGTGTATAAGTTTCATATCATTTGGTTGAGGCAAATTAAAGTTAGAGAACGGACACGAAAAATTCAGCATTTTTTTCATTTTTAAAGGGGCATAACTCTAGAATAGTAAAGGTGACGCCACCAAAATTCAAACTTGACCTATGTTTTTTGGTAATAAGCATTGTGTATAAGTTTCATAACATTTGGTTGAGGCAAACTAAATTTAAAGTTAGAGAAGGGAAATGAAAAATTCAGCAATTTTTCCATTTGTAAAGGGGCATTACTCTTGAACGGTATAATTTTTCCATTTGTAAAGGGACATAACTCTACAACGGTAAAAGGGACGCCACCAAAATTGAAACTTGATCAGTGATTTTTGCTAATAAGCATTGTGTATAAGTTTCATAACATTAGGTTGAGGCAAACTAAAGTTAGAGAACGGACACGAAAAATTCAGCAATTTTTCCATTTGTAAAGAGGCATCACTCTAGAACGATAAAAGTGATACCACCAAAATTCAAACTTGATCTGTGTTTTGTGGTAATAAGTATTGTGTATAAGTTTCATAACATTTGGTTGAGGCAAACTAAAGTTAGAGAACGGAAACGAAAAATTCAGCAATTTTTCCATTTGTAAAGGGGCATAACTCTAGAACGGTAAAAGTGATGCCACCAAAATTCAAACTTGATCTGTGTTTTGTGGTAATAAGTATTGTGTATAAGTTTCATAACAGTTAGCTGAGGCAAACTAAAGTTAGAGAACGGAAACCAATTTTGGGACGTACGGACGGATGGACGTACGTACAGACGGACAAGGGTAAAACTTAATGCCCCCTCCGCTACGGCAGGGGCATAAAAAAAATAAAATGTAACAATAATCACTGATTCAATCATTGGTTTCGTGAATTTTCATACCAAGTGGAAAAACCTATCACCTGAAATTAAGCAACTATGAATAAAGTTGACAGGGGCATATGTCAGTGAGGCAACAACCCAACAACAAAATGAACCAAATGACATCTTGATCTGTATATCTCGGAACTAATAGGTTTTACTTACAGGACTGAGAAAGTCCTAAAACTATCTTACTGTCCCAGTACAGCCTCAAAAAATGAAAACAACACTTTATAAATTTCATGCATCTTTAGTACTTTTCTGGATTTACTTTCATCAGGAACGCTCAAAGCAGAATATTTGAAAGACAAGGATGTATAACAATAAAAAATAGCCAAATCCATCTAAGGACAATTTTGCCTGAGGGAGTTAAACCTTAGTTTCTTAATAATTTTTAATTTTATAAACGAACAATTTACGAAAGGTTTGTTATAAATCATGTCAGTACCGAAGTACTGACTACTAAGCTGATGATAAAATCAAGAATTAATAGTCCACCAGCAGTGGTATGGACCCAGTACTGTAAAAAATGACGTAAACAACAGTTTATCATTGTTTTTTGTAGTCATTATTTATACTTACTCTTGTTTTTGTATTCCAATACATAACAGGAATGAAAACAGTAACTTGTCTTTCTCAAACAAGGATCGACATACATTGAGATAAATACTATAGGTAAAATGCTCATTCAGGTTGTCTATTCTTTCACTCAACTCTGATGTCTGTTTGCTGTTTAATATAGACTGAAATAAACAAAATTCCAAAATCATTTTATTTGTAATCTTAACAATAAAGAACAGTTTTACCATATACATAATGGAGTGATAACCATAGACCTTATCGCTATTTGGGAATCTGCGTCACTTGACCCGAAAATTTGTGACACTTGAACTAATGATGTCAAACAACAATCACTTTTCCTTTCTGGTGTCAGATGTTTTCTCTTGTGAGTTGTGAAGTCCGAATTTTACGGGAACCTCTGTGATGTCCAGTAACGGTGGACAATAGCGATAAGGTGTTTTTACATAGATCTAAAAATGGTAGATTTTAAAGACCTTATTACATACAGAAATTATGCTGCACACATTAACTCTTGAACATCCTTTATAGTAACTGAGCACCCCTGTCATAATTTCATTAACCCTTATTTGTTAAGCCACTTGTGTGTTCAATTATAAGTAGGGAAGAAGCCTAAAAAATATACCTATAAACTATTTTAATTCTAATATATTTAGCCCTATACAATTAATCTTTAACCTACCAAAGTTGTATTGTATATCCATCATATGGTTCAATAATGTACAAGATATAAATTTGGTTAATGTTGGATAGTTCTTGAAAGATATCCTAACCTAAAGATACCTTGAAAGACATCCTTACCTGGATATACAGATTAATAAACCATGATAGTGAATACTGATACATAGGGTCAATGTTGGCTAGGTCTTGAATCACAAAAAATAATATGCTGCCATGTTTTGCAACCTGCAAAAAGACAATAATATAAATTCAAATATTTTTGTTTATTTTTTTTCTCTGAAAAATATATTATTGGAAACAAATATTCCCTTTTTCTTGCTTCTTTACTTGCTATTAGTAAGTTCCAATGTACTTTGACCTATATGCTGTCAGTGATAATTATGAAGAGGTTTTTGGAAACCTTAGAAAAAATATTAAATACCACTACTTTTCTGGAATAAAGTCCATGCAAGATTTTTTCCACTGTAAGAAGTAATTTATCAATTTTTACAAAGGTCCAATTACCAAATGATTAACCTAATACTATTGACTTACAGGTTTATAACCATCTCTGACTTTGTCAATTTTTTCCTCGGTGACAGAGGCTACTTCCTGTTTCTCTGATATTTCTTGTGATAAGACTTTACTGGAAGACAATATCTCAATGGCACTTTCATCATCTAATATATTACCCTGAAAATACATACATAAAAATACTTAAATCTCAAAAAGGAGTTATCTGTTTACAGCATATTTCTAATTACTGAATGCAGACAAAAACCAATAATGACCACACTTTAAACTTTTTCTTCTTACTTGACCAAGTTGTTTCATTTGTTTTCAACTTTATGTGTTTTAGTTCCTCCATTCCTCAAAAAATTTGTGATGGAGAGGACTAAGAGCACTGACTATTTGATCTTACTATGATTAAAATTTAAAGGGAATTATACCCTGATTAAAAAAATCTACAACCATCCATCCAATTTAACTTGAATGGCCTTGGACCCTCCCTTTCCCTTCTTCCTATATGCTCAATTATTCCTGGAAGCAGCTATTAGGGACTGAGAAAATTCACACAACTAAATTTCAAATACAATCAGTGTTTAAAGACTGCTAGGACATGCTCATAAAGATTACTTATTATCCAAGTGCATGCTTTGGTTTTCCTGTTTGAATTGTTTTACACTAGTCATTTTGGGGCCCTTTATAGCTTGCTGTTCGGTGTGAGCCAAGGCTCTGTGTTGAAGGCCGTACTTTGACCTATAATAGTTAACATTTTATACATTGTGACTTGGATGGAGAGTTGTCTCATTGGCACTCATACCACATCTTCTTATTTATACTTGTGTTTAAGACTGTATATCAATAATTATATGTTCAATAATTTTTAAAAAGATTTACTCTCTCATGCTATGATATTAACTTCTTTCAATGCTTCACAATATAAATTGAACATTGAACTTAAAAAAAAAGAGAATAAGAATAGTATAAAATTATACCTCAGAGGATGAAAGTACTTCTAAAATTTTATCTTCAATTTCTTTGAGTTGTCTTTTATTTTTGGCACTTTCTATAATAAGTTCATTTTTCTTTTCTTCTAAGTCTGGTTTTTCTTTAGCAGCCACAATTCCTAATAGCTGATCTTCTAATCCTAACAGTGTTATCATGAAGTTGATTAATGTAACCTGTAAAATAGTAAAAATTTCACATATTTCCTAAATGAAATAACTGTTATACTGTTTACTCACAATCCTAGATGAAAGATGTTTTGTACTTATTTTTAAGATTCTCATTTCAAAACATCAGTAAAATTTCACCATTTCAAAATGGTGACCAATTATCATAAACAATAGGAAAACCTATAAAATGAAAGTGTTCTAATAGAGTTGCTTTAGCAAACCTTTATGTATACAGCTGTGAGAAGTTATAAAAAGTGCTACTACTGTTAATGTCCTACCTTGACTGAAACCTCTGGAAGATAATGTGGATTCCGTAACCTAGTTGTTATATAGAATTTAAAGTCTTTGCTGTATTCTATGATATTATCTCCAACTCTGATATAATCCATGTTATTCTGAAATGAATAAATTCTTGTATAAGAATCATAAAACCAGACTTTTGGGACAATGTCTGTACAGTGTATTGTCTATTTTTCTCTTCAAATGTTTTATTGTATAAACAGTTTGAGCATATTTCTTTATGCTTTTTATTGTATAAACAGGTTGAGCCTATTTCTTTATGCTTATTATTGTATAAACAGGTTGAGCATATTTCTTTATGCTTATTATTGTATAAACAGGTTGAGCATATTTCTTTATGCTTATTATTTTATAAACAGGTTGAGCATACTTCTCTATGCTTATTATTGTATAAACAGGTTGAGCATATTTCTTTATGCTTTTTATTGTATAAACAGGTTGAGCATGTTTCTTCATGCTTTTTATTGTATAAACAGGTTGAGCGTATTTCTTTGTGCTTATTATTGTCATAAAAGCATAACATAGCTTGTGACAAACATTTTAATTCATCTTGAAAAATAAAAAAACCATAAAAATGTTAGATATTTGTAAAAATTATGGAATGAAGATAATTTTCATGTTATGATAAAATATATAACCATTTCTTCATAAAAACTGAAAAATTTAATACAATTCATGCCAAATAAAATATTTGTTTCAAAAAGTTATTCAAGAGGAATGCGTTTCTAGATTTTTTATCATAAATTCAATTTCAATAACTGCATACACTCACATCAAAGACAAAATTGTCAAGAATATATCACTGCCTTAATAGCAGCATAGAAATCCAATAGTAAGATTAAATCAATGACTGTATACCTGTTTAAATGTTTGCTTTAATAAGACAGGATCCAGTATAGGATCTAATTCTTCTCCAACATTCTCCAATAGACAGGGGTTTCCAAACTGTAATAGTCAATAACAACATTAAGACATACAAATAGTTGCAAAACAGAAATGAGAATAAGTTGTCGTCATAGAACTAAATGTAGTATTTTCAATTTTACTGAATTCAGTTTTCCACATAATTAAGAAAAACATTTGGTTGTATCTGTTGGGTGCTATCTTTTTTATATTCATTATTTTAAGGTCCATTCTTTAGATTAACCTTCAGGTGTAGCATATTATCTGTTTTTTTGGCTATTTTCATTTCATACACCTATATATAATTTACCTGTACACAATTTTCTAATTGTCTGCTGTAGTTAGGATCTGACAATTTGATAACTTCTAATTTATTCAATTTCTCCATGTTTTTAATCCATTTATTGGCTTGGCCTTGTGGATCAATCATAAGAGGCCATCTGTTGGCATTCATTACTACCAGGGCATTCTCCAAAGAGTAACTAAAATGATTCAATAACTAATTATATTGTGTTCTGAAAACTAAGAAATAATTCTTTCATGTCTTGCAAATTCAATTTTGATATCAAGCACATATAACCTATGTTTTGTGGGAATTAGAACAGATATTTGTTTACAAGGTGAAATAAGATATTAATATTAGAACTACCAATAAAAGCCAGCATTTTTTTCTCATCTGTTACTTCTATCCAATGATTTGAAGAAGTCTTTTTTAAAAAGAGTTTTTAGACAAGTTATAAAATATTAAGAAGGTTTTAAAAAATTGAAAGAGGATTTGCTCTGTGTTGATCTTATACATACTTACCTATTGGAGCTTTATCAATCGTTTAGTCTAGTGTTGACAGGGATTTTAATTATAATAGTATGCTGATAGAAGTGTTCAAATTTAGTGAAGATAGGTTAATTCAACATGTTCCTATGTGTCTGTCATAACAAAACAACATGACAATCCCCTACGCTAAAATTCTTACATCACAAAAGCACTATTAAAACAGTGTAATAGTGGCTGTAATAAACGTTCAAGTTTCACAAAATCAAGGGTCAAATGTCAAAGACAGCCGCATAAAGCATTAGGTCTATATATGATGTACTTACTTGTCCACTGGCAGCCCAGCAATCTGCCAATCTCTGATTTTGACAGGGTTACCTAGATTAGCCTGCAGGGAGAAGTTTTCAGATACTGGAATGTTTCTCTCTTTACACATTCTATACCATTCTTTTAGACATTCCTATAAAATAAACAGTAAGTCAATATAAACAAACATACATAAGATCCCAGATGAAAAACTTGCAATCCTTGTCAAATTAGATGAGAGTCGAACACACCTCACCACGAACTCACTGTACATGAAATACTTTGACCACTTCATCACCAGGGCCCCTCAAGAAGATATGAACAATCTCTGTTATTCAAAGGAGACAAAGGATACATGTTAATGCAACAGCAAATATTTCTTTAAATCTGGCTTTAAAATTACTATCTATTATCAGATAACAGCTGGATATATTACATACTTGTCTATAGTCTAAGATGAAGGGACCTAGGTAAGCTACAATACTGGCTGACAATAACACATCTCCTACAATGTTGTCATAGGTCTCTGTTAAATCTTCTACATTCTGTAAAATAAATATGAAAAAAAGATTTAGAGAAAAATACTTTATCAATACAACATTACATCAATTCATGTACATGCTATTATTAAAATAGTCAGTTGGCAAGATATATGGACTTTTCTTTACCATATCAATAGCAATTGCTTACATATTAAAAAACATATAAAATTCATTATGAAAATTAGAATAAGAATTTTAGAAAACCAAATGCAATGAAACTCTGTTCCCAATGTTAAAAACAACCCAAATAACTTTTTTAAAAAATATTACCGGTAATATATGTGTCCATGCCTAGCACTATGACATGTCCATGTACTGTAAACAGTCAAAACCAGAATTTGGCATATTCAAGAATACACATAAGGACTTTAATTAATACAGAAACTCTACCTTTGTCCATCTTTCCTTCTCACCACCAAGTCCACTTATTAATTTTTCTGCTCTGTCTATTTTGACTTTTGTCAGTTCAATATTGGCTTCTAGGTTCTGGAAATAAAAATTTATTTTTATACACATGAAGAAATTTGCATGAAATCAAGTCTATTACAGTTAAAGGGTTTAAACTTCCACCTGCAGCAATCTAGATGAATGACAATTCTTATTCAGGTGTTAAATGGAAATAATAATGTAACCCTTAAACAATTTCCTTATATATTTGATGTTTTGGTTAGTTTCAAAACAGTTCATGCTGTGGTCTCTTTTCTTGTACGATACTGCTGATTTCAAAGATTTCAAGATTTTTTTAGAATTTGTTTTCTTTATAAGGATGTGTCATTTATAGAGAATATTATATAACTTTTCAATATCACATCCCTATCAACCCAAGACATCAATATAATTCCAAGAGCTCTGCTCGAGGGATAATATTTGTTGAGGGTTGATACGGTGTGTGATATTGAAAAAGCCATATCATATACACTTTATTATATACTCGAAGTAGATGTTTTTAGAAGTGACATGATGTAATATAGACTAGGGGTTTGATAAAACCTTTCCAACCGTGACTGATATCAAAGACGTGACGTCATATAGAATAGGGGTGTGATAAAGGCTTTGTAACCGTGACTGATATCGATATCATCACGGATGGCTGATACAGCACGATTGCCATTGATCGTATTACACATACAATTTACATGTATTTACTACTAAGTATATAATAAATACTAATATCAAATCTTTAATAGATTCATCCAAAATAACTGCAACAATATTATTGTGGTGACACAAAATGAAAATAATAATCATGCATCTCACTAAACATCCATTTAACTATCTACTGAATTATTTGCTAAAAATCATCAAGCAACTCTCCGGGATAAAATATAGCAATACAGAGCTCACTGGTTTATCACAAGAGTTTTGCTGCTTTCTGCACATCTACCACAAATCATCTTATTGAAGATATGAACACATGTTGAATATAAAAATTTTGAACATTTTATTACCTCTTTTTCATTTTGATTACTGGCCAGATTGTCTTCTAATTCATTGAGTTCATCAGTAACAGCCTTTAGTTCTGCTCTTTTCTCCTCTAGTTTTGCCATCTGTGTTGCTAATACTGCTTCAGCCGATTCTAAACTTCTCTTTTTAGGGGCAACAACCTGATCAAGTAAAAACTTAGAATTAAACTGAATCCTCCCCGCCAATAAATTTTTTACTAACTTTTATACAAAACGATTTATCTTGTTAATGAAAAATGAAAATCAGACCAAACAACATTCAAACTAAAATATTTCAACCTGATTTGAATAAGATTTCTTTTTGGTCACATAATCTTAGGAAATGACAAGGGACAAAGACGAAGAAAACATGTATGTGTAGCTTTAAAATAAGGCTTAGTCAGTTGTTGGTGTGGTCTGTTGAACTGCCTCATATTTTTGGTAATTCCTGTTAACCTTTTTTTGTGTTATTTTTTTTTTAACTAGTATATTATTGTATAAAACATCATATAGCACCATTATCTGTACAGTATACTTTCGTATAAAACATCTGAATATTCATTACATTAATCATTAGCACAAACATTAAAAATCCCATAATCCTTATCATTCTAATGTCACTTTGACCAGTACATCTATACCAATATTAGTTATTAGTCATACAGTAGACAGCTTTAATCATTTGAAATTATCAGGAGATAATACTTCTTCCAGTTTATATTATTCTTCTGTTACATTGTAATGACTAACCTTTATAACTTTATCATATTTTTCCATTGCTTTAACCCATTTACACAGACCCTCACAAGCAGAGGATACATTTTTGATGATTTGTGGGTCAAAATCTGGGTTGTTGATATAGCTGTCCCTTATTTTCTTGATCACTGGTGGTGGAATATCATCTTTGTCATAGTCTTTTAATGAATCAAGGAACTTCAAATCTCCCAGCATCTAGAAAAAAAGTAAGAATGTATTTATGCTTCTGTTGCATACTTTCAAACTAAAGAAATGTTTGTATTTGTGACCGTTAAATTATTTGGTCAGGAATATGACAGTTGTTTTTTATTCGTCCCTTCATATAGTCTAATGTTTGATTTTGTCACGTTTTATGGACTTCCCCCTTTCTGAATTTAAATAGGAGTTTGGTATTTTTGTTAATTACTTTTTGGGGAGTAAATGTCCTTGAGATCATCTACAGCAATGGGCAGTAACTGTTCTATAATTTTCTTTTTGTTTAGAAATTTTCTAATGTTTAGAAATAAGCTCACTCATAAAACTCTATTGAAGGATATTTTCCCAATTCTAAAATTTTAATACATGTTTCTTTGTTATGCTTTGAAAAAGACAAAATATGTACTAATAGATTGCTGATAACCTATCTAGCAAACTACATGTAATACTGAAAATTTTCCATGATCTTTGTACATATATCCTCAATGGAATATTTCAACTAAAAGGATGTCACGAAGAGGAAACCTTACCCTTTTTGCAGCAGGCCAATAATTTTCTACTGCTTTCCCACTTCCATCAACTTTTTTCTCTGGCTTTATTTGCTAAAAGAAAAGGAGTTTTTATAATTAATTGTGAAGAGGATACACAAAATGTATTTTTTTTTTAATAAAAGAGATAATATTCTTTCTTGACAGCAGGCAATAAATGCAAAAATATCTAAAGATCATTTTTAAAAAAAATAGAAAAAAAGAAAAGTACAATAGACCATGCTTCTATAACAAATATACTTTTAGAAAGACACTTACCACCCTCTCCCATAAGATGCAATACAATTTTCAAATTTCCTATATATTCAATACATTGCATTTGACTGTTTTGCTGCATTTACAAACATTTGAATAAATATATGTAAATCTTTACCATTCACGTAGAAGAAATTGTGTTTTAAAGCTAATATCAATATCACAATTTTACTACTAGGTCAAGGTATAAACTTTGTGTAAGTTGGCAGATAATTTTTTAGCAACTGTTCCATATTACCTTTGTAAATTCAGAAATTATTGTGATGTTTTTCTGGTGATCGTTTTTATTATTGCAAAAAAATTGCAACAGGATTGGTTTCGTTTGCAGTATTTGAATGAGGCATTTACTGAAATAGCAATAATTAATCTCACATTTTTTTCAATTGTTCAACATCGCCATAATAAGTGCATGCAATAATTATGAATTTACAGTATCAGTTCTCACCTTCATAATACAAATGGATTCCATGACCAGTCTAACACCCAGAGGAGGATTCGTAAAGTTTTTCACAATTGTAATGTCATTCTGTTTCAGTGTATCCAAGGCATTTACAGCAGCATTCAGTAAAGGCATGGCTATGTTCAATTGTTCTTCACACTCATCCTGGAAAGAAAAAAAATCATTGATTGATAAATTGTGTTAAATGCCTCTTTCAACACATTTGGCTTCATCATTAATGCCAACTTTTGTTGGTGGAGGAAGCTGGAGTACTCAGAGAAAACCAACATATACGACAGGAAAGCTGGAAAACCTTGTCAATTAAGATTGGAGTCTAACACACCTTGGGAGGAGCCGGTTCTAACTCACAACCTCAAGGTTAGCAGACAAGTGAACAATGTGGGTGAACTTTTTAAATCACTCAGCTATAGGAAAGTAATAAAATAAAACACTTTCTCCTAATGATTAAGCATTTCTGACTAACATTATTTTCTTACAATTGTTTTGAAGTCATTTTACCTTTGGTAATATAAAGCACCATTACTTTTTTCAAGCCAACTAGTAGGTGTGTGTAAGATACATTACATAACATCTTTGTATTTGCCTTCGTCATTAATAATACTTTAAAAAGCACCACAGGTCATTTAATATTTTAGTCACTGAAGATCCCAAAACTGTTTACCTTTATAGCTTTAGCTTCCATTGCTGCTTGGTTAGCCACTTTTTCGTCCTCTTCAACATTAATTTTTACAGCTTCAACTCTTTCCCTTTCCTTTCCAATGACTATTAGCAACTCAGCAACTTGTTTTCCTTTTTCTATCAACTCTGGTTTTAACTTGATCAACATCTCTTGCAAACTATTCACCTATAAGAATAAGAAATACTAATTAAAAAAGAACTCTAGTTGTAAGCATTTTAAAAGTTACCAGTCACCAAAGCAAAACTGATCAATAAATTTATAAAAAGTACTGTAAATTCAGAAATTATTGCGTGCATTTATTATTGCGATTTTTGAAGAATGGACAAAAATGCGAGATTAATTATTGCGATTTCAAGAAAATTATTATTCGCAATAATAAAAACCTCGCAATAATTTCTGAATTTACAGTAATATAGTTCAGTATTGAAGATTTAACCTGACAGGTCTTTGATAGTTTCTGATTAATTTATGCACAATTCTTAGATTCTTGATGATTCAGAGCATGACATATTGTACAAACACTTGTCTTTTTTTAAAGACAGTATATTGCCATTTAGTTATAACATTGGGTTGCTGTCTCACTGATATATGCACAATATCTCCTTTTATTCATAAACATCAGCATTTTTGTATGCATATATAATGCAGAATTACCCAAACTTATTGATGCTTTAAACACATCAGTTTTGTAATGACTGTACCAACCCAAGAAGTATATCAAAGAATTTAACCTACTGCTTACCATTTTTAGCATGTACTACCAACAACTATATATTAAGACAGTTATGAATGATAAATATGACAAAGAGACAAAAATTCTCATGAATGAAAAAAAACCCATAGTTTTTATATCAACTGTGTGTTTTACCTGTTGTTCAGAGTAGTCAAGCTTTTGGAGACCAACTATGTATCTCTCTTTCAGAGTAAGGATTTCCATTCTCTTTTGATCAAGTAATCTTTTAAATGTCTTAATCAACTCAAGGTAAGATGTTGGAGTCACATAGTTCCTCCTCCTCAGTGTGTCATAATACCTTCAAAGTAAAAACAGTCAGATTATATGTGAAATTTAACTTGTCTACACTGGACTCTTATAACAGGTTATTCAATTCGAGTGTTAGTATTGTAGACTCATATTTGTTGGAGAAAATAAATGGAGAATGTGTCTATGGGCCACAGATGCCACGGCTTGTTAATATTTATGAGTCAACTTCCACATACAGATGGAAGATTCACGTTGCTAAGACCGTTTTGTGATTATAAGCATTGTGTATAAGTTTCATAACATTTGGTTGAGGCAAACTAAAGTTAGAGAAAGGAAACGACAGATTAAGCAATGTTTCCATTTATAAAGGAGCATAACTCATGAACGGTAAAAGTGACGCCACCCAATTTCAAACTTGATCTGTGTTTTGTGGTAATAAACCATGTGTATACATTTCATAACATTTGGTTGAGGCAAACTAAAGTTAGAGAACAGAAACGAAAAATTCAGCAATTTTTATGTTTATGAAGGGGCATAACTCATGAACAGTAAAAGTGACGCCACCAAATTTCGAACTTGATCTGTGTTTTGTGGTAATAAGCATTGTGTATAAGTTTTATAATATTTGGTTGAGGCAGAGAATATAACCTACCTGTCAGACAGGGCTCTAACACTCTGATGAAAGTATTGACACATCTCTATTACCTACCTGTCAGACAGGGCTCTAACACTCTGATGAAAGTATTGACACATCTCTATAACCTACCTGTCAGACATGGCTCTAACACTCTGATGAAAGTGTTGACACATCTCTATAACTTACCTGTCAGACATGGCTCTAACACTCTGATGAAAGTGTTGACACATCTCTATTGTTTGATCCCGTACTTCTGTGTCTCTGACCTTATCTTGAGACATCTCTACATACTCCAGAAATTTGTTGGCTACCAATTCTAATGCATCTTGAGGCCATGCCTAATGTAATAAAACTCAATTATTTTATTTATTCTAAAAAAAGTGCATCAAAATGGAAAAAAAATAAGTTAGTACAAAGGTTATTATAATAAGCCTTTTTTTTTTTTTTTTTTTTTTTAAAAGTCACAATCTCGATATATTTTTCATGAAATATTTCTATAATCCATAAAATGAATATGTGTAAATGTAAAAAATAAAATTCTTGCACCGATCATAAAAACATTGAAATACTCTAATGCAAGCAAATTTAATGTGCCCAAAGATTGATACAAAATGCTAATACTTACCATAAACCAATCTATGGTACAACAGTTAATGAGTGAAGGAAACATCCTAATCCTAGCCCTGAAGGCATCTCCTATAGGACTGAAGGCAAGAACAACATGAAGATTTCTTCTTACTCTCTCTATAAACATGTTATACATGTTTAATGGTGTCATCTCCATCTGTAGATTTAACTGTTGGGCTTTTAATTGCATCTAAAATAATAAATTGCAATAAATAAAAGCATTGCTAAAAAGAAATTATTTTTAGATAATTAGCCTAATATATTTCAAAAGAATTTTTCTTAAAGCTAGTTCCTCTGTTCTGTTTTATTCATACAACTTTTTCTTTCATTCATAAAACTTGTTCCTATAAACTCATCATAGATACCAGGATTAGAATAGTGTATGCCAGACACCTGTTTCATCTACAATAAACAAATCGGTGAAAAGTTGAAGATCATTGAGGACCCAAAATTCCATAAGGTTTTGCCAAATACCTTTTTGATACCAACTCTGAAGTAAAGTTTCAATAAAATGTAATTTACAAAGTCAATATGCTAAACATGCAATAATAGATGCATTTTCATCATACCTTTTCAATAATTTCTAATCTTTCTTCATTTTCATACAGGTTAGGAATATCTCCTGTGTTTAATAACATGTTGACGTCTTCTAAAAATGATTCATCCTGTAAAAAAAGACATTTAAATTATAATGCAAGAAAATGAAGTTTTAATACTGATAAACTCACAACTTTTTATGATAAAGTTCATAACCATACTTCTATCTCAGTTCCTGCTGAACTTTTTTTTATTTCCACTAGGTTAATTACACAACAGCGATGCAGTTTGTTATGGTATATATATTTTTATATCTTGAAAAATGATTTAAAAAAAATATGTTCCTCTAATTCAAACATTAAGATAATGTAGCTTAGTAAATTGTAAAAATGCTTTTTGGAATCATACAAAAAAATCATTAGATTAAAGTTAAAAATAGACTCAAATGAAAAAATGACCTTTATCTGGTGATCTCCAAACAGGAATACAGTAGAAACTCCATCATCCCCTGCCTTCCTTATCATTCTTCTCAAGTCATCTCGCCATTCAGCAGCCATGTAATTTTTAGTGATCTCTATTTGAAAAAGTTCAAAATCAGACATAAAGGCAGCAAGCCTTGCAGCACTCTGTCTTCCACTGCCACCAATACCTGGTTGTAAAAGTATATATGTAAAAGGTGTACATGTGGTGAGATTCTTTCTCATAATATCATGTCATTCCTTTTAAAAATTAAAGCTTCACCATTTTCCCTCAAAAGAGTGAATGTAGCTATATCTATTTCATCATTTTAAATTTGGTACTTCTCCTTACCGAGAGTCACTTTTTTGGCTATCAATAATAAAAATATTAATTATATTGCCGTTTATTCACTGATTTTTTTTTCGCCTTTCCTCAGTGAAAAACTAAAATTTCAATATGATGTTACACATTAGGATGCTGCAATTTTTTCCATCAAATCCAGTAAATGAATGGTGGTATTTACATAACTATAAGCATCAGGTTTTCAATTAGATAATAAAGTTTTCCAGTACTATTTAATCCATTCAAAATTTATCCCAAATCAATAATAAAACATCATAATTATTGTAATGACCCTTATAAACTGAAAAAAATTGTATTGGCCTACAAGTAGATGACAAAAAACCTACCAACTAATAAACAGTGACCATTTGGTTGTTTGAGAACTCTGCTGATCCTTGATATATGTTCAATAGCAAATCTAAACATAACTAAGTCCATTGGAGCTTTGCTCATCTCATAATTATAGTCCTCTAAAGACCTTTCTATTGTCTGAAATAAAAAGTCATGATTTAATTTAATACAAAAATGCACCTTACTTCCTTTACAACAGGAATGATTTTTTTTACTCAATTATCCCTTTTAAAGTTGTCACATCTTTTAAATGCAACTAATATTTTTAAATTCATTCATAAAAGAATGATTAAATTGTCTGTAGTCATATAAATATAAAACAAATGACTTGCTGTTCACTTACAATATTTTAGCACTGCGATCTGTACATATTTGTCATTAATAGTATTAGGCAAAATGTTAATACAATTTTGACAGAATTTTTTTTCATCACACTAACAATTTTACCTCATCCTCATAATTAAAATACAGTTTCTTGGAATAGAATTTACTTCATTTACCTTGTTTTTCAAGAAATTGGAAAATCAGATGAACTTTCATGGTGGTAAACTGGTTCAGTCAATGAATCAGATTAATTTAATGGGGTCAATTTATGAATTTACCTCAGTTAATTCCTTTAAGTCCAAAATTTCATCATATAATTTCTCGTCCTTTGTTTTAGACAGATAATCCCCAAATATCAGACTTCTTAAATCATCATCTGTAACCTGGTCTCCTTTCTCTTTCACAAGGTGGCTAAATAAGTTGGAATATTTTTCCTTACAGTTAGTTTCAACACAGGACTGAAATGAGAAAATGTTTAAGTGCCAAAATTTATGTGAATAGCATTATTCCTAAAATACATCATTTTGGCTATAGAAAATGCATTTTCGTTTAAAAAAAAATAAATTCAAAATGTAAAGCATCGTGTGTTATCTTGTCAGATTATAAAAGATTGAAGCCGAGTTCTGTTTCTATTCACTTAGTCAATGCAATATATATATAGAAAGCTAAATATTAACAAGTTAAGTGTGGACTTAGATAGGCCACTCATACAAGTAAAGTCTGCGAATTACTATGTCTTTATCATAGATTAGAATTCCCTTTAAAGGAGTTTAGTTTCTGGTATTTATGACAAAGAGCTTTCTGTTATATTTGCAATAAAAAAGTTACCCCTTTGAAGTATCAACTACTTTACGATACTGATAAAACCAAATATTCTTTTTTGCAATGGAATTAAATCTGCAATCATGTACAATAGAATATTGTTTATTCCTATATTTTAAACTGACCTTGACCATCTGGAAGAACAGCTCTCTGTCACTTTCATTAATAAGTCTGTCATAGAAGACTCTGTAGACCTCATGTACCCACAGTCTTATGATCTTGTGTCCTCCTTCATTTCCCTCTGGGACAACCTCAGGTTTTAACAGTAATACACCCTACAGTAAAAATATTCAAAATATTAAAATATGATTATTGGTAGACTATATGACATGAAAAGAACATTCAAATTATGCTAATCATGCAATTATTTTTTTACTGTATTTCAAATAATTCAAGGAAATTCATTATAAGAATTCAATGAGGAAAAATGTGAGATTACAACTATATAAAAAAAATGTTCTGGACTCAAATATCATAAATTTGTCACACTATTTATTTCAATATTGTTAATCTATATGTTACATGCTATGTTTGTTGTTTGCTATATTCATCTATACAACTCAAGTAAAATCTAAAAAGTTGAAAACATTCTATAATCACCAACTCTTTTCACATAAAATCTTTCATAAATTAGAAATGTTCATAATTTACAAGTATAATTTTACCCGTAAGATTTAATTGCTGTGAAAAATGCCAATTGATGGTATTGTTCAGGGTTACTTGAATTAATTCCATCAGTTTCACAAGTTGTGATTTGGAAGATATTAGCCTGCACAAATCTTCCTTAGTCTAGTTAAATGAAGGCAAAATGTGATCTGAACAAATTTGTCAGGACTTACCTGTACAACTCTGGCAAAGTCCCTCAAGTTAAAGACATAATGTGATCTTGATGGTGTCGGCAGGAATTTGGATATGGCACTGTTGTAGATCTCCATTGTATTGGTTATGATTATCTATAAGTAAAAATAATAATGTTTATTTAAATGTCAAGAATCATATGAGCTTTTGACATCACTTTTTGTCTCCTTTTTCCATAATTAACACAATTTATTTCATTCAATGAATAGATTTACACCAAACTTTAAATAAATGATATTTTTTAAAAGTTTTTTACTCTTCAATAAGTTAGATAGTTTTATGCAAATTGAGCATTAAACAGAATGTCAGAATTGAACTTTTATTCCACCAGAAATTGCAATCTTTGTTTTTCAGGTAAAAGAAATCCATTCAATACCCAAGTCTCACAACACACATAAAGTCATATTACCATTTAAATGAAAAACCAGCACGGTTTTGTTTCCTCTCACACAAATTTCTAACTGAAAGTATTCAGCACATCTAAACTGTCAAAAGCAATTAAAGCAAAAATATCTTACTCTTGAGAATCTCCTGAGACTTGTCTCAAATGACTTAAAATGCCATTCTATGATAGGATTGAATATACTCTTCATGGTATCTTCATCAAAAGATTCAATGGCAATCACATTAAAATGTCTGATAAATCTAGGTGTGACATCATTCCTGCCCCCTCCTGGTGGCCCCATGGCAGATAATATGTTAATGTCTACCAGTTCTAGGATACTAGTGTCCTTTCTGTAACAAAGACATAACATGATTACAGGAAAGTAATATTTTCCAATTCAAATTCATAGAGTAAAATTGTGAAAGAAGATTGATTTGAGAAAGAATATATCCTATGGAATACACAAGAAATAACCATATATCAAAATACTGCATACTTTTTCATCAGAAGTTGATAAATAAATTTAGGTCTAATTTTGAAACGTTTATAGTGATAATGATAAATATAGATCCTACCACTGCACCGAGTGTGATATATTTCTCAACTCAAGACAATTATAGTTTCAAATTTAAAATGCTAGGCCTTGCCAGCACTTTTCTATGTGATGTCATCAGACATGGTCACCTTTTTTAGTGACGTCACAATTGGAAATTCAGAGGAAAGCAAGAAAATTTTAAGTCATAATTGAATTTTGACCAATGAAAAACTAAGACCAAATGAACCACTTGTTGATTAAAAGATAATAATCAAAAGGCCAGGGAATGTCTAAATAGGCTATGAATTAGAGAAAGAAAGATCTCCAATAGAACAGTAATAATTAAAACAATCAGTCGCCCATTCCCAGAGTGAGTCGGAGACTCATGCTTTAACTGAGATGGTTGGAAAAGTTAAATTCCTATGTAGTAGTATTTTCAATAAATGTTACCTGTCAAACCAATATCCATGATCAATCCACTGTCGTAATATCTCTATGGGTGGTTGTGCACCATATTTCTCTTTGGCTGGCATGTTTAAGTCATCCACAAATACCATTAACTTTTTACCAGGAGCTGGACCATGTACACCCTTCTTTCTCCTGACAATGAATTTCAATTTCCAAATTTATTTCATAATTTTTATTTGTAGGCAAAGATTTATCAGAAAAAGAATTGCAACTAAGGAAGGTCAGTTGGTGAAACTTTGTTCAAATAATTCTTTTATGCAAGGGATTAATCTTTCGTGAGCAAGCCCACATACACAAAGCTCCCACACTTTCCAATACAAGGGGAACCACTGTCATAGTTTTTTCTGTTTACTGTTAGACATGATTCTTTTCTGTTATAATTTCAGAGAGTAACATTGTCTAGATTGGTGAATGTATATCTTGTTGTTGTTTGGCTGGCCTCTGAGCTGACTGTTTTGATTCCTTCAAACTTATTTTTCATGTCAAGTTTGGAAAAAAGATATTTTGCATATGATTGGCTGAAATGAAAGCTAAAAAGCTGATACAAAAATTGTAATTACTTGTCAAGTTTGGAGAATATAATATTTTGCATATGATTGGCTGAGATGACGAGCTAAGTTAAGAAGCTCCAAAAAATTATAATTACCTGTCAAGTTTGGAGAATATGATATCTTGTGTTTGATTGGCTGATGTTTGAGCTGAGAAGTTGACATTGGTGATAATGAACTTTTCTTTGGGTAGCTGTATCAGGTAGTTATTACTGATGGCAGACTTTCCTGTTCCTGTAGGTCCAACAAACAACAATGGCTTTTCCTGCATAATTAGTTTCTCCAGGAAGTACTTTTGTCGCTCTGTCTCCACCGTGTTTATAATTAGCTCATTTATCTGGTAATATTGAAAATGGCAAACATTTACCAAACATATTTTAATTTTCTTAATTTCTGCACACTTTTTAATTAGAAAACTACAACATGTGTGATAAAACTAATACATTTGATTAGTAGCAGGAACAACAATGAATATGTGATGCTGGCCTTTACAATTAATGTGTGTAAAATGAACAATAAAAACTTTTTTTTTTTAAATGTCCTTGACACTTTTCCCCTAATAGATCCCCTATTCTGTCTTTCAGGGATAGTGAGAAAACAGAAAGTCTTTAAATCCTCTCAATGTTTACCTGCTGTGTTTTGCAAAGCAATATGGCTTTGTTCTTCATGGCAGTAATTTTTCAATTAGAAAAAACTTAGTACTTATTTTATTATTGTTCATTGTATAGTTACATAAACTGCATAAAAATTAACATAAATGAATCTGCACGCAATAAAAGAATCCTTATTTGAACTGATGTTTTTTACATGTTGTTCCTATCCATTTAAAGATAATCATTAATAATGAACAAAATATTTCATTTATAAAACAGGTTCTAAATAGACAAAATTATGAATGAACTCATGATGAACTTTCGTTCCATAATGAGTCTGACAAATCACAATCATGCTAGAAGCATTACACAAATAATCTTCTCTATCAAACAGACATTTATTCAGGGAAGTAATTTGCCATCTCAGCATACCGTTCTATGTATATTATGCATGCTTTGTAGTGGCATGGTGGCAATTGTGTCCAAGTAAAAATTATATTCAGCTATATTTTGAAAGGGAATTTAAAGAACATATTTGCAGATTTTTTACATACAGTATTTGGTGAGCTTTCTTGTGCAGAGCATTATGCTTATAAATAAATGCTTACTTTGATTTTTGATAAACAGTTTATCATTTTAGGCATTTTCAATAAATGAAAGAGATGCTTCAATACCTCAAGTTCAAAGATAGTAAGTTTCTAGTAAGGTTGGATTGCAATTTACCATCATCCTGTCACATGGTTATCTTAGACTTGTCGTCTGCATGAATTTTCAGCTTAGGGGTAATGTCACATGACTATCAGTAGGACAACCGGATGTGCCTTTTTGGCCAAAATGTGATTCGGCGGCGCTCAGTAGTCCTACGCCGAAAATTGGACTATTTTGCGTCGGCCGACGTCAACTGAAAAATGGCGCGCTTTTGTATTTTTTTTTCGTTCGTTTGCGGCAAAGTACCGACTATAAATACTGTTGATTGTAAGCAAATCTATATGAGAAAAATATATGAATTTACATATTATTTTCATTTTTGAACATTAAAATAAAAGGAAATCTCATTTTTTTATATCTGAACATAGAATTTCGGATATTGATTTTCTGCACTGTAGGATAAAATGCCTACATTAAAAATGGGAACAAAAAAATACCTATCCTTCGATTTAAAAAAAAATTCTACATCATATTCTCGCTAGTTTTTGGCATCGAAATTCGTAAAGAACGTGAGTGTTCAAGCCAGGGCAAAAATTTGTTCCCATTTTAATGTAGGAGTCGCAATTTTTTATAGGTTTTTCCTTGCATGGTCGGTAGATTTAGAAATAGGAAGAGTTTCTGTTTTTAAAGTAAATATTCATTAAATTCTCATGGAAAAGTAATACATAGATATTAAACCCCATTAAAAAATAACAATATGTGTCAATAAATTGTAAAATAATGGATTTTTTTCGAATTTGAAGAAGGCGCCCTTTTCGTCTTTTTATCTATTACGTCAATTGGTCTGCTATAATTATTAACTGTTTCTAAAAAATCTCCGCCTCGATTTTTTTTATACTTTCATATAATTATCTTTGATACATAATGTATATGTTATGAAAAAATTAGGCACTTCTATCGAGTAGAAATGGAGAACGGTCATTTTTATCTTGTATGTTCCCACCATGGGGGCGTGGTCCTCCCTAAATCTTGTTTCTGAAGTACACGATAGCTATTCTTCTCTCAAAAATAATTATCCACTAAAATTTAATGAAACATAACAAATATATTTTAAGACATCAATAAATTCTAACTGCAAGAGATTTTAAGAAGCAGAATTGCCGGAATCTACCTCAACCGATGTTGTGTCAGTATATATATATAGACCAACGTTGTCAATTTCCGGCGCCGAAAATGTCAACGTAAATGTCATTAAAAGTTGGATTCTTTACTTCTTTGTAGCAATTTTGTTTATCTGAATGCCAAGGAAGTCATGCGATATGTTGAATTCATATCAACGTTATACCAAAACAGGCCGAGCTTGGTAAATTAACAGTTTTAGGCCTACATCATCATGGGATTGATTTGTTGATATCGTACTTCGTTGATCAATCCATATTTATTTCGTGAATATTGTTAGTATGTTATCGGCCGGTGAGTTTTTAATGACCATCTAATCTGAATAGGCCATAGAAAAGCTATCGGTTTTTTCATAAGTTTCCTTTCGTTAATACAGTTATCGTTATGTGTTTTATTTTGTTTCTTTTTTAAAAAAAAGGGGGGGGGGGGGGTAATTTTGTCAAAGGCATGTGTCATTTTATTGATTCTTAATTTCTGGTTTGCAGTGTTGGTTTAAACTCTTCATGACTTTACTTTTTAAAAATTCAATGTGCAGTTTCTTAGGGCATTGGTATAACATGTACATGTATAATGACTATTAGACTAGTATTAATATATCTATGCATATGGGGAGGACCATTTGCTATGCCTATTCTAGGTAGGTGGTGGGAAGGGAATCCTGGTCTGTTCGCACTAATACTTGTTCGCTCTGGGTCCTTTCACCCTGTTCTTTTCTTTTATTTTGTCTTGTTTAATCACAAACATATATGGACAGATATACAGTACTGTTCCCAGGTTTAATGTAAATTAGTTGAATGAAGTATGTAAAAGTTTGTTGACAAAATAGTGAATAAACTGCATAAGCCATAATGTGTGAGGTAGTAGGATTTTTTTCTAGATTGACTTTTTATTTGCAGCCATTGGTACACATGCTTTTCTTTCTAAATATATTTTCACTTTTGCATACTCACTGATGCAGAATATTTATTTTCAGCCTCTATTGTGTCATGTTATTTAGGGACCTTTTATACATGTAGCTTACTATGCGTTATTGGTTCTGCTCATTGATGAAGGCTGTCAGAGACCTATACATATATTTATTAACCTTTTCGTCATAAGGTATCTGGTGGAGAGTTGTCTCATTGGCAATCATACCCCAACTTCTTATTTTTATATTGGAACTGTAATCAAGTCTTAAGCAGGCAAACTGAAAGGGAACTGTAGTACCTTTAATAAATAACTACTGACAAAAAATCAATGAAATATTCAAAGGATACAATGAAGCTAGCCATATGAAATATTTTTTTGTATGTTGTGCACCTCTTTTGTCCTTTCAGTGGCAGGGGCTATGTTATATGGTTGGCTGTATCATAACTTGTAATAGGATATAGTTATGCAGTGTTAAATGCCCGTCCCAATGGGACACAGATCCCCAGGCAACCCCAAATTGATAGGGATAAAATAATTAAATTATTTCACTCCAATCTCAACAACAGGGCAAAAGTGAAGGAAATTAATCTAAGCATACTAGATTATTTAAGTATGTGATATGTGATAAATATTCAAAAGTGAGATTATTTGATCAAATCTAGCCTTGTGATACAATTTCTTGAAAAAGTATTAAAGCAAAATTGAGTTCTTCTACAACATATGGGCAAATGTCTAATTTTCCATGAATAAAGTCCAATAATTCTGGAAAGGCAAAACTTGAATTCGCCAAAAGCAAAGTGAGCTTTCTGTAAATTACACTCATACAAAATAAAAGGGAAACACTTGAGGCCAGAGCTGAGGGAAGATATATTTGGTTGTCAAAAGTATACCAGTAAAATAAAACATATGGAATCTTATTAATTATATAACAGTGATATTGCTTTGATTAAAAATTTCATGAAAACAACTTGAGTCAATAATCTGAATGTTTTACTAAATATTGTAACATTTCACTTATGCACATTTTAATGTTTATGAGTCTGTCATATTTAAAAATCCTCTTTTTACTACACTTTGGAGCCCATAGTCTGCTAAAGCTTCATTTGTTTAATCCTGCATTAGTTAAACAAAAATGTCTGCTAATAATCACTTGAACCACCTGAGTTATTTGGTGGGGTTACCATTCTGTACATGAATATATCTCTCTTAATAAATTTCATATACATTTTGTAAATTGCTGATTCCAGGTATTAAATTTTTTATCCTCCAGTAAAATTATTCTTCTGAAAAAAGAAAATATTTTGTTATTAAATTAAGTTTGTTAATTCAATCAAAACGTAATGAAGAATGATAATTATAATATATTGTATTTCATTGTTAAGGCCATCTATGACCCCAATACAGTCTGCTTAAGTCATTCTCTTATCTGAAAATAAAATGCTCCGCTGGGCGCAGCTTGATACAATTGCAGAGGTCGAACCCTGAACAGTTGGGGCAAGTATGGACACAACATTCAAGCTTGATACAGCTCTGAATTTGGATTGTGATTAAATATTTGACACAGCATAGGTTTCTGACACAGAATGAATGTGGTCTATGAACTTAAATTTTTTTAATTTACCTATTATGGTCTGATATCCAAAATCTAAATACATGGTTAGATTCAGCATATCAAAGAATCCAAAGAATTCAATTTTTGATGAAATCAAACAAAGTTTAATTTTGGACCCTTTTGACCTCAATGAGGACCAATTTGATAACGGGGCCCAAAAATCAAAATACATGGTTAGATTCAGCATATCAAAGAACCCCATATATTCAATTTTTGTTGAAATCAAACAAAGTTTAATTTCGACCCCAACTTGGACCAACTTGAAAACTGGGCCCATAATCAAAAATCTAAACAAATGTTTAGATTCAGCATATCAAAGAACCCCAAGAATTCAATTTTTGTTAAAATCAAACTAAGTTTAATTTTGGACCCTTTGGACCTTAATGTAGTCCAATT